AACGGGTAAAACTTTACGCTGTAAAACTTGCCGATTTTCGCTGTGCCGATTTCCGGTATGCCGCGTTTTCGCTATACCGAATTTCGATATGCCGAATTTTGTGCCAAATGGTGAGTGTATGCGTGTAATCTATGTATTTACGGTGAAAAAGACCCATTTCATCATGGCGAAAATTGGGGATGGTAAAAATTCGGCTTATTTTCAAAATGTCGAAATTCAGAATGTCGAAATTTCATAATGTCGAAATTTCATAATGTCGAAATTCAGAATGTCGAAATTTACATAAGCTAAAATTCCCGGTAAAGTCCCCGAATTCCAGGCAAAAAAATGTTGTCGTGAAATAAGATAAAAAAATAGAATGTCGGAAAAAATTTTTGGCTAGGATTTGGCGGTTTCACCGGTAATATTAGCCTATGTAAATTTCGACATTCTGACATTTCGACATTCTGACATTTCGACATTATGAAATTTCGACATTATGAAATTCAGATTATGATACCAATTCTAAAAATTCGACACAGCGGAATTCGGTCTAGCGAAAATTCGGCATGGCTTCAATCGGCACAGCAAAATTTGGCATAGCGACTGGAACTCATCAAAATTAAGCTCTTGGAAGGCGCATTCGATTAAGTGGTTACGTAAAGATATGCTTGTTTCGACTAGAGATGTTTTTATTCAGATACGACCAGGGTTGAAAAGCCGCTTCGCGACTTTTCAACCCTGGCCCCGTCTAATCCTAGGATGTTCTTTATTTTGCATCATTGTGTCTCAATTCCCGTGACAAAAAAATGAAAAGCGCTCCCTTTGAGCCTTTATATAGGCTACTGCAACTTCCGGTGTATGCTAATTTTTCCTAACAAACTGGGTGGCCGAATTTTCACGAAAAACTCAATTTTAACGTCGAAAACAACATATTTTACAAAATCTGATATGTGTGCAGTCATCTATAGACCATTACGCATCTAATGACGTATCAAACACCTCCTTACACCCCTCCACTTTTGAGTTATCCTCCGGACACGCTGACGGAAGTTGCATGCAAAGTGTCATACACACACACACACACAGACACTATTTTTTTATATATAGTAGGATATGGGAAATTTTGCATTTAAGGCAATTTGCATATCGTATCTAGGTTCTAGCCGGGGCAATCGAGATACGATTATCGGATCTGGGATCGGCGAGGCTCAATCCCAGATACGATACTATCGGAATAACATTTGCATATCGGAATAAGCAAAAAATCCGTCATTACCGTGAATACTTGCTCCGTACGGTCAGTCTGCATGAAAAAGCATATGGTTAGGCGTTTCCGAGACAAGATCGTTCGATTTGCATCCATTTTAGCGCTTACCGAGCGCCGTAATTTCCCTTAATCCGATATGCAAAAGTTATTCCGATAGGATCGTATCTCCGTGAGCCAGATTCCAATTCAGATACGATTATCTATATCGCATCCAGGATTTTCGAATCCCGATGGCTTATTCAGATGCGATATATCTGGATGCATATCGTATCTGAATAAAAACATCTCTAGTTTCGACCCTTAATCCAAGACAGGCTTACATGTGAGGAACATGTAGAGGTTGTGGGGTCACAGAGTCCAAATCGGCACAAAATTGGCGGAAAAATCGGTAAAGGTTGCTTAACGGGGGTGGAAACCATTTTCCCTAAAGAGACCTGCCGAGCCAATTCAAGCATGTCACCGGATAGAACGTCGAAAAATATGCTAAGCGAATTATTTTCAGCCCGAAATAATGTAATTTAAATTAGTTATTGAAACAAAAAAGCTATGGGCCCTCCATAAGGTGACCGTAATTTTCGGTATTTTTGGCTGTTTTAACCGGATTTCATTAGTGCCATCGGATAGAGCATCAAAAAATATAGTAGGAGAATTTATTTGAGCCCGAAATAATGTATTAGAAATTCGTTATTAAAAACAAAACCTTTGGCTGGCCACGAGGTATAACGATAATGTGATCTCATTTTCGACGTTTTGAGCTTTTTCGCCAAGATTTCATTAGTGCCATCGGATAGAACGTCGAAAATTATACTAACCGATTTAATTTCAGCCCGAAATACCACGATTTAACATTATTACTTTATTAAGCTAAAAAGTTTAATTCATTAAAAATCGCTCAAAATTTCATAAAAAATTTTTTTCGACTGAAATTCAATCTCTTAGTATAATTTTCGACGCTCTATCCGATGGCGTTTTCAAAATCGCAGGATAAATAGATACAAACAACAAATAAATACAAAAATTGTTTCCCTGCGTTATTTGTCCCCCCCGTTAAGCAACCTTCACCGAAAAATCAAATAAAATGCGGGGAACACGATGCTATATAAATTAGCTGCCAATGGGGGCACCTTTGTTTAATAAACTTTTAATTTTAATCGGAAAAAAGTGCTCTCAAAATGCAATTTTAGCTGTTGGACCGGGCCTGCCGGCTTGGCAAAAATGTTTTGATGGAATTGCCAAAGCAGCCGTGACACCGGGCACCATTCCACAGTCGAAAAAATTTGATCTGACGGCGAATTTTGACGATCTATCCGCTAGCCCCGGCTCCAAGGCGGGATGGCAGCTGCGTAAAATCGGTAGTTCTAACTCCTAGGCGCTGCAAATCGGAGCCCCACGAGTGATTTCAGACTGCTGGAACAATCAAGCGTCGCGGCGCAGTGTCACGGCGCAATTGTCGGGCGCGTATGTAGCGGCGCATGTGTTGTCAGGCGCCCAGGTGTCGGGTGGAGTGTTGGCCAGCACCCCCAAAGAGGGCACCCCAGCCGAGAGAGGGGTGCTCTGGAAAGCACCCAGCCCCCAGTGGGGTGCTGTCTGGGGTGCTTTCTGCCAAAATTATATGAACTAGGCTATTTTGGTCGAGGCAGAAGATGAGCATCATTTTCGAGCAGTTCGCACAACTCGGCGCCAATTCGATTGAAACTCATTTGGGGGTCGTTTGGTAGCATTTCTTCGAGGTTGTTGAACACGGCGCACGATTTCGAGACGTTTTTTTCTAACCGCGCTAGCAGGCTGGGCAAAGCTGCTCGAGAGCTGTAACTCGTTGGGCAGATAGAACTTTTCGCGCTCTTTCGAATGGTGCCCTTTGCGATCCAGGATTCGCCGTGCAGGTCGAGATATGATGGTTTTAGTGCGGCGACAACTTCGACAGGTACACCTTTCGGCACTAAAACGCTCCGTTCTCTGTCCCCCGACGGTTTTGGAGAACGGCAAGTATACCGTTGGAAAGAGCGTTCAAAATGCTACCTTCTCAACGGCTTGAAGCAATTCTATCAAGCCTTTTACCCTGCCAGCGCGGTTAGAAACAAACGTCTCGAAATCGTGCGCCGTGTTCAACAACCTCGAAGAAATGCTACCAAACGACCCCCAAATGAGTTTCAATCGAATTGACGCCAAGCTGTGCGAACTGCTTGAAAATGATGTTCATCTTCTGCATCGATCAAAATAGCCTAGTTCATATATTGCGGTCATTGGCAGAAAGTACCCCAGACAGCACCCCACTGGCGGCTGGGTATTGTTGGGCAATTTGCCCGAAAACCGGGTCAACCCGGTTTTACTATGCAAGATAAAAGATGAGCATCATTTTCGAGCAGTTCGCCCAAACTCGGCCCCAATTCGATTGAAACTCATTTGGGGGTCGTTTGGTAGCATTTCTTCGAGGTTGTTGAACACGGCAGACGATTTCGAGACCTTTTTTTCTAACCGCGCTAGCAGCCTAAAGAAGCTTGCGAGAATCGCTTCAAGCCGTTGAGAAGGTAGCATTTTGAACGCTCTTTCCAACGGTATACTTGCCGTTCTACAAAACCGTCGGGGGACAGAGAGGGGAGCGTTTTAGTGCCGAAAGGTGTACCTGTCGAAGTTGTCGCCGCACTAAAACCATCATATCTCGACCTGCACGGCGAATCCTGGATCGCGAAGGGCACCATTCGAAAGAGCGCGAAAAGTTCTATCTGCCCAACGAGTTACAGCTCTCGAGCAGCTTTGCCCAGCCTGCTAGCGCGGTTAGAAAAAAACGTCTCGAAATCGTGCGCCGTGTTCAACAACCTCGAAGAAATGCTACCAAACGACCCCCAAATGAGTTGCAATCGAATTGGCGCCGAGTTGGGCGAACTGCTCGAAAATGATGTTCATCTTCTGCATCGATCAAAATGTCGCGGCGCATGGCTTGTCAGGAGCAAGAGTCACGGCGCATGGCTTGTCAGGAGCAAGAGTCGCGGCGCATGGCTTGTCAGGAGCAAGAGTCACGGCGCATGGCTTGTCAGGAGCAAGAGTCACGGCGCATGGCTTGTCAGGAGCAAGAGTCGCGGCGCATGGCTTGTCAGGAGCAAGAGTCACGGCGCATGGCTTGTCAGGAGCAAGAGTCACGGCGCATGGCTTGTCAGGAGCAAGAGTCACGGCGCATGGCTTGTCAGGAGCAAGAGTCGCGGCGCATGGCTTGTCAGGAGCAAGAGTCACGGCGCATGGCTTGTCAGGAGCAAGAGTCGCGGCGCATGGCTTGTCAGGAGCAAGAGTCACGGCGCATGGCTTGTCAGGAGCAAGAGTCGCGGCGCATGGCTTGTCAGGAGCAAGAGTCGCGGCGCATGGCTTGTCAGGAGCAAGAGTCACGGCGCATGGCTTGTCAGGAGCAAGAGTCGCGGCGCATGGCTTGTCAGGAGCAAGAGTCACGGCGCATGGCTTGTCAGGAGCAAGAGTCGCGGCGCATGGCTTGTCAGGAGCAAGAGTCGCGGCGCAGTGCCGCAAAAAAAGGCACGGTTCCGGTAGAAGGGGGTGGGTCCCCCTTTGGGTGGGCAACCACGCCTCATGCTCCACTCTCCCCCGCTCTCTCCGCGCCCTCTCCGCGCTCTCTCCGCGCTCTCTCCACTGTCCCCGATCCCTCTCCCCCTCCGCTCCCCCCGCTTTTCCCGATTCCTTACTCCTCATTCCCCAATTTCCTTTTCTCTCCTTTCCGTGAATCTCTATAACTCATTTCATTACAGCGATGCTGACGCAACTCTTCAACTGCCGCGGATGCAAGAAACCGTTTTCAACGTGCGATGGGCATCCGCAAAGACCAGTTTTGAAGGACGGGGAAACAACCTGCGCGAGCTGCAGCCCGGATGGACACGAACCCGCTCTCGGCCTCATCGAGTTCCTAAAGCAGGCGGCCTTTCGGCCGACGGAAAACGGCTTCTTTTGGAGCACGAAAATCGCGATCCCCAAGTGCGCTCGTTGCCCGCGGCTGATCTGCGCCATTGATGGCTGGTGCGTCACCATTGGCACGTGTGGACACTATATCTGCAAAGGTACAACTACACATTGTTCGATGGCATATACGGTGTCTTTTTTAGGCTGCAACGGCAAACGGCTGGCCACCGGACAATGGAAGTGCTGGCGCTGCCAACGGGGCTACAACGACCCGCACCCACGCCCCGTCGACGCTGCGGTGACCGAATTCTTGAACGACTACAGCTCGACGCTCGCGAAACTACCGGGCAATTTCTGGGACCTCGTGGCCACCTCGAAAGATCAATACGAACGCGTCGAGTTTCGTCTAAAGGTCAGCGAGCGTCACGTCGAAGTGCTACGTCGGCGCGTGGAAGAACTCACAGGCGAATCGGAGCGCACGAAGATGACGGAATGCTCGAACTGCTCGGTCGCACGCCCCATCGAGCGCCTCTATCAATGCCGCAAATGCGAGACGACCGTATGCGCCGATTGTCTGTTAGAAGAACACGCTGGCCACGAATACGACAACGTGCTCAAGTTGCGACTCCCCGAGTGGAAAGCCGATACATCGGCTCGACAGGCGAATATCATTGGCGGCTACCAAAGCAATCTCTGCCACCTTCACACCAACATCTCGACGGAAATGCTCGGCGTACTTGAGGCGGGCAGTGCCTTGGTCGACGAGATGGATAAGTGTCAGACACATGCCCAAGCCGACGCCGTCGCTGCCACAATCGATAGAGCCATCCAGAAAGTCGAGACACAATGCGAAATCTACATCCCCGTCGCTCGCAACCTGGCCACCGAGCTCCGAGACATTCGCGAGGATCTTCTCAAGAAGCAATTGCTCCCCTAAACATTCACACAGTTTGACTCTCGCATCATATTTCGCTTAATTTGTCCCCAATTAAAATCGACCTAACACTAACTGCACGTTGTCCACCCGTTAATTTATCCCGCATGAAATTATACGTCAGGCTGACCCGAATTTAACCACGCTTAAATGAAATTATATCTTATCCGCATGAAATCTACGTAAGCTAACCCTTGATTTGCCCTTTCGAACGTTAGTGATAAATTTTGCCTAACAACGCGTCAGTTGAGGAAAAGCAGCACGGATCGCCGAAAATATATGGGCGCTTGATAATTAGTTCGCGTGCGGGGGGGCTAAACTGTCGTTAAACGGTGCAATTTGGCGGTTCTCCTGCGGTGGAAACGTTTCTAACGGTCGCGCTACAGACTACAGATGCCTAAGGGTCCCCCGTATCAGCGCTAAAAAACGCCCTTGGGCGAGGGGGCACGTATGCGCACTAATGGTAGGCGTCTGCTGACGGCGAGGGACGGGGGGGTTGAAGGCGTACAGGCTCCTAGCGGTCGCCATATGCGCATGAACATCTACGGCTAGCGGGGGCTTCTCAGCAGCTCTCGGCACAGATGCATGCAATGCCCAATGCGACATATCAAGCCCAAACGCCGTAACGAGTTCGGCCACCTACAAGGCGTCTTCGAACAGTTCGACCGGGTCGCAGCATGCAAACGACATTTGAGGCGACGCAGATTTATTGAAAACAACAACTTGGTATCAATCGATTTGTAGCAGGCGGTGATGATGTGGGCGATCGTCGGCCGAGGCTGCTTCCTGGAGATTGGCGCCCATTTCCTGGAAACGAAAGACCGTTTAACGGACATCGAACTATAGGTACCTGGAGTGCGAGATCGGCGTGTAGACGAACAACGTGATCGCCATCCCATTTCCATAGACGAGTGAGACATCGACGGACATCTCGAAGCTGTTCCCCAGTCATCAGCTAAATGAAGGATTCGTACTCGAAATCATTCCGAAGCGGCTTACATCAAGCATACGACAGGATGGGGCCCGGATGAGGTCGCGCAGAAGATGGACGAATGCCCGGCGCACGAGCGGAGATGGCTCCGTCAGCAGAAATTTCGGCGTCACGTGGATTATCTGAAAGAAGATGAAGAAGTAGACGACGAGAAGACGAGGGCCTGATCGACTAGACTGAACCCCCCCCCCGATAATGCAAAAGAACTAACTAGAATGAAAGAATCTTGTAAGTCGCGTCTAGGCACCGCAAAACCAAAAAAAAAACACCTAAAATCGTCAAAAAAAAAACCCCGTCAATTTGGATTTTTTTCATAATTGACATTTAATATATTTTAATAATTTAACGCCGAAATTCGAAATGCCGACCGAAAATGGTACCTGATCGGCGAACGTCTCGACGCCCCTCCCCCGACAGGCGGCCACCATATCTGAGATTGCCGACAGGGCGCCGGCTCTTGTAATCTCTTCCTCCGATTGTAGATCGCCAATGTACACCGGGGCCAGCCGTTGCAGCCATTCCGGACCCAGGTTTCCTGCAAAAATAATAGACTGAAAAAAATAATAATCAGCAAAAAAAATAAGAAAAATAATACGCATACGCACACCGCACCAAAACCGCAAGTTACCCACCGAGAAATCTGAAGACTTTGCCGGTGGCCTCGCTCAAACGACCCCTCATGATCAACCGCGTGTCGTCGGCTTCTTTTTCGGGGCCCGGCAGACGCCATTCAGCCTACAAAAATGGATTACGGTATCAAAACACGAAATTACCTGTAACTGTACGAGACGCTCCAGATAGCGCGTGTCGGCGATGGCCATCTCGGCGAGGGCGTTGATGGCGCTCAGGTAGACGTACGAGTCGGCGTGGTAGAGCAGTTCTGGAAAAGAGAGATAGGAGAAAGAGAGAGAGAGAAAGCTAGAGAGAGAAGAGAGAGAGAGAAAAAGCTAGAGAGAGAGAGAGAGAGAGAGGAGAGAGAAAGCTAGAGAGAGAGAGAAAGAGAGAGAGAGAGAGAGAGAGAGAGAGAGAGAGAGAGAGAGAGAGAGAGAGAGAGAGAGAGAGAGAGAGAGAGAGAAAGCTAGAGAGAGAAGAGAGAGAGAGGAGAGAGAGAGAGAGAGAGAGAGAGAGAGAGAGAGAGAGAGAGAGAGAGAGAGAGAGAGAGAGAGAGAGAGAGAGAGAGAGAGAGAGAGAGGGAGAGGGAGAGAGGGAGAGAGAGAGCGAGGAACGCACCGACGGTCCGCTCGTAAATCCACTCCTCGACGGCCGCCCTGTATCTGCTGTAGCTACGACGCACACCACGCGACACCCTGAAAAATGACGCTCAAAAAAGCGGCCATAACCCCGACCTGAGCAACGCCTGGCCGAGAATCGCCTCGCTGTCGTCGTACAGGTCGACGCGCAACAGCTCGAACTCGTCGAGTTCCCTGAAAAGATTGGATTAATTCAATTAGAATTAATTAATGGATTCAACCCGATTCAGCCAAAGCTTAAAAGTCAAAATTTGCAGCGTATTTAACGTAATTTAATTCAATTTATTTTTAACGTCGAACAAATCCAGCAAAACTATTATTATTAAATTAAAAATTAAAAATTAGTATTTTTTCAAAGTTAAATCAATATTATGTAAATTTTTATTTAAATTAAAATTAATTTATTTAATCCAATCCAGCGAACGCTTAAAATTCAAAATTTTCGGCTTATTTAACCTAATTTAATCCAAAATTATTTTGAACGTAGAACAAATCTAATTTTATTTTTAATTTCAATAACAAATTTTAATTTTAATTTTAAAAAAATCTCGTAATTCCCACCCTTTTTCGGTGTTCTCCTCCGCATTCTCAGCCGGCCGTCGTTGGTCGGCAGATTGGCGGCTGGCTGCTGGGCCATTGCCGCGCATCGTGTCGGCGACGCTGCGCCCCTCCTCGGCGGCCCTTCTGATGGCTTCATTGACGGCGGGAATACGGTCGACGGTGCCGGACAGCTTCTCCATCTCCTCGCACATCAACGGCAGCAGCGAGGACAGCTGCAAAAAGTGGATCGTAGGGGGAAACTGTCAAAATCTCAAAAATCTCGAATTTTCAGAATCTCGAAGTTTTAGAATCTCGAAACTTCGATGGTTTAAATCAGCATTGTAGCATTGGCATGTCATTTTCATTCGCACTCAAAGTTTTTTATAATAAAAAATTAGTTTTAAATAAAAAATATAAAAATACTTTTTAATATGGGTCCTTTTTGGGCTATAAAGATGCCACTTGGTATAGTGTATCTAGATTTTTCTACCTGAACATTGAAAATGAAAAATCGAAATGCGTACAGTTTTACGCCCCAAATCGCCACAAAGAACGGCCGTACCCCATTTTCTCATTACAAAAAAAATCTAGGGGAAACCCCGAAATTTCGGATAATTTTTCCAAGCAACGGCCTCACCTCGGGATCGAAAGTGGCCGCCAACAGCATGCCGCCCGCCAACCCCACAGCCAGCTTCACGTTGCGCGCCATCAACTGGAAAGGAAATCCTTAGAAAATCACTGAAAAGCTCTACCTGGTCCTCCTGCTCGTCCGTGGCTTCACCCTCGATTTGACGATAGCCAAGAAGACGCGTCGTGCTCGAGAGGAGAGTCTGGAATGGAAAAAATGGTACACACAGGCAGGGGCGTAGCCAGAAAAAAAATTTCGGGGGGGCCCGAAAAATTTTTTCCGCAAAACTCAAAAAATTCACAAGAAAACAGCGAGGCAAAAAAAATTTAGAAACAAGGCTATGTGGCTCTACAAATAGTCGTAAAAACGTGAAAAAGTAGCGCCGCAGGCAGCAAAATTTTTGAGAAAATAAAAATCTTAAGGATCCCCCCTTATGAAATTTTCGGGCCCCGGCCGATTTCGGGGGGCGGGACCAGGGGGCCCACCTTACGCTACGTCCCTGCACACAGGGTGGGTTGGTTGGCACGTCTTTCGCACTGTGCTGTTAGCGGGGGGGTTTAGCTGCGGGGGCCCAATTTTCCCCGGAATCCCGTACGGGCCCTATAAAAATATGATCCATTGTTATGGCCCTTCACACAGCGATACGATATAAAACTCACAAAAACATGCAAACAAAATTGAAAATTAAAATTTTCGATCAAAAACGAATAGAAATGGCCGGGCGGCCCACAATTTCGAATTTCCAAATTTTTTTTAGAGCTTTCTGGCAATCAGAAACACACAAAAAACACGACTAAAGGAAAAACAAAGACCAGGTCCCCCCCGCTAACAGTCCAATCCCGCGATTTTCTATCCTTCAAATCCGTACAAGAAAAACAATAAAACAGTTTTACCTGTACAAGGGAAACAATGGCGGCAGCGACGCGTCGATCCGAGAAGTCGAACGAGTCGACGGAACCCATCGTCTCGAAGAGTACACCCACCGCCATATGCGACGAGAGACTGGTTGCCACTAAAAAAACTAGCTTTACCGTTGGCAAGCTAGCAGAGATTCTTTGCGGAGGCAGCGATACTACACAACTTTTTTACAGCCCAAATACTTCCCAGCTAATCGCAAGCATTTTAAGTTTTTCGCAAAAATTCGCCAGATTTCGAGGGGAAAACCTCGAAAAATGTTTAAAAATCTGAGATTTTGTCGAGAATTGGCAATTTTTCGAGGAAGACCGATTTTGGTTAGTTTTAAAATCAAATCTGCATCTCAAAAAATCTATGTAACGGCCCGAAATTCGAGATTTGGGTCGAAAAACAAATTTTGCATTGTTTAAACGATGATATGGATCACAGAAAATCTAGAAAAATGGCTCGAAATTGGGACTATGACCGAAAATGAATTTTTGTATTTTTTAAAATGAAACCCGCATCGCACAAAAATCTAGGAAAATGTTTCAAAATTCCAGATTTTGATCGAAAACGAATTTTTGACTTTTTCAAACTGGAATTTCCATCCCGGAAATTTTGGAAAATTATCCAAAATTTGCGATTTGGGTTGAAAATCGGTTTTTATGGAACTTGTCAATAAACGACCAATGTTCTTCCTCACCATTGCCCTGCTGTGCCCCATCGAAGTCGACGAATCGTGGGCGGTGATGCTGGTGGTGGCCGGGTGGCAGTGACGTTTCTTCCCCCATCCGCGAATCCGTCCACTCCTTGGTGCAGATGGCCATGCATTCCACGACGAGGGCCGTCTTCTCGGCCGGAGGGAGCCACTAAATAAATTGCATAATTTCGAGTAGCCTAAATAAATTCATGATCAAGCATTATAATGAGCGTCTAAAAAAGCCCACTAGCCACCCCCAGATGCATCCGGTTTTTATGTTTCCGGAATCAGTCGGAAGCGCTCGAAAGGCTTTCGAATTCCCCCCGAATTCTAAACAAAATTTCACTTCTCTGCAACGTTTGAAAGACCAACACGAAACTCGAGTGTCGTTGTTGAAATTTTGCTTTTTTAAAAAACCAAAAAAACCTCGCAAAAACCCTTCAAATTTCTGTTTTAATCCAAACAAAAATAAAGGAAATTCCAAAAAAAAACGCGCCTTTTCTAGAGCTTTCGATTTGTGCCTACAACATAAATCGGTGAAAATACAGCGCTAGACAGAGAGCAGACACATTTTTAGAGCCGCCTGCCGAATGAACGGGCGATACCTGAATGTAGATGGTGACCGCCCGGATACGCTTCGACAGCGCTTCCTCCGCGTGTTCGACTGGATCGGGGGCAACGAGTAGTTGTAGGCGAGCGGATCCCTGTTCCTAAAAAAAAACATTTTTCTAACGAACAGTATTGACAAAAACCTGCACATAATGGCCGCCCGTTTCCGACAGCGCCAAGAAGGGCGCCGGCGAGCCGCGCAGCATGTATCGGCACAGGAAATCGGCCTGGAAAAAAAGGTCTATAAAAAGAACAGGAAAAATCACCTGATTTTCCACAGACGCCAGGGCAAATGTGATGATTTCGAGGAGAGACTTTCGCAGCTTGACGATGGCCTCCGACGGCTTTTCCGGGGCGAACAGGTCACAATCGAGCAGCCCGAGCAGCGTGGGTGACACCTGGAAAATGTCATAATTATTAATGCAATCTAAAAAGCTTAAAAATCCGTAGACGCATTTTGACTAAAAAAATCACAAAATACAGAAAATCCGTGCAAACCGAATCTAGAAAAAAAGGAAAAAAAGCCTATTTTACAATGAAATTTTATAATTTTTGCACTTCCATTTTTTTCACAAAAAAGACCCTCCAAAACTAGACTTTAAAATGTAGCAAAAAAAGCAAAAATGCTAGCCAGGCTGTAAAATTCTAAAATTTGAAAATCGCGAAGCGCAAAAAGCTTCGAAAACAACACAAAACGCTAAACTGCTGGTACAAAAGTCTATCTTTACAACCACGAAAAGCGAAATCATTTTCATAAGAATCACATCTAAAAATCGTCAGGAAAAACGCAAAAAAGCTTTATTACAAGAAAATAAACTTAATGCAGTATAAATAAGAAGCACTTCATGCAAAAAAACCATTTCTTTATTTCCGCTTTTCAAGCACAAAAATTCTAGAAATTTACCTCCAAAAGGCGCAGCATTCCGTGCTCGGCGAATGCGGCGGGAGCAGCGTGTTTCTTGCGCGCCCACGTGCCCAGCAGACGCACCGACCCATCCGCAGCATCGTCCCATCGACGCGGAGCCGATTCTGGAGTCAGCGACTGAAAAATCTCGGTACTGTCACATTATCGGGGGGTGGCGGACCTTTCTAAGGAACCAATTTTCTACTACAAATAGAGCAAGTGTTTCTAAACTGTTTTTTACTATCTCTAAACGTAAAAACTTTCCAAAATTAGAATAAAAAACACAAAAAATATATAGAATTTTCGACCAAATGACCATTTTCGAACAAAAATTTGCCTCAAATGTTTGTCTCTTCTGATTTTTTCTACTTGAAATAGAAATAGGCCCTACAAAGACTATTAAAATACTTCCTGCTACGCTGCTCGGCATTTCTAGAGTTATAGGGAAAACAAGGATCACCGTAAAGAAACTACCTCCCAGAATTGGAAGAGCCGGTCGAAGATGAACACCTTGGCGGCGTGCTTGCCCGCTTCGCCCTTGCCCATCAGCACGTCGGTGAACAGCGCCATCAGCCGGCCAATCGGAAGAGTGCCCGCCTAAAAACATAGCCTTTAAAACGCTACGGTACTTTTAAACGGTTCTTTCCCATTATCGGGGGGGGGGGCGAACTATTTTGTATAAGTCTAGAAATGCTTAGAAACTTCATAGAAAATGTTTTAAGGGTTTTCAATAATACATAAAAAATTTCAACCAGAAATCTATCCAAAAACTTCTCATAAACACGACAATTTGGTCGAAAATCGATGTTTTTGGTATTCTTAATACGAATTTGCAAAGTTTTCACGTTTAGGAATAGCAAAAAAACCATTGAAAACCACATCCACTACTTATATTTGAAAAATTAGCCCTAAGAAAAAACGTTGGTCCCTCCGCTAATGCGAAAGAACCTTTTAAACGTACCAAAAGCACTTGGAATAGCTGTCGGGCGATCTTCTCGTAGTAGACGATCGGCTTGTGGCTGCGGGGGACGAGGGCGAGCTGCTTGGCCAGCTGGAATTGCAGTTGCTCGTTTTGCCACATCGCGTCGTTGGCTAAAAACAAACAAAATAAACTTGAAAATTGAGCTCTTTGTACCCATTTGGTTGTAGGCGGTGAGAAGAGCGGAGAGACCATCGTCACGAATGAGCAACGAGGTTAGACGTGCGCCGATCGCCTTCTGGAATTTAATCACTTAAAAGGGACTTTAAAAACGGACAGTTTAAAAAATTTAAAAGGAAAAGGGGACATGCAAATTTTGGTTCTTTCACATTATCGGGGGGAGGCCATACTTTTCCTACAAGCCTAGAAATGCCAATTAAGCTAGTAGTAAGTATTTCACTAGCGTTTTCCCCAAAATTTCACTATATTTCAAGTGGAAACACGAAAAGTTGAAAAAACCATTAGGTTAGATTTTGTTCGAAACATCGATCGCTTAGTGTTTTTTCAATAAAAATTTGCAAAGTACGTTTAGGAACAGTAAAAAAATCGTTCTAAAAAGCTCCATTTCAAACTCTCAGTATTTTTGATGCTCTACCGAGGGCGGAGCGAAAATACCGACAAAATATCGAAAATTTCGAAAAATTTTACGATCACCGGGGCTAGGGGGTAAAGTAAAGTCTAGCCGTAAAATTGCATCCTTTGGGGAAGCCTCCCCCGGTAATGTAAAAGAGCCAAAAGGCCTTTAAAATCGAATACGATACCTGAAAGAAGCAGGGGATCGGGAATTGGCTTCTTGGCCGCGACAACAGCGTCAACTCGACGGCCAGCTCGACGAGGGGCACGTCCGCCAGAAAGCGCTCGTAATTCTTGGCGTTGCCCGTCTCGCCGAATTCCAGTAACTAAAAAAAAGGATAATCAAATACAAGAAATATTCCCTCACCTGCTCATTGGCGCAAATGATGTCGGCGAGGAATTTGGGGGTGAGCTCGTGGCGGAGGGCCGGATTTGCATTGAGTAGACGAGCGATTAGACGGCAGGATTGGAGGAGCCAACTCCTGAAATTGCATTAAATACATAAACTTCACATGTTTTTTTAGCTATTTCGCGCTATTCCTAAACCTAAAAATGTATCAATTTCCATAAAAAATACAGAGGTAGCGATTTTTCGAGCAAAATGACCAACTTTCGCTCAAAATCCCAAATTTTTGGCATTTTCGGCGTTTTCTAAACAGTTTTTGCATTTAAATGAATCGGAATAAGTATAGCAGCGTTGTACAGTATTCCGAAGCGCAAAAAGAAGTCTATAATCTATAAAAAAAATACAAAAAAGCTATTTTCCCCCGACAAATGACCGATTTTCGATAAAAACCCCACATTTTTAAGAACTTCAAGGTGTTCTCAACCGTTTTCTACTTCAAATGTAGCTAAATTTGCTCATAAACGCTCTACATTAACAGCCAAAACAAGCGGCAAACAAAATCCTTTCAAAAACGATACCTTGACGCCACCACGTCCTCCCCCAGGCGCCTCCAGGAACGGATGAACTTCGATCGGCTTTCCACCGGGATTCCGACGCCTAAAAAGGATGATTCCGAGCGTAGATGAAAGCCAAACCTTGTTGGAGATACGGTGAGACGCCGGAAAGAACGAGCAGCTCAAGCGTTTGCCTCACCGTCCTGATATCCCGCACCGACAGCAAGGTCCACGGGTCGCCGGCATTTCTGGAGTCGTCTTCGAGTCGTTGAGTTAACTAAAAAGCATTCTCTTGACATTAAAAAAGTTGCTAATACCTCGTTGACGACGAAGAGGAAGTTCTTGGCGAACACGACGCGCGAATCGTCCTCTGAAGCCTCGGCCGTAGAAGTGGACGGCTAAAAAGATGAAATGAATTGTTGAAATCGGCTGACCAACCTCCATGAATTTATACTGTTCCTGCAATGCCATGTTCAGCTGGGCGAATGGGTCGAATCGGGGCCGACTGTCTTCTAAACAAATGTTTCAACCAATTTTCAGCATCACTAACCGGTTTGGCATTCGTATGTTCGTTGAGTGATGGTAGAGAGTGTGTCGAGACATTTGGCCAGATCGAGGGACAAATTGACTTCCATAGGACCTAGAACAAAGCCATATATTTGTAGAAGCCTGGGCTTCGGCCTAACTTTTAGCATTCGAAACGACACGCAATGGAAATCCAGGGGGGATAGTATCAGTGCGTCGCTCGGGGCAAGAGTCTATCGTTTTTTCTTATAAAACCTAGTTTTTTGTATGAAATTTTGTTCGTATTCGTATTTTTAGGATTCGTAAAAACTCTCCTGGTTATACAAGTCTTTTTTGCAGGTATTTTATGGGCCTCACAAAGCAGTACCTACGCTACGCGCATGTCGGCAGCTTTAACGCGGGTTTGTTTTCGTGTTTCTCGAGTTTTACCCCTTTTTTCGGTCTAAAATGCTGCGAAAATTTGTTTTTATCGTACGTTTTTTAGTGGGCTCGTCGAACGGGGCCGTGGTGGCCGTCGACCACCAGACGTGCGCCGTCACCGCCTGCGAGAACGTCCACTTCTACAACTTTCGCACCGGGGAAAAGGTTTGTTTGTTTTTTCTGGTTGTTTGCAATAATTGCATTCAGGTGGCCTCGCTGAGCGAGTCGGAGAAGCAAGTGACGTGCCTCCGACTCAGCCACAACAAGCAATTCCTGGCCATCGGATACGCCGATGGGGCCATTCGGCTCTTCAATCGACAAGCAGAAGGTTGGCTTCATGCCTTTTTCTAATCAACCGTTTCCACTTTTAGATCAAAACGAGTGCATCGTGTTCATGGGCCACAAGAAGGGCGTCAACTGCCTGGCGTTCAGCCACGACGGGCTGACGCTCGCGTCCGGTGGAAAGGTGCGGGAGGTTTTTGCGTCGCTTTTCTCCGCTAAGGCGGAAGGAAGCTCGAATCCGAACAATTTTGATTACTTTGGAAAGTTTGCGAAAAGACGAAAAAGTTGGCGTTTTTAGGTTTAAAACGTTGATTTCGAGCAACTTTCTAAAGTTTTATAGGCATTTTCGCATTTTCCATTTTTTGCTATTTGAAACTCGATTTTTAGATTAAAAATTAGAATTTTTCTACCCAAAATTGTTAAATTTGGCATTTTTTCAAATTTTTAGAGGTTTTTAACCTTTCAGAATTGTGCTAAAAACGCTAAAACACGTTGCGAAACTAAAAACGCGAATTTTCCGGGATTTCGAGTGCTGAAAAAGTTATTCGGACCCTAGTCCACGCTACGGCGAGCGTTTCAACCTCAAAAATCGTTTTTCAGGACAGCTCGATCGTGTTGTGGGACATTGTCGCAGAGACGGGCCTCTTTCGCCTCAACGGCCACAAGGAATCGATCACACACGTCGAATTCACGCTCGACGACAAGCGCCTCGTCTCGGCCTGCAAGGACACTTTTGTCAAATTCTGGGATGTGGCCTCGCAAAGCTGTTTCTACACGCTCACCGAGAGTCGATCTGAGGTGCTTTTTCATAGATAGCCACTTACTTTTATCTTCTAGATCTACTCGTTTCTGCTGTTGAAAGAGGACACGATGCTCATCGTCGCCACCTCCGAGCTCGAGCTGTACATCTTTGACATGACGTGGTTGAGCGGGGAAGAAGGTCATCTACCGCCTGGCGACGATGGACCGGATTCGAAGAGGCCGAAAGAGACGCAGAAACACCTCGACGGCCCACAACTGCTCGGCGATTGCGAGAATGTGAGTGTTCTGCTGGTTTTTGAGAAATCTCTGATTTTTTGCAGAAATTCGTACGCGTCAGCCTGCGAGGGAAAGTGCTGCGTCAGTGCAAGGGTCGGGCCCTCCAGCTCGCCGCCAGCCCCGACGGACAATTGGTAGCTGCATTGGTCAGTTTTTCTTTTTTTTTTGAGGGTTCCCGGCTCTTTTGCATTATCGGGGGTGGGGGCTTAATTTTTTGTCTAGAAAAGCCTAGGAACTTCATTGTCAGTGTTTTATTAGTCTTTTTGGTAAAATATAGCTAAATTTGAACTGGAAAAACTACCCAAAAACGCTAAAAAAAACGAGAATCGTAATTTTGGCTAAAAATCGGCAATTTTTGGTCGCAAAAAATCGAGGTTTTGTAGGTTTAGCGTGAACTTTTTACGTTTATGATTAATAAAAAACAGTTTAGAGAAGCTTTCGCTATTTTTATTTGAAAAATTGGGTTTTTGACCCCCTCCCCCGCTAATAGACCAGTACCAAAACCCGTCAATTTAGGGCTCGGACCGGCTGATCGACTTCTACCGCGTCTACACCGACGACGAGGCCCGGAAACGGCTCTCCAAAAAGTTGAGAAAAGCCAAGCGAAAAGCGGCGGATAGGTATCGATTTTTTTTCGCCTTACGTGGCGTAACCGTTTTTCAGTGGAGCCGACGAGGGCCCGTCATCAGAAGACGTCGGCAAAGACGTGACGCTCGTGTTCGCGCGGGTTGGCGAATGGCGGGCTGCCGCGAAGCCGAAGTGGATCTCGTTCGCCCCGTCGCAACCTGCCCAACATGACGACGGAGTTCTGCAATATCGGGTAAAATCGTGATTTTTTTAATTTCTAACTCCTTTCTAGGCCTTCTGCCTGTTTGTCAACAACTCGGTCGAGTCGCTGGACATCAAGCTGAACGCGGCCACCAACGAGGTGGTCGTGGAGAAGGCGGCGGACTTGGAGAAGGTCAGCAATTTTTCGAAAAATCTATCTATGTTCTCTTTTTAGATGGGCCATCGCGGCGACGTGCGGTCGATGAGCGTCGCGTCGCACGACTCGCTGCTGGCCACTGGCGGTGGCAATCAGGTACATCTCGTTTCTCTGGCGCCAGTAGATGATCTTCCATTTTCAGGTGATGCTGTGGAACGTCGAGACGTTTCGAGCGGCGAATTGTCTGCAAGAAGAGGGAATGGACGATGTGACCGCCGTCCTCTTTGCCACTGGCGATCGACACATCATCGCCGCCACCAAGGTATGCAGCTTTTGCAGGACCAGCGCTTCCGGGACGTTTCCGATTTCCAGGATTTTGGCACCAAATGAAAGCTCTGAAAAAGACGAATCTCTCAACGAGTTCCGCTGTTGAAAATTCGTGATTTTTTTTGGGTGTTTTGAGCCAGCAGCTGTCTAAAAATTGCATATAAAAATTCCAGGTTCTTTCGCGTTATCGGGGGGAGGACCGTCATTTTTGTATAATTCTAGGAACTTGATAGCAAGTTTTTTGTGAGCATCTTGGGTAAAAATCACGATATTTCAGGTAGAAAACTAGCTAAAAAGTCGAAATTTTGTCGAAAACTCAAATTTTGGTTGTATCTTTTGACAAATTTATAAAGTTTTAAATGGGAAATGGTTAGAAACACTAACGCCATTTTTATTTGAAAAATTCGATCCTTAGCTCCCCGATAATGCAAAAAAGCCAAATTCGAAAAATCGAGCAAAAAAATTTGCAAAATTACGTACATTTTTTGGGATTGATACAGAAATAGCTAAAAACTAACTTTTCTACGGACCGCTAGAAGCCAGAAAATTTTTAGACACTCTTTATGTCAGCAATTTAGACGGGCCAGCTCTTCCTGTTCGAGGTGTCGACGTGTGAATGTCTCGAGAAACGCGACGCGCACGAGGGACCGATTTGGGCATTGGTCCGACTGCCAGACAATACGGTACGCGACCCGTCTCACCCTTTCCAATCCCCCTTTTAGGGTTTCGTGACCGCCTCCGCCGACAAGAAGCTCAAGTTCTGGGGCTACGACCTCGTCAGCGAGGGCACACAGTGAGTTTCGGGCTGCTGGGCGTGCGGACGCGTCGCGTGCGCCCTTCTCTATGGATTTCTGAGGTTTTCGAGGGCACGCGACGCGTCCGCTACGCGTTCACCGGCCGCTCTCGCTTGATGCAGAATACCGAAAGTTGCTGTCCGGTTTTTCGAAATTCGCAAATTTTCGGCGCATATACTAGTATTGTGGCGAAACGGCCCGATTCCCGGGGCTGTTTTCCAATGGAAAAGCGTTTAAAAACCCCATTTCCGGAATTGTTAAATTTTGGAAGGTTTTTTTGAGAAAACGGAGCTTGGATGGCGTCTAAGACGATTAAATTGCTTTTTTGAGAAAAAGCTGTGCAACTTTAGCGCAAAAGTTAGCCGCAATTCGAGAATTTGGCAAAACAGGTCGGCTCGCCTTTTTGAGAGCTTTCGTTTTGCGCCTAGATCCTTAAAAAACCGGAGACTCCTCTGGACGGCTAGACAGGGCTCTTTTTAGAAATATTTTTCTTGCAGAAAACGGCTGACGATGCGCGAGAAGCGTGTGCTAGAGCTGCAGGACGAGGCGCTGTGTGCCGCCATCACCCCCGACGGTCCGTTTGCCGGCATTCGCGTGCAATCGGCTCCTTTTTCAGGCAAATTCCTGATCGTGGGCCTGCTCGACATGACGGCCACCGTGTTCTTCGTCGACACGCTCAAGTTCTACCTGTCTCTCTACGGCCACTCGATGCCCGTCACCTGCTGCACGACAAGCCCGGTATGGGGGGTGGGGGTTTGCCGGGGAAACGGTGAAAATGCCGACAAATGAAATTGCGACACCCAAAATGCCGACGGATGGATTTTCGAGCGCCCAAATACCGACAAATGAAATGCCGACAGATTAAATGCGGAGAACCGAAATGCCGACAACCAAAATGCCGACAAGCCAGATGGCCGACACACAAGCGCGAATTTTGACCGCATCATCTCGGCTCTCGCCATTTTTCCTTGCCAGTATTTTTGCTGTCGGCATTTTGAATCTCGGAATTTTGTATTGTTGGCGGTCATTTCGGTCCGGACATTTTGGCGGTCGGCATTTTCGCTATCGAAGTGTCAAAAGTCACGATTTTTCACCCCCGCGGCCTTTCAAATGTCGGCATTTCAGTTGTCGCCTTTTGTCTTGTCGGTATTTTCAATTTTGATCTCGGGAATGTCGGCATTTTTATGTCTGAATTTCACCTTTTCGGCGTTTTGGCCGTCTGTTTTTCAAAAGCGATCAGCTATTTCAAATGAACGCGATCTTTCGAGTTGGGGGCAGGGGCAGGCTAGCAGCGGAAATTTGGGGAAAAATTATCGGTTTTTCTTTACTAGAGGCGCTGTTCTTATTTTGTACATTTCAGGACAACAAGCTGGTGGTGACCGGATCGGCCGACAAGACGATCAAGATCTGGGGCCTCGACTTTGGCGACTGTCACAAGTCTTTTCACGCACACGATGAAGCGTCAGTTTTTCATTTTTATCTTCCTCTCTCTCTCTCTCTCTCTCTCTCAAAATCTATCTTTTTCAGTGTCTCTGCCGTGCTGTTCTCGCCAAGCGATGAGATGCTCGTCTGGTCGGCGGGTCGAGACGGAAAGGTGAATTCTCCCGTTGTTCTCCGTATCTCTAAATTCAGATTCGCCAGTGGGACGCCGTCAAGTTCGAGGCGGTGCAGAAGCTGGACAGACACACGGCCGAGATGAGGGCCCTGGCGCAGACGAGCAATGGAAATATGCTGTTGACGGCCTCACACGATCGATCGATTCGTGGATGGGAATTGACGGAGGAGATTGTTGTGCTGCAGGAAGAGGAAGAGGTCGAACGAGAGGTATCTCCTAATTTTTACGCTGTTTTGGAGCCCGGTTTCCCTAATTTTTCTGCTAATTTAATTCATTTATTTTTATTTCGAATTTTTTCTAATTTGGCCAAAAAACGATAGCTGTCTCGCAAAAATCACCGATTACGCGGTATAATTCCACGAAAAACCGGTTACGACAGCTAATTCGGCGCGAAAGAGTCTAATTGATTACGCCGCAAATATGGGCAAGAGACATTCGATTATGGCGTGTAATTCGGGCGACGGCGTAATCGCTTACGGCGTCTATTTCCGCTGGGGTTGTAACGGATTACGATAGGTATTGCTCGCGGGCGAATCGATTATGGCATGTAATTACACGGTTACAATCGCTTACGGCGTTCATTTCCCGGGTAAAATGGGTTACGATAGGTATTTCTGGAGGTAGGAATCGCTTACGACCAGGGTTGTTCACCGATGGACCCGGATCGGTGAGGATCCGGATCGGATCTGGATCCGGATCCGGATCGGATCCGCAGTAGGGTCCGGATCCAGATCCAGATCCGGATCCGCTCGGATCCGGATCCAATGCGGATCCGAGGAAAAAAGGGACCGGAAGGAATATTCTTGATTCTGATGCTGATTCGGTCATGTTAATCGCAAAAATACATAGCCCAGAGGCAGAACTGATCTTTGCATCTAAGAATTAGCACTTAACTCGGTTGCATGATCCATTTCCTTGGATCCGGATCGGATCGGATCCGCCCTGGATCTGGATCCGGATCCGGATCCTACGGCGGATCCGCCCTGGATCTGGATCCGGATCCGGATCCTACGGCGGATCCGGATCCGGATCCGATCCAGATCCAGATCCGGATCCAGTCCGATCCGAAAATGACCAACCCTGCTTACGACATGTAATTATTGGGTTAGAATCGATTACGATAGGTTTTGCGCGCGAGCGAATCGATTACGGCGTTCAATTCCCCGGGCGAAATCGATTACGGCATGTAATTATGAGGCCTGTGTTAGTCAATACAGGATTTGGATGTAAAGTCGTTGGTTTCAGAAGCTGTACGAGGAGAAGCTGGCCGATGACGAGGATGTGGTGGCTGGAGAGACAAAGGATAGTGAGGCCACGGTGGCTGAGAGGAAGAGCGAGCACACAATTATCGCTGTCAGTTGTTGTCTGGCGTACTGTAAATCGGGTTGTTTTTAGACGGAAAGCATCATCGAGGCCATCGACATTGTCCGAAAGGAGCGACAGGTCGACAAGGACGATTTGGAGGTACTTTTCCGGTTCTTTTGCATTATCGGGGGGTTTCTAGGGTTTAATTTTTGAAATATAAATAGTGGGAGTATTTCTAAACGTTTTTTGCTATTCCTAAACGTAAAAACTTTACAAATTTTCATTAAAAAAATCAAAAACATCGATTTTTGACCAGAAATTCGATTTTTTGAAACATTTTTTAACGTTTTTAGTTAATTTTTCTGGTTGAAATATTGTTAAAAGTTACTAAAAACACCATTAAAACACTTTGTAATGACTTACCAGGCATTTCTAGACATAAAAAATCGTCCCCCCGCTAAAAGTCCAGTACCCATATGTTCCAAAAAAACCCCGAAAAATCGCCAATTTTCCAGCACACTCCGCACCCGCTGTACCTGGCCTACCGTAGCGCGAGTGTCGACCATTTTGTGCTGGATGTGATTGGGAAGATTCGTGCCTCATATGTCGATCGATGTCTCCTCCTATTGCCCCTCTCATATCTGGGCGATATTCTGCAGGCGATGGCTGGATGTGTGGCCAACAAATACAAGGTCGAACTGGCCAGTCGCATCGCCCTCTTCCTCATCAAGTACGTTGTCATTTTTATTTAATTTCTTTTGCGGCTCGTTTTAAAGGGACAGGCAACTCGAATTTTTCTCGGGCGAGAAGGCGCTTTTTTAAAATTTTCTAACCATAATTTTTGTAAAAGACCTGATCTGAAAGGGCGCATCTTGCTGAGCAAAATGCGCTATATAACTTTGCTTATTTGGATTCTTACGATTTTTACAATGTTTTTTACAAATTGCGATTTTATTTTGCCGAAAAACAACCTAAAGTTCGCTGTAACTTTTCAAATAGCGCCATTCGGAATCGGCGAAAAATTCTAAAGAATTCTTATTTCAAATTTCCGTCCTGTACACTTTACACGTTACTGTAAGCGGCCATGAAAATCCATTTAATGGATCCATTACGCCATCAAAATTCGATACGTGTCGCCGTCACGCCAAAATTTACGGGCACTCCATGGTCGTGATGCCTTGCCTGTCCCTTTACAATTTCTTCATTCCAGAATGCACCACTGCCACGTGACAAACAGCGTCGAGATGGTGCCCATCGTCGGGCTATTGCGCGCCAATTTGCCCAAGGGGATTCGGCAAATAAAGGTGGGAATCTCTCTCTCTCTCTCTCTCTCTCTCTCTCTCTCTCTCTCTCTATTTTCCCCTCTTTTCAGGACACGGCCAGCTTCAACTTTGCGGCCCTTCGACTGCTTGCCAACGAGATTGAGAACAGCCAAGAGGTTGGTCATCTACCCCTTTCCGAAAAAGCACAAATTTCCCCACTGCCGGGCGTCGAACCCGCGTCGTACGGGCGGCATATTGTAGTTTGTAGTCTGTAGGCTCCTCTCATGCCCCCCGATCCCTCAACCCGTTACGCCATCTAAAAACGCCCACCGAATTCCATGCCGTAATCAATCCCCCAGGATTATCCGATTACGCGATGGAATTCCGCTACCCGGGTTCGACCCCCGGCCGCGCCAAACTTTTTGGTTTTAAGTTTTAGACCTAGATTTCGATAGAAATCGGCCAACTGGCAACCAAATTATAGACTATAGACTACAGGCTACAAACTCGCCGCCAGATACCCCGGGTTCGACCCCCGGCCACGCCAAACTTTTTGGTTTTAAGTTTTAGACCTAGATTTCGATGGAAATCGGCCAACTGGCAACCAAATTATAGACTACAGGCTACAAAATGGCCTCCAGATACCCCGGGTTCGACCCCCGGCCACGCCAAACTTTTTGCTTTTTGGGATCAGGCCTCGGATTTTGGTGAAAATAGCTAAATTGGCGCTTATACTACACGGAATATAGACTACAGACTACAATCTGTCACCCAATTCACCCGGGTTCGACCCCCGGACGCGACAGAATTTTTTGCTTTTTGCCGGAAATTTTTCTGCTTTGAATGAAATTTATTTTTATTTGTTTCAGATTCGCGTCTTCTCGGATCTGTCGAAAATCGAGAAGAAGCAGAACAAGAAGAAGAAGCAGCAACAGGAACAGGGCACCAACAACAAGAAGGCCGTCCTCCACACGCTCGCCGCCTGATTATACGAATTCCGATTTTCGTAAAATTTTTATGACCATTGGAAATCTATAATTTCCCTTTCGTCATTTCCGTTGTTATTTCATTTGAGTTTCTGTTATTTGTCGCTTGTTATTGTCATTTTGTTGATGGTTGTTTTTGTTTGTCTCGCCCGCGATTAATAAATCCTTATTTCCAACGTCCGAAATGCAATAAATTACGGTAGAATTGGTCGTCATTTAGTCCTCGTCGCTCCACGCGTCTGCCCGTGCCGTCTCTTCGATACCGCGTCGTGCGGGCGAGCCGAGCTTCTGTCGTCGGTAGAGCGTTTGTCTCTCACGGAATTTTTGTTTTGGGCGTTTTGTCAGATGTCAGACGATTTTATGCAAAAAATTCCGTGTTTTTGTGCAAAAAGCAAAAGGAATTGTGCAGGGCGGGGGATCGAACCGTGACCCTGTGCTTGGCAAGCGAACACCTTGCCAATGCACCATCGTACCAACCGGGCAGGGGGCTGCGGGAGGATAGATAAGGGGCACGGCAATGCCTTGACCCAGGCCGGGAATAGTGGGCCAGCATCCGAATTTATGCCGTTTTTAAGCTTAACCAGGGTTGAAAAGCCGCTACGCGGCTTTTCGCCCCTGGCCTCTCTGCGGGGACCTTTGATACACGGGGATTTTGCATATTATAATTTGCATCAATTACGTTAGAGGTCTGAAATGATCGTAATTACGTGAGCAACCGACTCCGAGCCCCGCAAGACCCAAAATGAGCCGAATTATCATTCGTATGCAAATCAGTCTATTTCCATATGTTTTAAAAACGTTAAAATAAGGTATAAAACGCAATTTTAGTAAAAATCTGATAAGCGTGCAGTAATCTACGCCCTCGGCTACCCCTAACTACCTTACTTCTGGGCCAAAAAACCCTTTCCCCTTCGAGTTATGACTGGAACCCGGGATTTTATGCAAAGTGTCTACACACACACAGACACTATTTTTTTATATATAGTAGGATTTCGACCTCAAATTACTTTTTAACGCAAAGTCCGCAGCAAATTTGGAAAACGGATTCGGAATCAGCAAAAAATTCTGGGCACGATAAGCTTGGTCCCATTCTAAAACGCCAGCCTGGGTAAAAACACTTTACAGTGAGTCAAGGGCCCATGCTTGGCCTGCGGCGCCAGAGCCAGCCGCGTTGCGCTAGAATCTTTGAGCCTGCGGCGCTAGCTACTATCCTAGTATCGAATACATAAGTTTTCCGGGAAACTATCAGAATCTCGAAAATATGTACGCTTTTCCCATCAAAAAAAAGTGTCAGGTAGCCGCCGACCAACACGAATCGGCCTAAAATGGTGTATTTTAGTCTGGATTTTCGAGATTCTGATAGCAAATCGAGTGTTCCAAACTACAGCCCGAAATTCAATCTGGGCATCGACTTATGCCTCGGACATCACGGCCGGTAGCACAGTTTGTTAAGGGTTTTTCACATTCATGCTTGTAAAATTGTTAAATGAAGTCCTTTCGAAAATACCAAAAAAAAGACCTTTGAATTTGTTTGAACCTTGAAAATCGATTTATTCAATGTAAAAAAAAATTGAAGGCGATCACGATCACGTCTTATTGAGATTCGGCCGACGCCTTCGTGATGTACTCCTTGAATTCTGGAAACAAAACGAACAATTCGCTATCCGCTATTACATAATGCCGCTTTCCAAAATACCGCCTTTCTATATATCGCTTTTCATAAGGCCGCTTTTTCAAAATACCGCTTTTTACCGGCTAAGTTATAATAATAGCAAATTTTTAAAATAGCATATTTTTTGTAGACAGAGAATGCTTTTTTTGTATTTTTTTTGTAAACAGATAAACCTAAAAACAATAACTTTACAAATTTTAACGCCGTTCTTAGTTTCTAAGATTTGAAGATCGCATTTTTGATCGGAGTGTTAATGAATAGGGGAGCCGGGGCCCATAAAAAAATCATTTTTCCCGGTCTCGCCGTTAATTGAAAAAGCGGCATTATGAAAAAGCGGTCTTCTGAGGCGCCTTATACTGAAATTAAATTAGCCCAAATATTAGTCCTTAAAGGGGCTCCGAAATCTGGTCCCCGGCCCCCAGCGTTGATTCCTGGCAAATTGCCAGATGCGGCCGCAACGCGACCGCGCCGCATGATCTTTTGCCCCTTTTTGGACGGGAAAACTTTGGACTTTCAAAATTGTGACGCTATTTCTGGGATCCTCATCGAATTTTGATCATTCTAGACATTTTAATGATGAAAATTGGTCAGAGAATCACTGACATCGAATGTTTGGACACCTTATAGGGCATTACGACATGTAATCGCCATGCGCTCAAAAAGCCACCCGAGAACTTTTCGGTTTTTGCTCAAATATTCTACGTTTTTTTTTTGTCGTAACTAAATTAATTTTGTACTGCTTTTCTGAGGTGACCCTTTCGTTTTTAGGTTCAGTCCCCGCGTGCGCGAATTTTGACTTGCGAGCCCCTTTAAACATCGATACCTTAACGAATCACTTGATTTCCTTCCCCCATCCAACAGCCCCAACACAAGTAGCGCAAATTCCAGTTGAAAATCCTGTCGCAATGTACCGTACCCTCAAAGGAGATCTTCTGGTCTCCGTCCTTGTCGGCCGACTTGATGATGTTGATGAGGAAACGGAGGTTCGTCTTCCACACCGGGTCCTTCTTGTCGTCCTGCAAACTGGCAATTTCATCGCGTAATCGTTGTTTTTCAACAAGTTTTCGGCAATTTTCCCGTCGATTTCCATGGCGTAATCGATTATTTTTATGGAATCTCGGCATTTTTAGCCAATTTAGATTCCGGAATCGATTCGACTAGTAAATTTTATCGATTTTGATGTCGTAATCGATTTTTTGGTCGGAATTTTGCCATTTTCCCCTCGATTTCCACGGCATAATCGATTATTTGGCTGAATTTTCAGCCTATTTAAATTGCGTAATCGATTCACGCGCAAAATTTTGCGGATTTTGACGGCGTAACCGAATATCGAGCGCTTTCACCGCGGTTTTTTCCTGCCGTAATCGATTATGCCGATCGAATTTTGGCCGTTTTCTAGCCGCTTTTCGTGGTATGGTACAGCGTATATTTTTCGTAGAATTAGAGCTTCGCATTCCTGTCGTAATCGATTTGGTGGCATGATTTTTCTATATTCATCGCCTAACCGGTTAGACCTATGCTGTTTTGTCGGAAAAACACGGACCTTCTCGGCGCCGAGGAGCATGCAGACGATGTCCTCCTTGCCGATGAAGCCGCTCATGTCCTTGTCGTGCTGTTGGAACATCTCGCGAAGCTCATGCTCTGGAAGGCGAGGGATGGGGAAAGCGAGAGAGCGACGGAGAGATAGCGAGAGAAACTCGAGTTTTGGTCGAAAACCCAGATTTTTTTGTAATTTTTTGCTCAAAATTTGTAAAGGTTTAAGGTTTTAAGGTAGGTAGGCGTAAGTTTTTATCGTTAAAGCCAGTTTAGAAACACTTACCGTATTGATATTAGAAAAATTCAAAATAAAATCTGTTTCTCTCTGCTTTCTCACTCTCTCTCTATCTCTCGCTCTCGCTCTCTCTCTTTCTCTCGCTCGCTCTCTCGCTCTAATTCTAGCGTTTTACGATCTACAGAGTGAGACAGAGAGCGAGAGAGAGAGAGAGAGAGAGAGAGAGAGAGAGAGAGAGAGAGAGAGAGAAGAAACCATTGTCGAAAAAATGAACATAACTCACCCCACGAAGCCATAATTGCCGCTTTTTCGAATCGATAGTTTTGGGGGGCTAGAAAGTGGACTAACGGACTGACTGTCCGCCAGAAGGAAGGGCGGATAAGCGGCCCCCGATTTTCAGAAAGTCTCGGCTCGAAGGTGGGGGATATTTGCTTGGCCCTCGTTACCCTCACCCCCCGAGATCCGCAAAGTGCAGGGCTCCATCTGTCTCCGTCTGTCTGTCTTTTTGTCCCATGTCTAGGGGCAGGCTAGCAGAGACGATTCGGGAAAATTCCTGAAGGATCTCTGCTGGCTCTACGGAATGCAAACAGGCAAATTGCAGGCAAACGAGCAGAGATATTTTGAGGAAATCCGGGCGGCAAATTCAAGAGGGTTCCGTTTGTCGGTTTGTCTGTCTGTCTGCTTATCTCTCTCTCTCGCTCTCTCCCTCCCTCTCTCCCACTCTCTCCCTCCTCTCCCCCCCTCCTCCTCTCTCTCTCTCTCTCTCTCTCTCCTCTCTCTCTCTCTCTCTCCCTCCTCTTCTCTCTCTCTCCTCCCTCTCTTCCCCTCTCTCTCCTCTCTCTCTCTCTCTCTCTCTCTCTCTCTCTCTCTCTCTCTCTCTCTCTCTCTCTCTTTTCTCTCGTTTCTGGGAATGGTGAGTGAGAAGTGCGTGGGCAAACAAACAGAGCGATCCTCATGCCAATCTCCACGCGCCATACTGTAACAAATCAGGGGGCCGCAAGCTGGCAGAGACAATTTACGGAAAACGGGGCAGGCCAGCAGAGATCTTTGCGGAATTTTGCGATTGGCGGCAAAACGCGATTGTATTTACCCTTTTTCAGAGATTGCCGCGGCGACAAACTGCAAAAATTGGGCGACGGCAGGGGGACAAACGAGCAGAGATCATTTTGGCGTCATTTTCCGCCTTACTGGAGGCCAGCTAGCAGGGATCCTTGAGGAATTGCGGGAATCCAAATTTTTGAAGTGATAACACAAGAATTTCAAATTTTTCCATCCTTTTCCGGGCCCTCCAGGGGCCAATTTTGGCAATTAGCCAGCGGCCCAGAATATATTGGGAGGGCCCCTAGGCAGTAGGGCCCTTTTCTCTGGGCCCCTGGGCCCCACTGGACAGTGGGGAAGAGACGCAGCGAGGGCCCAAAGAGGGGCATAAAGCCCTGCCGGAAGGGGGGACGCGTCGCGGCGGCCCACGCGGCCCCTTCCAGGCCCTCGGCCGCGGCCCCGGCCGATTACGCCACCAAATACACCGTTTCCTGTCGACTGTACGCCCGGCTACAGGCTACACACAAAATTTTTGGTCTGAAATGGCAAAATTTTCTAAATTGCACTTTTTTCGGGTTTTTTTTGAGTAATCTCGGATCGATTACGCCATTTAAATGGCTTCTCACACCGCTTGAAAGTTTCGGTTTTTAGTTTTTTTAATGCAGCGACATACAGGCTACAAACTACACGAAAATTGTTGGCCTGGAATGACAAATTATTCCAAATTTCAATTTTTTCGTTTTTTTTTGAGTACTCGCGGATCGATTGCGCCATTTAAATAGGCTTACCCCTTTTCTGGAAGCTCAATTTTCTTGATTTCCTCCAAAATGGCAGTCAGGCTACAGGCTACACGAAAAATTGTTGGCCTGGAATGGCAAATTTTTCTAAATTGCACTTTTTTCGGTTTTTTGAGTAGTCTCGGATCGATTACGCCATTTAAATGGGCTTGCCCGGCTTCAGGGAGCTCAATTTTCTCGATTTTCTCCAAACTGGCAGCCAGGCTACAAACTACACGAAAAATTATTGGTCTGGAAACGCGAATTTTCGAAAAATCACGTTTTTCTCGTGTGCTTGAAACCTCGAATCGATTATGCTCTGTAAATACCAAATATCCGGCAAGGATTTTGTGAATTTCTCTAAACTGTCGTGCAAGCTACAGGCTACAAGCTACAAAATCGAATTTTTGTAGCCCCGAAAATGGAGTCGGCGCTGAACGGGCTGGCCGCGCAGGCCAAAACGTCGACGCTCAGGGAGACGGTGGCCATGGCAAGAGGTGTGTTTCGTAGTTTGTCGGCGACGTTTTTGGGGCGGTTTCCGGTCGAAATCCGGTTGAGACCGGTCTGATTTTGGTACCGGACGCCGCTTCGCGCCAAAACCTTCTCGATTCTGGCCATTTCCGGTCGCGTTCCGAGTAAGAAGCTCCCAAAAACCCCCGTTTTTCAGAGGCCCTGGCGAACATGAAGACGAAGGGAGACACACCGGTGGTATATGTCAGGGAGAAGCTGCTGTCGGCATTCGAATTGGCATTGGAAGTCGGGTCCGAGAAGGCACAGCAGCATTCGATTGAGGGAATACAGGTCTGTCCGCTCGCGTGTAGTTTGTAGTCTGTAGTCTGGTGGCCAGTTTGGCCATTCCCAGCAAAAACCCGAGCCTAACTCCCAAAAAGCAAAAATTGAGACGCGGCCGGGGGTCGAACCCGGGGGTCTGTGGCTGCTAGTTTGTAGTTTGTAGCCTGGATCATTTTTAGTATCTAGTCCTGTAGTTTGTAGTCTGTAGCCTGGTGGCCAGCTTGGCCATTCCCAGCAAAATACAAGCCTAATCCCCAAAAGCAAAAATTGAGACGCGGCTGGGGGTCGAACCCGGGTCGTCTGGGTGACAGTTTGTAGTTTGTAGCCTGGATCATTTTTAGCGCCTAGTCCTGTAGTTTGTAGTCTGGTGGCCAGTTTTGCCATCACAAGCAATTTCCGCGCCTAAATCCCAAAAAGCAAAAATTTGGGCGCTGCCGGGGTCGAACCCTGGCCGTGCGGGTGACAGTTTGTAGTTTGTAGCCTGGATCATTTTTAGTGCCTAGTCCTGTAGTCTGTAGTCTGGTGGCCAGTTTGGCCATTCCCAGCAAAATCGGAGCCGAAATCCCAGAAACCAAAAATTTAGCGGCGGCCGGGGGTCGAACCCTGGCCGTGCGGGTGACAGTTTGTAGTTTGTAGCCTGGATCTTGATTTTCAGTGTTTAATCCGCGATCGCCGATTCCACTCCAGTCAACAGGAGAATCCGGAAGACGGGCTGCCGGCTCAGGTTCGTTCCGCAAATTGTCTCGGCTAGCCTGCCCACCTTTTTTCAGTTGCTGAACTCATTGAACGCGATCGCCCACTTTGGCCACCAAGTGCAATGCCATTGTCTTACGGTAAGTGCTCACTTGCAGGTCCCTTTAAAATTGCTTTTGAGGTGATCGTCGAGTTGATCTGCAGCGTCGAGCTGAAGATTACGGTATTGGAGCTGCAGACGGCGCTTGAGGTACGGTAGCCGAAAATGATTCCCTGGCGTAATTGATTAGTTTGCGAATTTCATGGCGTAATCGAAGCCTACTAAGCCTAAGCCCAAGCCCAAGCCTAAGCTAAGCCTAAGCCAAGCCTAAGCCAAGCCTAAGCCAAGCCTAAGCCAAGCCTAAGCCAAGCCTAAGCCAAGCCTAAGCCAAGCCTAATCCAAGTCTAAGCCAAGCCTAAGTCAAGCTTAAGCCAAGCCTAAGCCAAGCCTAAGACTAAGCCTAACCAAGCCTAAGCCAAGCCTAAGCCAAGCCTAATTGTAAGCCCAAGCGTTTTTCATACGGTAATTGTTCAAGCGCCCGGTTACCGTAACCCTCGCTCCATTTTCAGTTGTGCATGCGTGCCTTCGGCGCGTCTCGCGAGGAATCGGCGCGTATGTCCGCCCGTGCGGCCATCTCACAGAGTATCGCCTCGTACTGCTCCAATCGCTATAATCGATGTGTGAGTTTTGAGAAATCGCGTTTTCCGCCAAGCCACGCCCACTTTAAAGGCACTGGCAAGGGCTCCCAAGCGGCGTTGGTGGAGAAAAATCGACAGTCCGCCTTTCAGGAAACTCCGCAAGACTACCTTACCGTATACCTCGACGCGACGGCCCTTTTGGAGGGATATGTGGCGAAGCTGGATAGTTTATCCATCGGATCCGAGCAGTCATTGGTATCATTTTTTATGATGGATGGATATGATTTTTAGGTGTTATTCGACGCGACAAATGCGTTACTATCTGCACAGCCATTGTCGATTGAAGCACATCGACCATTTGTCAATTTATTATGGTGAGAGAGAGAGAGAGAGAGAGAGAGAGAGAACGAGAGAGACAGAGAGAGACAAAGGAACGAGCGAGAGTGAGAGACTGAAAGTGAGAGAGCGAGAATGAGAGAGAGAGAGAGAGAGGGAGAGAGAGAGAGAGTGAGAGAGATCTTTCCAGGGAGAAGCTGTGTCCACTGATGATCCGTCTCCTCGGAGTCCCAGATCGTGCTCGCGGCTCCCCAATTCCTCCGGATCGCTCGTCCTCAACCGGAAGCACCGATACAGAACCGCTTGGCCAAGGACAGATTGCCAGGTGAGGCCGATAGCATGTTTTTAAGCCTCTAAACCACAAACTGACGTCGAAACACCCCGGGATCGACCCCCGGCCGCGACGACATTCTTGCTTTTTTGTGATTTGACCCCAGTTTTTGATTGGCATCACCAAACTGGCAAGCAGATTGGCGGCTTAAAATTTATAAAACGCATACAAGCTATTTTTAACCATCTCGATTGCAGATTCGCCCTCAGCCCAGCGGCCATGGCCAACCCTGAAGCGACGCGAGCACTGTATTTGTAGGTTTTTATTTCCGCTTTTCCGATCTGGTTACGCTAGAAAATTCTATAAAAATGTTATAATCTATTACTTGACGAAATCACCCGTTTTCTAGTCGATTACGCCATTTAATTCTTGCGTTTTCACCGCCTTTCGATGACGAATCGGTTACGCCATGTAATGAGCGCCGATCTAGCCAAAAAAAAAACTGAAAAATAATGCACCCTGCGCCACTAATCGATCACGGGCCAAATATTGTCGCTTTCAGAATCGTGGAGCAGTTGATGCGGCTGATGTGTGGGCACGCGGATCTGCATTCAATGCTCGAAGCCCTCGTCCACAAGGCTCTCCTCTTTCCCGTCGTTGAACATCGACTCGAGGCCGTTCGCCTCTGCAGAAAGGTCCGCTTTTTGGGTCTAAAAAATTGGAAAATACAGTTAAAAAGACTAGCGTAATTTTTCCTTCGAAAATTTGACTTAATCCACGCTCTAAAAGCATCAAAAAAATACTTCGAAACGAATTTTGGGGCAATTTCCCCTAAATTAGCGCTTAAAATACAATTAGAAAATGTTACCATGGTTTTCGCGGCGAAATTCGATTAAATCCGCTTTAAAATTGGCGCTAAAAAGTTATAAAAATATTATCCTAGCTTTCTCCGCAAAATTCAACTTAATTTAGCGCCTAAAACGTTTTTAATCCCGCCAAAAACCGCATCAAAAAGAAGGAAAACTGAATTACGGGGCAAAAATTCGTACATAAAAAATTTTCCGCCAAAATTTAACCTATTTTTAGCTCGAAAAAGGTTTTAAAACTATTATCGTAACATTCCCGACAAAATTCAAGTTAATTTAGATCCTAAAACGGTTTTAACCCCGCAATAATCGACGAAAATTCGAAAATAAATACAATTGACATCTCTATCGTAACTTTTCCGCTAAAATAAACCTTTTTTTAGCTTTAGAAAGGGGTTAAAACTATTATCGTAACTTTCCCGACAAAATTCAAGTTAATTTAGCGCCTAAAACGTTTTTAATCCGCCAAAAACCGCCTCAAAAAGGAGAAGAACTCAGTTACTTGACGAAAACTCGAAAATAAGTACAATTCACGTCGCTATCGTAACTTTCCCGCTAAAATTTAACATATTTTTAGCTCCAAAAATGTTTTGAAAAGGCTATCGTAACTATCCCGACCAAATTCCTTTCAATTAAGCGCCTAAAACATTTTTAATCCGCCAAAAACCGTATGAAAAAGAAGAAAAACTCAATTTTTAACAAAAGCGCGCAAAACCAGCAAAAACCAATGCAATTCCCGGGGTCACCAAGCAAAAAGCAAAACTTCTGCCCCATGCCAGGCTCGAACTGGCGACCTTGGCATCTCTTACAGACTATAAGTACCACGCGCTAACCGACTGCGCCAATGGGGCACGCCTCCTGGGCGGGCGGGGAGGCCTGTTGAAGGGTTGGAGGGGTGGGGGGAGGGGATGGGCGTGGCACAGCCCTAGGGGGAAGAGAGCGCGTCGGGAGGGGAGAGGGCCAGAGAGTGGAACCCACATCCAAACACGGCCACCCACCCAAAAACAATCTTTTGGAAATGGTTGGGTGATAGCGTCGGCTTTTCCGTTGGCTAGCGTGCTGGTTGGCCAAACTGACGGCCAGGGCACCACTTGGGCCCCCTCGGAGCCAATCGATCGATAAGCGGGGCGAGAGGGCGGGCACCAAGAACACTGGTGAAGCCCCCAAAAGTTGACGAAAAGCCATTGGCACCAAAATTTTCAGCGCGAAACCCTAAACTGCCGGGTGGAGAACGCGAAAATGATAGCCGGAGCTCAGGAAATTGGGGAATTGCGGAAAAACCGGCAATTAACGCGAGATTTTTGCCAAAAATTCTATTATTGGGCTATTTAGGCGCCGGATTTAGATTTGCAATACGTGCCGGAGGGCAATTTGCAAGATTTCGTGCTAAAAATAAATCGAGTGATGTGTAGAACTTTTTTTGGGATTTTAAAAACCCTCAAATCCCGGTGAAACGCCGATTTTGTGCCTAGTGACAGTGAAAATCAGCTATTTCACGGCAAAAACTACCGGAAAACACGCACCGCTCGTCAGCTGAAACTACAAACTACACGCGAGCAGCTAGCACGTTTTTTGAAAGCTAAAAAAAATCAGGATTTCCCCTTGTGACCCCAAAAACGAACGGAAACCCGTGAATCTGGTAGCGAAATTGTGGGAAACTCGTAAAATAACAATTTCTAGAGCTGGAATATCGATTTCCCTTGTTTTTTAATAGTATTTACCTTATTTAAATGCTCAAAACAATTTTTTAAAGTTTATTTGATAAAACGCACCCAAAAAAACCAGGTAAACTTGCATTCCAAAAGTTTCTGTGCGCAAAAATACTTGTAAAATCTGCCAAAATGAAAACTGGCAGGCAGAAAGCCGATTTCCGGCAAAAGTGTCTCAATTTTGCTTGGCTGCAGCGAGAAATCTAGCGCTGAAGCTTTTGATGGGAAGGCGGGGGTGGGTGGGGCGAGAGAGTGGGAAGAGGGAGAGGGCGCAGACGGCCAGCCATCGCTCGCCTAGACCCCTCGAAATCATGGATTTCCGGCCGAATCTCGCCGGGAAAGCCTTCGGAAAATTATTTTAATGTCGTAATCGATTGTGTAGGTGCAGGAAGGGGGACTGATCATCAAAAAAAAAAAAATTAAAATCGGGTTAATTTCGTTTACAAAACGGGAATGAATACGAAAAATGCTAAATTCACGGGGCCAGCTAGCGGAGATCATTTAGGAAAAATGGTTTGAATGTCGTAATCGATTGGGTCGGTGCCAGGAGGGGTGCTGATCAAAAAAAAAAGACAAAAAATCAGGCTAAAATCGTCTAAAAACGCGTTCAAACGCGAAAAATGCTAAATTCACGGGGCGAGCTAGCGGAGAACATTTTGGAAGCCGAATTTCTATGTCGTAATCGATTGGGTGGATGCCAGAAGGGTTTCTGATCTAAAAAAACGCGGAAAATTTAGGCTACCGGGTCGGAAATCCGAGGAAAAATGCAAATATGACCAAAAAAAGAGCGCATTTCACGGGCTGGCTAGCCGAGAGCGCCTAGGAAATCACCTTTTTATGTCGTAACCGGTTCTCCGGGTGTCAGAAAAGCTATTGAGTGCAAAAAGAACAGAACTCGGGGGTAAGAATCTCGCTAATCTCTGAAAAAAACGCAGAAAAAGCAGTTTTGGGTCTGAAACAAGCAGAGACCATTTAGGAAATCGCATAAAAATTCTTTTTCAGATGCTGGGCGACCCGAGGCGGCTGGCGGACGTGATCCGGGCCGCAACAGAGAGGGGTGGAGATCTGTCGCTGTGGCGGATGGCCGTCGTTTGTCTGCAAGAATCGGCCGATCCGAATGGACCACTGGCCCTCGATGCCGTTAGGGCGTGTGCGCATATGGTGAGTCGGGGGCAAACGAGCCGGGATTCTTGGGGAAATTTGTTTTTTATTGTTTTTTTAGGAGATTTTTATATCGAAAAACTATGTAAAATGCTAAAAAATGGTTTTGTTTCGTTATAGAGCCGGACGGAGTTAAAAGGAACAATTTTTTGATCCCCCCCGTTAACAGAACAGCACCGAGATGTGCGAAATTTCGATTAGTGCTGCGAATCGGCCTTTTTCAGCTGCAAGGCCTCATCGAGCTGTGTGATCGTGACGTTCTCGCTGAACAGAGTCGCGGCTGGCTGGTCGACAATTTCGGCTCGCTGCAACATGTCAACGCCCAGGGTACGGTAGAAGCGCCCCGCTGCGCGGCAGTTTATCGGGATTAAACCCAGAAATCAAGTAAAAATTAATAAAAAAATTAAAATGGACCAAAAAACCCAATTTCCAATCGATTACGCCATGAAATTCCAGGGTTCCTGCCCCGGCAATCCAGCGACGGGCCAGCGCCGGCAAACCTTGAGCTACGCACGGAAACTGTGGACGCAGAGGAGCCGGATACGGTAGGGGCATTTCCTAAAGGGTCTTTGCTAGCCTGCCCTTGCCTGGAAATCGCCTTTTTGGAAGCGATTACGCAATTAAAACAGCTGCCAAGGGTAGCAGACGTCCTAAAGCGTCTCTGCTAGCCAGCCTGGCTGCCAGCTAAGCATTTGCGCTGCGGGCTACATACTACAGGCCCGAATTTAGCCCTGAAAAATCGATTTTTCCGGGATTTACAGGACGTAAGCGATTGTCTGCAACGGCTGTCTTCTCGATTGACGGGCAGTCAAGCGGAAAATGGAAGAGGAGAGGGAGCCTCTACTGCCGCCGCGAGGATACGGAGAGAGACGAGGGAGAGCAGAGCATCTAATAGCGTTCTGGAGGCGGTAAGTCTTTCCTAAAGAATCTCTGCTAGCCCGCCAACCCTAAGGAATCTCTGCTAGCCTGCCCCCATTTCCAAAAGAATCTCTGCTAGGGTGAAGCGGCAACAGCAGCCCGTTTCGTGACAGCCCTCCTCGATACCGTACCCGCCTGGGAGGAAAAGGGGACGTTGGCGCAGGATGAGCGACTTCTCCACTTTGCCACCACATTCCATGCAGGTCAGTTTGTAGTTTGTAGCATGTAGTCTGTAGTCTGTCTACCAGTTTAGCCTTTACCATCAAAATCTAAATCAAAAGGCAAAAAGCAAAAAACCTGTCATGGCCGGGGATCGAACCCGGGTCGTTTGCCTGGTATTTTCTAGTTTGTAGCGTTGTCTGTCTGCCAGTTTACTGATTCCTGGTAAACGGGGCTAGAATTTGATCCCTAGGGCAGCCCCGCCAACTTTAAAGGGACAGTGACAGCCAGTTTTTTCAGATTTCTCGGCAGCCCACGCGGACCTGTTCAAGCGGAAGTGCTTGGTGCAGCACGAATTTTTGAATACGGATGCGCTGTATTTGACGATATATGCGACCTTGTCGTTGTTGCATCGAGGAGCGGAAATTGTCACTTGGGTAAATCGTCTCTCTCTCTCTCTCTCTCTCTCTCTCTCTCTCTCTCTCTCTCTCTCGCTCTCTCTCACTCTCATTCTCTCTCACTCTCTCTCTCTCTCTCTCGCTTCTCTCTCTCGCTTTCACTCTCTCTCCCTTTCTTTCTCCTTGTCTCTCTGTCTCTATCTCGCTCTCTCTCTCTCTCTCTCTCGCTCTCTCTGTCTCTCTCGCTCTCTCTCCCTCTCTCTTTCTCTCTCACTCTCGCATTGTCTCTCTCGCTTTTCGCGCTATTTTTAGCGTTTTTTACCTACCGTGATCGATTCGTGCATAGCCGATTACGCGATGAAAAATCTTGTTACCAGCCCGTTTCCAGCCTCTCTTCCGCGATTGGGTACTCGGTACAGGTTGTGAAGTGTACGCGAGTGAGACGTGGCTGAAGCAAGTCTACGATCTGGCATCCAGCCGACAATCTCCCGAAATGCCGACAATTATCGTGGACCTGATTAAAGGTATCTGGGGCAGAAAAGAATCCTTGGTAAGACTCCAGATACCCCCGAGTCGGCCCCCAACCTTTGTGTCTCGGCTCGCTGTTCATCTACTGGTGTGTAAAGTATACCAAAATGTTCGTCTTGCTCTGGCGAGTATTTTGGTATACGTTACACATCTATAGATGAACAAAGAGCCGAGATACGGTAGGTGGGGGTCGGCTGGGAGGGGGGTATCCGGAGTTAAGCCGAATCCTCCAAATACGCTCTTCTAGACTTTGACGGCTTCGATCGGGGTCTTTTGAGCGAAGTGGCCAGGCTGAAGCGGATCCAGAATGGCCCACCGGTTGATGAGGGACATCGTGAAGGTGGGTCACCGTCTTTTAAAGGGAGCGGCAAGGCTGGATTCTCTATGGATTCTCATTCTATCTCTAATCGAATGTGTCTTTCAGAAAAGATGGCGGCTCGGTGGTTGTTGTGCTCGAGTTGGGAGAGTATCGTCTGTATTCTGAATACGTTCCTGGGGATGAAGGTATGAAGGGGAAGGGAGGCTAGCAGAGAGCGTTTGGGGACCGAATTCCAACTTACCAATGCTCTCTGCTAGCACGCCTGGTCCTGTCGGAAGAGAGATAGAGAGAGAGAGAGCCAGAGAGAGGGATATAGAGAGAAAGAGAGTGAGAGAGGGAGAGAGAGAGGGAGAGAGAGAAAGGAGGTGAGAGAGAGAGAGAACGAGGATGAGAGAGACAGAGAAAGAGAGAGAGAGAGAGAGAGAGAGAGAGAGAGGTAGCCAGAGATAGAGACAGCGTGAGAGAGAAGGGAGAGAAAGAGAGAGAGAGAGTCAAAAAGAGAGCGAGAGAGACAGGGAGAGACAGCAATAGAACGAGAGAAACGTATTTTTTTCATTCCAGGAAAAGCGTTCCCGTCTGCGCCACCGTCTCCTCGAAGGCCTCGAGCATTCGATTTCCGGAATGCAGCGTCTAGCCACAGTCTCAATGCGCCTTGGCCTGGGCGAAAGATGTGGCTGGATATTTGAGGGACTGGTGGAGGCGTCCTGTGATGTCGACTCGTTGAGGGCGGCCGCCTGCCAGGAGGAGTTCAAGAGGTCGGATTTCAGTGCCAATTTCTGCGTAACTATGCGTAGCGTCGCCTGGGCATCAAAATCCATAAGAAACCCATCCTTGCGGAGCCCTTTAAACCGAAAACCCCAAATTCCGGTAAACTGGCAGCCAGCTAACCGAATGGGCATGCTAGCAGAGATAATTTGAGCTGGAAAACCCGATTTAGGCTGTCGGTAGTATCTCGTATCGATCTGCTATCGATGCAGCTCGTGTTGGACAACGCTTTCGTGGCAAATGAGGCGCCGGAATGTTGGAAACATGTGATACGGTAGGTGGGAGCAAGAGAGGAAGGGAGTGAGAGAGAGAAGAAGAAAAATAGCTTTTTCATAGCGTAATCGGAAAATCGCGTGCTTTTCAGAAGCGAGAGAGAGAGTGAGAGAGAGCGAGAAAGAGAGAAAGACAGAGAGTGAGAGAGAGCGAGAGAGAGAAAGACAGAGAGAGAGAGAGATACAGAGACAACAAGCTATTCATTTCATTTCATTTAGCGTAATCGGAAAATTGCGTGCTTTTCAGAAGCGAGAGAATGAGTGAGTGAGAGAGAGTGAAAGACAGAGAGTGAGAGAGAGAGAGAGAGAGAGAGAAAACAGGCGTCGCTTGTTCATGGCGTATTCGGAAATCTTCTTGTTTTCAGCTGTACGGAGTACGTCTGGGAGCTGGAGAAGTTCATCTACGGCGCGCTGTGCTACGACAAGCCGACGCCCGGAAGGGGGGTTATTTGGATGGAGAAAGGAAGAAGAGAAGGAACAACCAAAGGAACAGGTAGGCTGGCAGAGATTCTTTGAGGAAATGGTTCTGTTCTGTTATCGGGGGGAAGCGGATTTTTTCCAGTGATTCGCTACGACCTTAGAACAAAATGTAAACAATTTTTATAGCATTTTACACAGATTTTAGATTCAAAAAACGTAAAAAAGTTGAATTTTCGAAAAATTTTGGCTTTTTTGTGAAAATGTATCAAAAATGACCAAAAAAGGTCAAAATTTCGAATTTTGAACGATTTAAAAAATATTTTGTATAACTTTCTAGCAATAAAAACTACTAAAAAATAGTATAAAATAAATAATGTATACAAAAGCGGCCCCCCGCTAACAGACCAGTATCTAGGAAATCGGGGCAATCTAGCAGAGATCATTTGCGATTTTCAGGAGGGCTTGGCGGCCGCTGAGCGTTCAGTGGAATCAGTGCTCGGATCGGGTGACCTTGATCGTGACGGTCTGAACAAGGCCCTCGCCGTCCTCATTGCCAAGACGGATGCCTTTTATGGAAGAGTGGGGAAGGAGCTGTCGCTGAGTGCCTTGAGGCATCTATTAACGGCTCTCGTGTCGGCTTCACTCGCTAGAACATTGTATCCATCAATGGCACAGGTTGGTGGGGATTGCATGGCGTAATCGGTTGTCCATATTCGATTACGCTATCAAAATCCCGTATGGTGGGTAGGGTTTTCATAGCGTAATCGATCACGCGTTGTAATTAGCGTAGAGCGGGAGAGAGAGACAGAGAGAGAGGGAGTGAGAAAGCGAGAGACAGAGCGAGAGAGAGTTTGAGAGAGAGCAGCGAGAGAAAGAGAAATTGAGAGAGAGAGAGAGAGAGAGAGAGAGAGAGAGAGAGTGAGAGAGAGCGAGCTAGAGGGAGGGAGAGTGAAAGAGAGAGTGATAGTCAGCGAGAGAGAGAGAGAGCTGGATAGACAGCGAGAGAGACAGAGACAGAGACAGAGGGTGTAAGAGCACGAGCGAGAGAGAGAGAGCTGGAGAGAGAGCGTGAGACAGAGAGAGATAGTGTGAGAGCAAGAGAGTGAGAGAGTGAGAGTGAGAGGGGAGAAAGAGAGAGAGCGAGAGAGAGAAAGTGGAGAAAGAGAGAGAGAGCGAGAGAGAGTGAGAAAGACACCCGTTCTACCTAGCATAATCGTTTAGACCCGCTTAATTTTTTTCAGACCCATTCGCCCTCTCTAACCTCTTCTTCCTCCCTAATCTCTCGTCTCTGGGAGGTGTGCTCCTCCCTTCCCTCTCGCCCTCTCATCCATCAGATGACCATCGTCCCCCTGGCCGCCCGCCATCTCATCGAGGTATCCGGTTTATCCGATTACGACATCGAATGTTGGTTCAGGTGGCGTGTGGTTCTGAGGAAGATTCTCGTGCCTCGGTGTCTGCCCTCTCAGAATGTGCTCGTTCTCTCGTCTGCCAGGAGGGTGTCGGACAATCCTTCAATCAGACGCTACTACAGCCATTTCAGGTATCCGCCCTCTTTTTATCGCGTAATCGATTGCCGGGGACGGGGTTAGATCGGCTATGCCATCAAAAAAAATTTTTACGGATTTTTTGAAAACCGATTACGCCATAAAAACATTTTTGGCGATGAAATTACGCCATCAAATCATTAGCCCAGAATTATCTGGCGTAATTGATTACGGCATGAAATCCCGGTGGAAATAGATGGTGTAATCGATTCCCGGTCTTTCCGATTACGCCATATAATGGCTCAGGGGTTTCCCCCAGACGATTACGCAATGATTTGCTTTTTACGGAACCCATTACGCCATGCAAATTCGAGTGACGGTCTGAATATCATGTCGTAATCGATTCGATCGATTACGATATAAAATTGGCGAGATAGGTGGCGTAATCGGTTCTAGGCCTATCCGATTACCGCATTTAATGGCCCGCTAAAAATCAGCGATTTTCAGCCAATCGATTACGCCATCAAAATATTTCCGGATTCTGGATTAAATTACACCATAAAATTCGTTAACCCAAAATTACCTGGCATAATTGATTACGACATGAATCTGGCCGCGCAGAATTAGCTTTCGTAATCGATTACCCCCATTTTTAGGCGATCGTCTGTTCGGACCGGTGCTCGACGGAAACGCGGGCCCAACTCGTCGACACCCTCTCCGAATTCGTCCACAAAAAGGCCGATCGACTGGGGAGTGGGTGGAAACCGTTGTTTGGAGCATTACGGTAGGTAATTCAGCGCTTTTCTCGATGCGGCAAGGAATTTCTGCTAGCCTGCCCCAATTTCCTCAAACAATCTCTGCTAGCCTGCCCCAATTTCCTCAAACAATCTCTGCTAGCCTGCCCCAATTTCCTCAAACAATCTCTGCTAGCCTGCCCCAATTTCCTCAAACAATCTCTGCTAGCCTGCCCCAATTTCCTCAAACAATCTCTGCTAGCCTGCCCCAATTTCCTCAAACAATCTCTGCTAGCCTGCCCCAATTTCCTCAAACAATCTCTGCTAGCCTGCCCCAATTTCCTCAAACAATCTCTGCTAGCCTGCCCCAATTTCCTCAAACAATCTCTGCTAGCCTGCCCCAATTTCCTCAAACAATCTCTGCTAGCCTGCCCCAATTTCCTCAAACAATCTCTGCTAGCCTGCCCCAATTTCCTCAAACAATCTCTGCTAGCCTGCCCCAATTTCCTCAAACAATCTCTGCTAGCCTGCCCCGATTGATGAATAATCGTTTTTTAGTGCTGTCCGTACCTCAGATGGTGCTGAAGAGGGTCTCCACTGGACTGTTCTTGACGTGATTTCCACGTATTTGAGGCTCAACAAGTGGTCGGTTTTCATGGATGTCACTGACCCTTCAAAGGTGTCAAAGAGTCTCTGCTAGCCTGCCCTCCTTCGCCATTGAATTATCGAGTCCATAACCGATTACGCCTTCAAATTTCAGCGCCGTGCTCTCGTGGTCGCTGCCAGATTGTCTGCCGTGTATCGTCCATTTTCTGCAGGAAACGACGCCCGTGGAAAAGGAAGAGGGGGAGAAGCCGTCGAAAGGTTAGAAAATGCTCTCTCCCTCTCACTCTCACTCTCTCTCTCTCTCTCATCTCCCTCTCATTTCAGAAGAGCAACTCTCCACGGCAGCCCTGAAACTGATTACGCCATGTTATTCTGTGATCCGCACCCTCTACACCACTCCCCATCTCCCGAATCACAATCTGCTGCACAAGTACGTTTTTTGCCCAAACCTAAGCCAAGCCCAAGCCCAGCTAAGCCTAAGCCTAAGCCTAAGCCCAAGACAAGCTGAAGCTAAGCCCAAGCCGAAGCTAAGCCTAAGCCTAAGCCTAAGCCTAAGCCTAAGCCTAAGCCAAGCCTAAGCTTAACGCCAAGCCTAAAAAGCCCATTTTAAGCTAGGCCGAAGCTCAGCTAAGCCGAAGCCGAAAGCCGAAGCTAGGCTGAGCCTAAGCCCAAGCCGAAGCCCAATCCCTCATTTTTCCTTTTCTACAGTACCCAATTTCCAGGATGCAACTTCGTGCTCAATCCTCCGAGGAGGTCGAGGTATCTGAGGGTTGTTTCTCCTCATCCCTCCCCCCTGCCTCATCCACTCTCGATCCATCCCTGTTCCCCCTCAGACCCGATGATCCATCGCCCGCTGATCTCGAGAAGACCCTCCTGGGTGGGTTACGATATTCGGAGCGCGATTTTGGTTTCAATGGCCATTTAATGGGGCCAGGAAGGGTTTTGCCTAGCGTAACCGGTTGGCTTTCTGCAAATTCGACGCACCTAATGCCTTTAAAGGGACAAGGGCAGGTGGATCGTCGAAATTTCCTCAAAGAATCGCTGCTAGCCTCCCCTGAGGAGCTAGAAAATTTCCTGAATGATCGCTGCTAGTTTGCCGTCAGTTTTTAGAGCAGTCTAGCCATTTAAAGGGACAGCGACAGCCAAAAATCGTCTAAATTTTTACAAAGAATCGCTGCTAGCCTCCCTGAAAATCTAGCTAATTTCCTAAAGGATCGCTGCTAGCTGGCTAGCCCTGGCGGAGTAACAAAAGTTGATTTTCCCAATTTTGAGCACAATTTCACCTACTTTTTCAGTTCCGATGGGCGTCCGTCCGTGGGAAGAAGCGGAAGCGCATCGGCTGGCGGCCGTCGAGCTGCTCCTCGAGCTGGTCGAACAACTAGCCGGGGTGTTGATCACGGCTGCCGCTTCTGTACAGGCACAACTATTATCGGCGCTACAGGTCTGATTTCAGGGCAAACGAGCAGAGAGAATTTGGGGAAATCGATATCCAGCTGACGATACCCATTTAGGAGCTGATCTCGACCATTCGCCAATCGGAAATTGGTCCCGCCCCGGCCGCCTTTTGCGTGTCTTCTCTGATCTTACCGCATATACAGGTCAGCAAAGGGTTCGATTCTGGACTGTTAGCGGGGGGGGGGGGATTCTTGCCTGTACAAGAGTCGCGGTTGACGTTTTATCGTGTTTTTCTGCAGAAATGGATGCGCCGGAGTGGATCGTCGCGGGACCCGGCCGTTCAACGAAATATGAGACACGCCATTGGGATCTGCGCACAGATTGCCGTCGATTTTATCCAGTTGAATCCGGGTGAGAGAGAGAGAAAGCGCGAGAGAGCGAGAGATAGCGAGAGAGAGCGAAAGAGCGCGAGAGAGAGGTAGAGCAAGAGAGGGCGAGAGTGAGAGAGAGAGCGAGTGAGAGACACAGAGAGAGAGACAGAGAGAGATAGAGTAGAGAGTGAGAGAGAGGAGACTGGGTGAGAGAGATGAAGAGAGAGAGAGAGAGAGAGAGGGAGAGAGGGGGAGATAGTTAGAGTGAGAGAAAAACATCATCCCTTTTTCAGGCGGTGCCTGGGAACTTCGCCTCCTCAGCGACACGCTACGTCTCGCCACCGAGTGCGCCGCGCAGCCGTCAGGTACTTTTTCGCAGAAATTTAGCCGCACCACGCTACGCAACGCAGGCGGCTTTTTCATTGCGTAATCGATTAGACGCTTTTAACCCAGCGGTGCGTGCGCGTTGCGTGTCGCGGTTGCGGCAAAAACGATAGCAAAATAATCAATGGCAATTTCCAGGCGCGTCGCGTGTGGGCGTCGCGTGTCTCCGTCACTTCGACACGGTCCTCGAGCAGTTCGAGTTCGCCCAGTGGACAATCATGGCCAAGGCCCTCTGGGACACGTGGTGAGTCCGGAATTTCCTAAAGAACCTCGGAATCCCCGAAATTTTTGCCCCATCACGTTGGCCGAGTGGCTAAGTAGCCAGGCCGTCGTTTTAGGGGTCGAGGGTTCGATTCCGGGCGGGGTAAAGCTTTTGCTTTTTGACTGGGCTGCTTTTTGGAAGCCAGTTAAGCTTACTAGAGGGCCTGGTCGAGTGGCTAGTACTTCTGGTTGGCGTTCCAAGGGTCGAGGGTTCGATTCCAGGCGGGGGTAAACTTTTTGCTTTTTGCCTTGTAGACGCGGATACTTAAAATGGGCCAGCTGAGCGCGAGTCGCATGCATAGCTTTAAGAATAACCCGAATTTTCAGCTGCGTAACCCTGGCGCCACTCCGATTGCTACTGTCGACATTTCTGCCGGATGGGAATGACGATGGAGGGGATATTGGACATGTATTGATTGAAGGGACTGGGCCGCTATCGCATAATATGAGAATGCTCGCTGAGAGGGTATGTGACACAGATTCTTTAGGAAATTGAGGCAGGCTAGCAGTGATTCTTTGAGGAAATGAGAGCTATTTCCAGATATTCCTCGTTGACGCACAGCGCGATCCGACAGCTCGGCTATCAGTTTGTGATGATGAACCCGCCACTGAGCCGACGATGATAATCGATAGAGAGGGGAAGAAGGAGAGACTACCACTTTCCCAGCTCCTACATTCACTACAGGCAAGCTAGCAGAGGATGTTTGAGAGGAAGAGAGAGCGAGAGAGAGCCAGAGAGCGATGGGGAGAGAGGGAGATATGGAGAGAGCGAGAGCGAGAGAGAGAGAGATGGAGGGGGAGTGCGAGAGAAATAGAGCGATTGAGAGAGTGAGCTAGGAGAGAGAGAGAGCGAGAGGGTGATAGGGAGAGAGTGAAAGAAAGAGAGAGACACCAATTTCCAGGCCCACCATGCCCTCCTCCAATTCGTTGTTCAGCTCCTTTGCCCTGCCGGTGAACCGCCCGAGGAGTTGGCCGGTGAGTGCTCCTAAAAAAGCGTTTCCTACGATTTGCATCGCGTAATCGAATAGCGACATACGGTTTTTTGAGCCCGAATTTCGTACCGTAATCCGATAATTGTTTTTGATACCGTAACCGAATGCTTGGGCGCGATTATCAGTGCGTAATCGCTTGACTCGATGCCATTTTCATGGCGTAATCGAATAGTCTGACGCGTTTTGCAGTCCGTAATCGAATAAGCAGTCTAATTTTGCGATCGTAATCGATTAAAGCCATACTTTTGACGCCGTAATCGGTTAGCTATGCGTAATTTAGTAGAGTAATCGAATAAACACCGACTATTGCCTGGCGTAATCGGTTATCGAAGCCGAATTTTAGAGCGTAATCGATTAGTCCTAATTTTCCAGGAATCGTCCCCTCCTCCTCCCCCCAAAGCGGCAAAACACTAATGGAAGAGATGGGAGGGCATATCCGGGCTTCTCTTCTCCATTGTCTCGATCTATCATTCCAGATAGCTAGAGATTTGGATAAGAGACCGGGTGCCAGGACAATGATTGGAAGGCTCCTGAGGCTCAGGGTAAGCCGGGATTCCATGTCGTAATCGTTTGGCAGGGGCTAACCGATTACGCGTTGTTACAGAATTATGCTGATTTTTCAGGAGGCCAACCTCTGCGGGCAGATGACAATCGCGGGAGCGGGGAAGATGAACTGTTTGATGGGGATGGGAATAGCGAGGATGCGAGAGTGGGTCAATTTCTTTCTCTCTCTCTCTCTGTCTCTTTCGCTGTCTCTCTCGCTGTCTCTCTCATTCTCTCTCTCACCCTCTCGCTCTCGTCTTTCTCTCTCTCTCCCTCTCTCTCAATCTCTGTCTCTCTGTCTCGTTCTCGCTTGCTCTCTTACTCTCTCTCTCTCTCTCTCTCTCTCTCTCTCTCTCTCTCTCTCTCTCTCTCTCTCTCTCTGTCCCTCTCTCGTTCTCATCTCCTCATTTCAGAGGAGAACAGGCAACCCTTGAACACCTTGGTCGCCTCCTCTCCGCACTAATGACACAGCTCGAACGCCTGGAGAGGGTTACGGTACGCCAGAGGATTGCCGCGGAAACGAGAGAACATCGAGAAGAGGTGAGAGAGAGAGAGAGAGAGATAGAGAGAGAGAGAGAGAGAGAGAGAGATTACCTCCAGAATTCCAGAAATTCGTCTTTATGCTCGTCGAAAATGCCGACTTTGAAGAGAAGACGTATCGGCTGGTTGGAGAAGATCAGATGGACGAGACGCTGAATGGTAGGCTGGCAGAGATTCCTGGGGAAAAGCGGGCAGGCTTGCAGAGAATTTTTGAGGAACGGTCTCATTTTCCAGAATACAAAAAGCAGCGCCCGATTGGCATCCAGCCGAAACGAATCGACGCGCGGAAGAACCCGTTCGTCGCCGCCATTAATGCGGAGCGACAGAGCGCCGAGTTGGAGGAGGTGCGAGAGAGCTAGGATAGAGTTTGTAGTCTGTAGTCTGGCTGCCAATTTAACAGCTTCAAGAAAATTCCGGGCTGAAGGCGTCATTTCAAGCCGAAAAAATTCAGAATCTATGCCAAAATCGCAAAAAGCAAAAATTTTGTCGCGCCCGGGTGTCGAACCGGGGTCCTTTGGGTGGCAGTTTGTAGTTTGTAGCTTGTAGCTTGTAGCCTGCCTTGCAGTTTAGCGAGGCCGATCAAATTCCGGTGTAGAAATTCCCATTTCAGGCCCCTCCGCTGTGCCTCCTTCGTCTCGTCGCCTGGCGGACTGTCATTTGTCTTCCATTAAAGGGATATCTCAAATTATCGCAGACAGATCGTCCGCTCTTCGACAAGGCACTTCCGCTTATCCTCCCGTCACTCAAGGTATACTTTAACGATCGTTAAAAATCTCAAAAAAATCGTTAAGACTCCAGATACCCCCTCCCCACAGCCGGCCGACCCCCGCCTACCGTATCTCGGCCCCCGTTCATCTACAGTTGTGTAAGGTATACCAAAATACTCGCCAGAACAAGACGAACATTTTGGTATACTTTACACACCTGTAGACGAACAGGGAGCCGAGTTACAAAAGGTGGGGGGCCGGCTGGGAGGGGAGTTCAGCCAAAAAAATCTATTTTAGTCCCTTCTCGTGGCCACGCCGGATTTGGCCGTCCGCCGCCTGGCCCTCTCCTATATCGAGCTACTTGCCGAGAAATAACGATTCCTCGAATCCACATATCTGTATACACATTGATGACTATAATAAAGACACTTATGTTAAGATTATATAGGGTAATCGATTTTCGGCAGTGACAGCATCTAATTATGTTGCGTAATCGATTATGCTGTTTAATTCGATATTCATTGTAAACCCATTTTATGAACTGGCATACAAACTACAGTATCGCCGCTAAAAACTTGAGCTTTTCATAGCGTAATCGATTGGCGCTCTCCAGACGTGTTTTCACCGCGTAATCGATTGGCCGGCCAGGCGTGATTTCATCCCGTAATCGATTACGACAGGTAATCCGGTGGTTTTTATAGGCGCGTTTAACTACAAACTAACACAAACTACACAATCCCGTTAAAAAATTCTAAAATTCCGTTTTACATGGCGTAATCGGTTCGCTGCTGAGTCGAATTTGATCAGGTAATCGGTTACGCCTGGTAATTTTGCTATTTTCATAGCCCTTTTTATTAAACTGGGATACACACTACAAAAACGCCACAAAAAACCTCGAGACTTCGACCGCGCAATCATTTTTGAAGCGCGATCGAATAGTTTTTTCGCCAAAAACCCTCCAAACACTGCCGAGTCCCTTTAGCCCCTCACCACACTGTCATTTGGCATGCAGCGTACCAGTTTCTCATGGTCTCGACCCAGGGCAACCGGGTCTACTGTACGATCTCGACCTGAAGAAGCAGAAAAAGACGGGGCGAAAGTGCCATTGCCCCCATCCATCCCCCCTCATTCGCAACCCGTCAATTGGAGCCGACCGGAAATCGAGACCGGGGGAAGGAAGAAGCTGCTTCTTCCCCCCCTCCGGCATCCTATCATCGAGTCCCATCTGCCCCCGAGGGCATATGGCATCTAGTTGTCCCCCACTGAATGCAACACTGGCTAGAGGAGCGTTGTGGAATTTCAGGGCGACCCCCGGGTTGGGAGGCGGAGATCTTATCCGGGTTATGCTCTCCAAACATTGGCATAAAATAATGGAAAGGTCATGGGGAGAGAGAGAGAGCGAGAGAGAGAGAGCGGGAAAGAGAGAGAGATAGAGAGAGAGAGAGAGAGAGAGAAAAAGAGAGAGACAGAGAGAGAGAAAGAGAGAGAGAGAGATAGAGACAGAGAGAGACAGAGAGAGAGAGACAGAAAGCGACAGAGAGAAAGACAGATACAGAGAGAGACAGAGAGAGACAGAGAGAGACAGGGAGAGAGAAACAGAGATAGCGAGAGAGACAGAGAGAGAGAGAGAGAGCGAGAGATCGGGAGAGAGAGACAAATGCTAGCGGAGAATCTTGAGGAAACGCCCAAAAACTACCCATTCCGCCAGGAATCTCTGCTAGTTTGCCTCGAATACCGGCGAATTTTGTAACTGGCTGCCTACAGAAAGCATCTGCGAACACGAAAATTAGTCTGAGCTAGCAGAGAGCATTTAGGAACTCGAAGATTTTAGTGATTCCTCAAGCGGTCTCTGCTAGCCTGCCGCGGATTTTACTCTGTTTTCTTTCTTTTCCTAGGCTAGCCATCCAGAGAAAGAGAGCGAGACTCCCCCCGACTGGTCCTCACTACCGGTTTTCGGCCCGCCGCCTCGAGACAAATCTTCAAATCGGCTGAAATCCCCCCTCTGGGCGACTCCAGCTGCGGAATTCGAAGGAGATCTCCAGATGGATGGAGATGATCAAAAACCTGACGAGAAACGTGCCGAGCTCCTCGGGGGAAACCCCGCCCGGGCAGGCTAGCAGTGGACATTCAGGAAGCGGGAATTCAGCCTCGCCATTTTCCCAAAGCAGCTCTGCTAGCTAGCCCAAAAAATCCAACCTGCCGGGCAAAATAGCAGCGACGATATAAGGAAAAACGAGCTGGCGTTACCCAAATTCCTGAAAGATCTCTGCTAGCTGCCCTCCGTCGGAGCTACGGAAGGTATCTAGGGCAGGCTAGCAGAGGTTTTTTCAGGAACTGGGGGCAGGCTAGCAGAGACAATTCAGGGCCCTATCTGCGTCTCTCTCTCTCTCTCTCTCGCTCTCTCTCTCCCTCTCTCTCTCTCACTCTCTCGCTCTCTCTCTCTCTCCACCCCCGAACCTACCATACCCCAATCAATCATCCCCCTATCTCGATTCCCCGTCCGTCCGTAGGTGTCATACGTAGTGTACTGTCTACCCTCTCAAACAATGGCCAATGTTGCCTCAAGGCACATCCCAAGAAAAGGGGCGTGGCCTAAAAGGGGGCGGGGCCCGGTATATAAGCCTTTCACCCCATCCCCCCTCACGATGTGATTTATGCCGGTTGGCAGCTTCTCGACACCACATTTTTCACTTTTTAGGCTGAATCGAGCGTCCTAAATGTTCTCTGCTAGCTTGCCCCCGTTTCCACAAACAATCTCTGCTAGCCTGCCTGTCTTTCTTGGGAAACTAGCAAAGATTCTATGCGGAATGGATATTTCTGTCGGTTTCCTGAAGAATCTCCGCTAGTTTCTCTCTCTGTCTCTCTCTCTCTCTCTCTCTCTCTCTCTCTCTCTCGCTTTCCCCAATAATCCCTGTTAGCCATGCCCCATTTCCAGGGTATGGAGCCATCAGAGAAGACAACAGCTGGCCCGATGAGCGACTGCCAGGCAGAAATTGCTGCCATCCGGTTTCGGAGGTACGTTTTAAAGGGAGAGTGACAGGGCCCCATTTCCTAAAGAATCTCTGCTAGCCAGTCCCCACTTTCCCCAGAATCTCCTCTAAATTGCGCTTCAAATCAAGTCTCCATTGCAGAACGGCTTTCCTGGCGGTGACGGTCTCTACCGTAACCATCCTTTGCACCGTACTCTTGCTGCCCATCTTTTACCAGAATGTGCAGCGCATTCAGAGTCATATGATGGCCGATGTATTCTTTTGTAAGGTATGGTAGGCAGGGAAAAGTTTGCTGAAGCCAACCTGTCACCCTCCCTTTAAAATCGGTTTTCAGACCCAGCATCGGGATTTGTGGAATGAAGTTGAGACTGTGAGGATCGGAAAAGGGGAACCGATGCCCAGAGCGAGGTACGGTAGGGAGAGAGAGAGAGAGAGAGAGAGAGAGAGAGAGAGAGAGTGACAATGATAGAGAGTGAGTGAGAGGGAGCGAGGTACGGTAGAGTGAGAGAGAGAGAGAAGCAGAGAGAGAGAGAGAGAGAGAGAGAGAGAGAGAGAGAGAGAGAGAGAGAAAAGGAGAGAGAGTGAGAAAGAGTGAAAGAGTGAGAGAGTGAGAGCAAGGGTGAGAGAGAGAATGATAGAGAGTGGGTGAGAGAGAGAGAGCGCGAGAGATAGAGAGCGAGTGCGAGAGAGCGAGAGAGAGAAAGCGAGCGCTGATCGATTGATTTCCAGGCGAGACGCCAGCCGAGCAGAAAGAGGAAAATGGCTCTTCGGCCATTACATCAAGGCTCAGCACAAGGAGTACGGTATTTTGGAGGGGCAGGCTAGCAGAGAGTCTTTGGGAGTATCAGCTGCTTTCCAGACGTCGTCTAGCCGACGATCCAACCGGCCGTATCCGTCGTCAAGAAGAGCGATATGCCGAGCCCGGGGTAAGACTTTTGGGCTACGGTAACCGGGTCACCCTTTAGCCTCCAATTCTTGGATCAGCTCCGGAGGCTGCGGAAGCCCCGCAGTGCTGTGCCTGCTCTCAAGGACCCCCCGGACCCCCCGGTGACGCCGGGCGGGATGGAGAAGATGGTCGAGATGGACAGGCTGGGGAGGACGGATCACCCGGACAAGGTAAGTAACTCAAAGAATCCCAGCTAGATTGCCCTAATTTCAGATGCTCCTCCGGCTCCTCCAGCTGGTGAGCCATGTGTTCGTGCTTGTCCTGCTGGTCCACCCGGTCCAACCGGACCCCCTGGAGATAAGGGACCACGCGGATATCCTGGGGATACTGGAGAGAGTGGACAGCCAGGTGAGTTATGGTGGCTTTTGGGTCATCGATTCAGGATTGAATTTAACCTCTCTTAAACCCGAAATTTCAGGAAAACTGGGTGAGAAGGGACCCCAAGGACCGGCCGGACCGCCTGGACCTCCCGGATATTCCGGACGACCGGGAGAGAGGGGAGAACCCGGAAAGAGCATTCCTGGACAGGTGGGTGGGGTAGCAGAGAGGCTTTGCGGAAAATTGATTGATTGGCTGGCAGGCTAGCAGAGATTTTTGAGGAATATCGATTTATTGGCTAACTGGCAGTCTAGCAAAAATTTTGCTAGCAGGCGAGCAGAAACCCTTCAGGAAAATCTATATTTTTGCAATCTGGAAGGCAACCAAGCAGAGACACTTTGCGGACACCCTCAAACCCCGGTTTTTAGGCGCCACCCGGAGCCCCTGGCCGAGCCGGAGAACCTGGACCTCCTGGCCCACCCGGATCCCCGGGGGAAAAGGGAAAAGCCGGACCCGCTGGACCTCAAGGACCCATGGGAGATCAGGGAAATCCAGGTACGGAAAGATTTCGAAATAATCCGTAGTAGCCAGCCTCGTAATACCGTAATTTGTAAAGTACGGTAGTCCGGGGAAATACCGTAATTAGGAAACAATCGTACTCTGAACCAGCGTATTTTAGACCGTAGCTTGAGAAGTACCGTAATTCGGACCGCCATTAGGAACCTACCGTAAACTGGAAAATCCCATATTTTGGGAACCATCGTCATTTAGCAAAAAAAGTAACATAACCCGGGACAATCGTACTTTGAAATCTACCGTAGTCCGGTAAAATCGTATTCTCTAATCGACCGCAATATGCGAAATACCGTAGCTAGGCAACTACCGTACCCCGCGAAATACCGTAATTTGGAAGGTAGCGTAGCCTAAAAATCAGCGCAATTAGAAAACTATCGTACCCCGAAAAGCGCAAAATACCGTAACCCGTGCGGAATGAATCGGATTTTGCGCCTGTGGTTACTGTAAAAAGTTTTTGATTCCAGGAAAATACGGAAAGCCGGGTCCGCCCGGCCCGCCCGGCCCGGATGGCGCTCCGGGACCCACCGGATCATGCGATCATTGCCCCACACCAAGGACTCCGCCCGGCTACTAATTACGGCACTGATGCCAGCTTCAAAAATTTGTCAATCTACTTTTCGAAAAATCCCGAGTTCCATTACAATCCGCCGCCTCATTCCGCGTCGCTACGCCCCGTCCCGGTTCCGCTCTTCGTGTATTTATGCCAATCACACGCTGTTTGTATGCCAGTTTAATAAATGGGTCTATAAAACATCAAAATTCAGGTTTAATTGATTACGCAATGAAATCAATCGATTACGACATGTAAATTTCCTCAAGGAATCTCTGCTAGCCTGCCCCCGGGAAAAATCGACAAAGCAAAATCCGCCGAAAAGCCGCCAGAAACTGGCGCCGGCAGCTGGTTAAACAAAAATCGCATGGCTGGGCCCGAGTTCTGGGCCCTAACGATTTTCCCGACCACGCAAAATGTTGAAATTACAATGCTTAATTTTCTATTATTTTCTTTGCCAAATTGGGGCCCAGAATATCGAGCTAACTACTGTAATTTTGGTAAGGAAAAAATTGGATTATTTTAGCAAAAAAAAATTTAGCCAGTAACGACGACGAATAATTCATCTCCAGCGCCAACAGCAAGCAGTTCAGGTGAGAGAGCGAGAGAGAGCGAGAGAGAGAGAGAGAGAGAGAGAGAGAGAGACAGAGATTTCAGCCTCAAACTCCACGCAAAATGGGTTGACCTCCTTGCTGCCGCTCAACCTCACGACGACGCAGATTCCGACGATTTCAGCGATAACTGCGTGATTTTTTGAAACGTGGCTTGCTTTCTCTCTCTCTCTCTCTCTCTCTCTCTCTCTCTCTCTCTCTCTCTCGCCTCTCTCTCTCTCTCTCTCACTCTCACTCACTCACTCTCTCTCTCGCTCTCTCTCGCCTCTATCTCTCGCTCTCTCTCTCTCTCACTCTCACTCACTCTCTCTCTCTCACTCTCTCTCTCTCGCTCTCTCTCGCCTCTATCTCTCGCTCTCTCTCTCTTTCTCTCTCTCTCTCTCTCTCTCTCTCTCTCTCTCTCTCTCTCTCTCTCTCGCTCTCTCTCTCCCTCTCCCTCTCGCTCATTTTCATGCTTCAGAAACACGACCCTAAACTCGCTGGGAACTACTTTGAACGCTTCTGCGACCAGTTCACTTCCGACGGATCTACCTAGGACATCGACTACTGTATTACCAACGCAAATACCAGGGAATATTAGTACGCTACTTTACTATTAACAATAAACGACAAAAATATGGAAAACGTGTCATTTCAGCCACTCCTCCTCCACTTCCGACACCCGCCCCGCAAAGCGCCAGCTTCAACTGGGCGCTTTTTATCGGTCAGTGAAGACGAAGTCTACGCCAAGTCTAAGCCTAAGCCTAAGCCTAACTTAGCCTAAGCCGAAGCCAAGACTAAGCCTAATCGAGCTTACGCCAGGTCTAAGTCCTAGCCTAAGCCTAAGCTGCATCTAAGTCTAATCTATATCCTAAGCCCGACCTAAGCTAAACCTAAGCCTAAGCCTAAGTCGAGAAACGACAAAACCCAACGTTTTTTTCTTACAGGCGGCTTCGTCCTCTGCGTCTCGACCCTGTGCCTGTGCCTCTTTGGCTATCGAATGTTCATCCATCGCGTCGAGGAGAACGTCGCCTACAGCTACACGCGTTGAAAAAATCTAGGGAATCATATAGCCGATTTTTTTAATGTTTTTTTTTGAACCCTTTAGACTTGTCGACGTTGATAAATCCTTATTTTATGACGTTTTTATCGACTATAAAAGAATTACTTTATACTTTTTTTATTAAATAGAATATCGCGCATTCTATGGTGATAGTTTTAAAATTTAAAACATTACCTAATTCCGGTAATTATCAATCTTTAGCGAATTTTTGAAGAAGCTTTTAAAATCAGCCGGTCCGTGGCTACACGTGGCTCCTATCGACACCGATATCGCGTGCTCTCACCAGCCGTCTAACCTGACATAATTCTTTCTTTTCGGCCTTTTCTTCTATTAATCTCTTTTTAATTGAATTTTCTAAAGTCATAGATCAATTTTTATAATTTAAAATGTTTCAGCTAAATGGCCAAACCACGGAAGTCCTTGAAACAGGAGCGCCCCGGCGCGAAAAAGGTCGGTTTTTACAAAAATTTGGAAAATCGTAATCTGAATCATTTATTCATCAAAAAACCCCTTGTTTTAGGTGGCCCCCGGGCTGAAGATGAAGCCCAAGTACAAGCTGCCGCAGAGCAAGGCGCAGACGCTCAAGTCCGGCAACCACAGCATGAACCCGGATCGGCCGCGCGAGGGCGCCCACCAGCGATCCAGGGCCACCATCAACCGCCTGCGCATGTACAAGAATTTCAAGCCGTTCAGGTGCGGTTTGAGAGGTTGAATTGAAAGGGTTTAAAGACTAATTCTTCCTAAAAAATCAAGAAAAACGATCTTTTAGCTGTTTTCGGCGATTTTTCCAGCGTTTGAAGATTTTAGAACGATTATCTGGTCATAGTGATGTTTTTTAGCTAGTTAGCTTGCCGAAAAAGGTGATAAATTTATTCTAGAACTTTCAAAGGTTAAAAAACCGGGTTTTGATGATTTTTAGGGTGTCGCTATGTTTGTTATTTTGAAAAGATTAATCTTAAACTTTAAAATTCTTTAGCTAGTTTGTTCTTGACCAAGCGCGAAATCAGCTCTAATAATCACAAAATTTCGCTGTTTTTTGGCGATTTTTCTCTATTTTTATCCATTTCCGCTTCCAGAAACAAGCACGGCAACATCGTCCAGGCGGCCCCGTTCCAAGACTGGAAAGCCTCCGGCTCCGTCGCCAGGGTCGAGCCCCACCGGAAATGGTTTGGTAAGAGATCCTTTATCTCCAATAAAAATCAATAAATTTTAGGTAACACCCGCGTCATCGGGCAGGAGCAGCTGCAAAAGTTCCAGGAGAACCTCGGCAAAGTGATGAAGGACCCGTTCCAGGCACCTTTCGACTGGAGTATAGAAATCATCCCTTTTAGGTGGTGCTCCGGCAAACGAAGCTGCCGATCACGCTGCTGCAGGAGAAGGCGAAACAGCAGCGCGTGCACGTCGTCGACACCGAGAGCTTCGAGCACACGTTCGGAAAGAAGGCGCTGCGCAAGAAGGCCAAGCTTGCGGTTGATACTGTTGAGGTATCGGGCGGATCGATCGATGTGACTGGACCACTTTTTCGAGCTGATTCCGAATTTGCAGTCTATTTTTGTCGGGAAACGTGGATTTTCGAGCCTTATAGCTTTTCTGAGACAAAGCCGCATGAAATTCACGCTTTCAGCTTTTTTTCAAGGAGATTTCGTAGCCGGAACTGTGTTTTTTTTGCCAGGAAGCTTAGTCTGAATTATCAGTAAGGGGTTCTCGTATGTGACGGTCTCGAACAGAAAGTCGGTTTTTACTGAAAGGCTTACTTTTCGATTTTTCTGGGGTTTTTCCGAGACGAAAAAATCTATATATAGCCGATTGGCAAGCTTTTTTCGATTTACAGCTGAAAAATAGTGTTTTTTTACGCCGAGATTTGTGCCGAACGGACGGCTGTAAAATACAACGATTTCAAGAAGTTACAAAGCGCGGAATGAAGAGATTGGACTGATTTTGCGCCGGAAAAAGTCCTCAAAGCTCTAAAAGCAAGAATCTAGCACGAAAACTGGTTGCAGATTTGGAATCAGCACAAAAAGCTGGGCTAGCTCGATTTTTCAGCAGATTTTCAACCTACCCAGTCCAATTTTGCAGGCCCTCGCCCAGAACGTCGAAGAGCGCCAGGCCGGCTACAAGCACGAGGCCGATCGGGATCTCTACGTCAGTGTCTATAGGTTGATTCGCAAAGCCAAATTTTTAGGACCGGAACGCCGACATCGAGCGGTTCGAGAACAAGAACCCGCTGTTCAAGGCCGGCCAGAGTAATCGAGTCTGGGGAGAGTTGTACAAGGTATCGTTCATCGGCCAAATCGATACCTTAAATTTCAGGTGCTCGACTCGTCGGACGTGGTCATCCAGGTGGTCGACGCAAGGGACCCGATGGGCACCCGGTGCAAGTGAGGAATTCGAAAAAAAAATCGACGGAGCTTGAAGCCGGGCCATTTTGAAGCGGATTTGTAGTCTGTAGTCTAGCGGACAATGAAGCGATGTTCATAAAAAAGTCGAAAAATTTTGCGGCTGGTTGTGGCTTGTAGTTTGTAGTCTAGGCGTAGTTTCGCTGTTTTTTTTTTTGTTTCCTGGCGGGCGCCCAACCCAGACGCTCTTTAAGGCGCTAAATTGTAGCTCGTAGTCTGTAGCCTGGACGGAAATTTGGACAGCTTTAGCAAATTTATACCAAATCGCTCAATTTTACAATTCTAGAAATCTCTTTTTTCAGGCACGTCGAAGAGTTCCTGCGCAAGGAGAAGCCGCACAAGCACCTCTGCACCGTCCTCAACAAGGTCGACCTCGTCCCCACGTGGTGCACGGTATCTTGTTTCTATTTGTCGCCCGAAAATCCCTTTTTTTCAGCGCAAATGGATCGCCGAATTCTCGAAGGACATGCCGACGATCGCCTTCCACGCCTCCATCCACCACTCGTTCGGCAAGTCGGCCGTCATCAACCTGCTGCGCCAGTTCGCCAAGCTGCACCCGGACAAGCCGCAGGTATTCGCGGATTTTTGGCTTTAAACGGGACAGAAAAAGCTGGATTCCTGTGGAGTTTTCGCCAACCGCAACGCGCACGCGCCGCTGGGCCGAGGCGCAATCCATTACGCGATGGAAAGGCCAGGCTTGCGTTGCGTGTCGCGTCGCGACAAAAATTCAGCGGGAATCTTGCGTCAAAAATCCACGTTGTTGCTCCTTCTAACGCCTTTTTTTAGATCTCTGTCGGCTTCATCGGCTACCCCAACGTCGGCAAGTCGTCCATCGTCAACACGTTGCGCAAGAAAAAGGTGTGCAAGACGGCCCCGATTGCTGGAGAGACTAAGGTGAGCATTTTCCTGATTTCCAAACGGCCTGTTCAGGTGTGGCAATACGTGATGCTGATGCGCCGCATCTACCTGATCGACTGCCCGGGTGTCGTCTACCCGCAGGGCGACACCGAGACCGAGATCATCCTCAAGGGCGTCGTCCGCGTGGAGAACGTGAAGGACGTGGAGAACCACGTGCAGGGCGTGCTCGACAGGGTCAAGCCCGAACACCTGAAGCGCCACTATCTGATTGGCGACTGGGAGGATGCCGAGGATTTCATGACCAAGATCGCCTTCAAGACGGGTCGCCTGCTGAAGGTACATTTTTCGAGATGAACGGCTCGGTTTCGGTGTTCAGCTACGGCTTGCGCGGGGTTGACAATTGATTTTTTTAGCTAAAAATTGCGCAGGAATCGTCAAAATTTACCCATTTTTTGCGTGAAAACCTAGTCCCAGGATCGTCCAGTAGCTGATCATCAACCTCAAGCAGTTTAGAAAAACGGCCACCCTAATTTTTTCCTTTCTAGGGCGGCGAGCCGGACATTGTGGCCGTGGCGAAGATGGTGCTCAACGACTTCCAGCGAGGCCGACTACCCTACTTTGTCCCTCCACCCGGCTGCGAGCAGCAAGCGCTGGAGAATGGCGAGGAGGCGCCGATCAACGAGCTGTGCGAGGACGAGCCGCTGAACGAGACGGCCAGTGAGAAGGGCGACACAACGGAGGGCGAGGAGACGGATGGAGGGAATGAGAGCAACGACGATGAGGAGACCGAGGGCACTGAGGCTACGGTACATTTTTTCTGGATTCCTGGTCCTTTTAAATTCGGGAATTTGGTGGCGTAATCGACGAAATTCTGTATTTGTAACGTCAGACTAAAAAACGGCCTCTTTTTCTAGATCTAGATTCGGGTTTTTGATGGCATAATTTGTAAAAACGATGGATTTTTGTACGCTTTTAGGCTTTTGAATTCGATGACATAATCGATGCGGTCCGATAATTTTTGACGTCATACTAGAATTGGACTTTTTTCTACTCGGTTAAAAAAAGCGCCCGCGGGCGCGCCCAAAATAGACGTGCGCCCGCGGGCGCGCCCGAACTGGACCCCGTTGCGCCACTAGCGCAATTTGCGCCCTCGGGCGCAAAAGCGCCAAGCGCGCATTTCGGTCACGGGAAAAGCGCGATTGGCGCAAGCAAAAAACACTGGCGCGCCCTCGGGCGCATTTGAATTTGTGAACACCTTTCAATCGCTCGAAAAAACGACTAAGTCCAGGAACTTTATAAAGAACTTTAGTTTATTTATTTTATAGTCGCAGTTAATTAACTTTTGCTATATATTTGGATCTGGTAAGTCTTTATAGTATAAGTTTTAGTTTATTATCGCCCCTGTCCTATTATTTTAATTGTGGTTTCTGCCAAACATGGATTCAGGTAATGCACGTAGGTTTCCATTATGTGCTAAATAATTTGCGCTTTTAGTAACCATGGGTGTGTAAGAATGAAGGTTCCGAAACTACGTCTTGCTGTCGAACCGAAGCTGGTAAGTCCAACGGTGAGTCGATATATAATTATTACTTACAGTTTACTAAGGCGAAGTTAGGGACTGTTTGCGGAAGTTACTTGTTTGGGCCATATTATAATTGTTATTTAACATTCTGGTAAGTAGTAAAGCATACATTTGGCGAACTTGGAGACAGAAGTGGGTTGGGCGATGTATCCGATTAAAAATGTAAGTTACGAAACAAAAGCAACCCAAAAATACAAATTCAGGCAAGCAGACCGTCCGTTTGTTCAGGGAACGTGAAGCCGCAGGTCTACTTTGGGTACTGCATCGCAAAAAGCTATGCAGTACCCTATTTTAAATAATAAAAGCATTATAAGAACCTATTCTATACTACACGGCAAGGAAAAGGGCGCGCCCGCGGGCGCTTTCCGGGTTTGGGGCGCGCCCTCGGGCGCTTTCCCGATTGCGCCCGCGGGCGCGCCAGCAGGCGCGCGCTTTCGCGCAATTTCGGGCGCGCCCGAGGGCGCTTTACTAACCGAGTAGATGTTGATTCGGTTTTTGATGGCGTAATCGCGAAAGATCCATAAGTTACGGGCGTGTTTTTAGCCCTCAAACACAACGAGTCACCAACGGGCAACACCTGTTTACACTTCGTAATCGATTTCCCAAACCCAATTAATTGTAACTAAAAAACTTCTAAGGGTTATTTTTTTTATTATAATAAACGAAAAACATAGTTCTAGAACTGATTTGGTAATGATACTTCCGCTACTGACGTGAAATTTCTATCATTTTGCGTGATTCGACCACCTTCACCAATTTTACGGATAGCAAAAAGCAACGAGGGAGGAGGCAACAAAAGGAACGAATATTAATATCTGTTCTAATGCGAAAAAGCTTCTTATATAGTCACCAAGAGGTTCTATTTAATTTTGCTAGTATTTACGGTTGGTAAACTCTCGTACATCCAATGCTCGCGAATCTTTTGCGAATTACCCAAATACCTCATTATAAAGGATAGATAGGAAAATAGATAGAAGAGTCTGGATATGTCGAACTGAAGGAGCAACGGTAAAGAAACAAAATCAGATAACCACTTTACATTGGCCCTATCATTAACAGTGTTTTGCGCATGCTCGAGCGCCACATCATTTTTAAACTCCCGACGACGCTCGGCTTTTGCAGAGCATCAATCAGCAAAGTGCATAGCTTCCATAAGAATTACTTACAACATCTGGCGGCTCTCTTTTGAAAGTTCTTCATCATGATTATACGATCCTTATTCGTCACTCAACGGATCAGCAAAATGGTCTTCGCGCCGGAAACCCGCAAAATATACTCGTTTCACGTCAGTATCATTTCTAGAATTTGCTTTTTTCGTTTCTACTATCTTAATAACTCTAACTTAGAGTCTCTAAGTTTTTATTTACAATTAATTGGGTTTGGGAAATCGATTACGTAGTGTAAACAGGTGTTGCCCGTTGGTGACTCGTTGTGTTTGAGGGCTAAAAACACGCCCGTCCATAAGTTTCGTTACTCTGCTAACGGCGCTAAATTTTCTGTATTTACATTTTTCTATTTTGATGGTTTAATTCAAATTTTTTCCAAATCCAAATCTCCATTAAATCCAAAAAAAAAGCAAAAAAGGTTTTCAGATTTTGACTTAATCCGGTTTTTGTCTAGAAAATTGTTTCTAAATTTATAAATTCATCGATTCTACAGAATATCTTGGTTTTTTGGGCCAATGTTGTCGCTTCTAGGTCCCTTTAACCCCGCACCTTTTCCAGAATCCCGAAGACGAGGAGATGACCGACGTGGGCTCGTGCGTTTCCGGCCTGTCCGACCTCTCTGGCGTCAGCGATCTGGAGGAGGACCTCGAGGCCATGCACGAGGATGACACCGCAAAGGTGATTTTAGCATCAAATTTTTATAGTTGTTTTTAGGATCCTGAAGAAGACGCGCCCGGCCCATCAAAAGGACGTGGGGCGAAGAAGGTGCCTAAAGAACTGCGCCCGCGCGGAAGAAGAGCCGGAAAGAAGCTGACGGAGAAGCGGAAGCGGCTGCAAGGGGCAAAGACACTCTCTGATGTCGGAGCACTGGTACGGAACGGGTTTGAGAGGGGGAACTGGCAGAGATTCTTTGCGGAAATGGGGCAGGCTAGCAGCGTTTTTTTTTGTGAGAAATTTGACGTATTTCGATAGCGGTGGTCAAATGCTCCTTGCTAGTAGGCCCAAGGATACGTAGATTTCCGCAAGAATCTCTGCTGGTTGGCAGATTTTTCAAACCAGAAGCCGTAACTTCAGATCAATTAGTGTTTTTGATTTCAATAAAATTGTTTTTTTGTGCATTATCGGGGGGGGGGAGCCAAATTTTTTGTATAAGTCTAGTAATTAATAGCAAGAGTTTTATAGTATTTTTAGTAAAAAAATAACTATATTTCCACTACAAAACCTATCTAAAAAGTTTTGAAAAAGTCGAAATTTGTCAAAAAAAAATCGATATTTTTGACATTTTCAATAAAATTTTGTATGTCTTTTACGTTTAGCAATAGTAAAAAACCATTTAAAAACGCTTCCACTATTTATATTTGATAAATTAGATCCTAAGAAAAAGGTTGGTACCCCGATAATGCAAAAGAACCATAAAATTATTGCAAAAAATACTTTTATACATTTTAAAGGCGTTTTGAAACTCTGAGTGGCGAGAAAACCGCATTTTTTGAGTTTTAAAATTTTTAAAACCAATTTTAACCCCGTTTTTTTGCAGAAAGACGGCGTCGCCCTCAGCAAGGTCAAGTCGAAGGCGCCGAACATGTGGCGCAAGAAGCTCGAGAAGCGCCACAAGCCCAAGCACCAAGTCTAGAGCTTGATTTTTCTATAAACTGGCCGATTCTCGTTGTTTCCTCCCTTCCTTCCGCTTCTTCCATTGTTTCCACCCAGCGCCTCTGCTGCGTTGCCCGGGTGATGAACGCCCCGGCGAGGAATCTCGCGATTCTCTCGCGGCTTCACCATTCTTCGGCTTTTCCCTGTGTGCTTTTCCCGTCTTGTTAAAATTGTTATAAAAATAGAAAAATCTCTAAATTGTTACATTCTCCCTTTCTCTCTCTAGAAGAATTGTTGTTTGTTGCTTTTTCTGTTGTTGTTAGTGCCTTTGGGAATAAATAGATTGTTGCGCTGGGCGGAAGCTGCTTTTTTTGAAAAAATGACTATCAGGTTGCGACCGGAAGTATTCTTTGAAAGTGATAAATTAGATAAAAAATGGTTGATAAAAGTGCCGCCGTTTTTGCTAAGAGGTCATTTTCCAGGTTTTATTGGCTAGAAAATCACGTTTTTGATGCTATTTCCGGCTGTAGAAGACGGGCCCAGCTAGCAGAGAGCGTTTAGGAACGAGCGCCGAATCGTCCGGCTTTTAAAATGAGCAAATTGACGCTTTCGGCGTTTCCTTGAAACTTGCTGAACGTTCTTACAAGTTGTTAGAGAGCATGACAGCTTTAATTTGCTTTTTTTAGTTAGCCGGTAGCTTTTCTGGGGTGTTTTGCTAGAAAATCACGATTTTCGCTATTTGCGGCTGTAGGAGACGAGGGCAAGCTTGCAGAGAGCGTTTAGGAACGAGCGCCCAATCGTCCGGCCGCTAGAATAAGCAACATGACGCGCCGCGCTTTTGCTTGGGTTCTGATGAGCATTTTTAGCGAGAAAATCCACTTCGATTCTCTATTTTCGGGGTGGAAAAGCGAGGCAACGTTGCAAAGAACGTTTAGGAATTGGGAGCGAGTAGTTTGACAGCCTTAGGTTCTCCTAAAGCTCCGGGCCTTGTTTAGCTAAAAAATTGTCATTCTTAATAAATCCGGCTGCGAAAACGCTTTAGGAATTCGTTATTAGGATTTAGAGACGCGACAAAACGTCACAAGTTACTTTTTGATGGTAGAACCGCATTAGAAAAGAAAGACGGATGCTGAAATTACGATTCAGCGCGAAAAACCGCCCGGAATTCATTGTGAATTCCTTTCTTACCTTTTCTGGCCGCTCTTTTCATTTTCTTTTATTTTTCTGTCTCATAATCTTTCTCTAAACCTGTGTTTTTGAGATGCACCTCTGGACGGCCCTTTTCGGGCCCCGCCTCTACGCCAAATACGGCGAGCCGCGCGAGGAATCGACGCCCGAATTCATCGGCAACACGCTGCTGGCGGTGGGACGATGCGCGGCGCGGGCCCTCATCTCCACCTTCCCGCTCGTCTTCGGCTGGGCGTTGTGGCGAGGGTCGATTACGCAAGAGAATCTCGTCTACATCGCCACGTGGACCGTCACCGGCGCGTGTGTCAGCTGGCTGGCCAGGGCTTTTGGTCAGTTTTTGGTTCAGAAAAATCTCTTCTAAAGCGGTCGGGTTAGCCAGCTCTTTTCGATTCGATAGAACAAAGTATTCCAGACCTCAAAAATTGTCAAATTTATGTTAGTTTAGAGCTGAAGCCATTTTAAAGCTTGAATTTGGCAAAATGGCATTTTAAAAGAATTTTTATGTGATTTTGCGTTATTTTAACTTTTTTAATGGCTAGATTTTGCTGAGAATTATTTGCTCTATCGATTTTGGAAGCGTTTTGGCTCTCAGGATTCGATTTCTAGCTTTTTTAGGTCCCAAAAAGAGCTTTTCGGGCTAAAAACCCCTCAAATTCTGCTAAAAATAAACATTTTCTATGGCAATGACGTTTTTAAAAGACAAAATTGTTATAGTGAGATTTTGCATGAAAAAAATAGGGCTAAAACTGGCCCTACAAACTACAAAATTGCCAAAATCGTCCATACCTAATTCTTATTTTCCAGGCCGCCTCGCCGACCCGCAATACACACGCTTTGCCGTCACTTTCGAGAAGGCACAACAGGGCGACCGTGACGCGCTCGTCGAGCTGAAGACGTACGACTACGATCTGGCCACCGCCGACCTCTACGATTTCGAGGCAAAGGAGCGACAGCTGTGGTACTACCAGCCCACACCCCACTCGGCCAACCCGCTCGTCCGCTTCATCGCCTACATTCTCGTGCACGCCGTCGGGCTGAGCCTCATGTTTCCCGGTGAGGATTTGGAATTCGAAAATCGAGGGTTTTTTCTAGGGCTTTTCGTGATTTCCGGACAGGGAAAAGCTACAGAATGAGAATTTTGAGATCGAGATTCGTCTAGCAGAGCGTGAGAACGCGAAAACTCGTTTTTTTCTGACCGTTTTTCCTCACTTCCGGTCAGGGAGAACCCAAAAAGAGAAAATTTATGGCAATTTTAGGGTCGAAAGCCGCTTTTCAAAGCATCGGGCTTGCGTTTCTCTGGATTTTTCGGGACTGCCGATCAGCGAGAAGCTCAAAAACAGAATTTCTACCAATTTAGACATCAAAAAACCGCTGTGGTGATCATTGGAAATTCGATAGAGGTTTTTCTAAGCCAGAAAGCCGATTTTCTAAGAATTGTTCGGTACTTCCTGTCAGGGAAAAGCCGGATTTTGATGAATTTTGGCCTCGAAAGCTGCTTTTAGACATTAAAAAAAAATGGATTTTGAGCGAAAAGGTCGATTGTTGTCGAAATTATATAGCAAAAGATGGGGAAAATCTAAAAATAGGAAAAAACTTTTTCGGGCAAAAACGGATTTTTCCAGCTTTTCAAAATCTGAAAAAAATCGGGGTAAAAAGGTTCAAGAATCGCTATAAACTCTCTTTTCCAGGCTCGTTCCAGCTGATGGCCGTCCTCGCCCAAGAACAACTACTCGCCAGCCGCGAGAATCTCATCACAAAGCACTCGGCAAAACGGGCAGTGCTGAAGACACAAGCCGGAGATCTCATCGACACAATCTACGTGGATACGAGGAGGACAAGAGGGCGCAGCGAGAAGTTGGTCATCTGCTGCGAGGGCAACGCCAGCTTCTACGAGCTGGGGATGATGGCCATTCCGTTGAACAAGGGATGCTGCGTGTTGGGGTGGAATTACCCGGGATTCGTCCATTCTACGGGAACGCCACTGCCCGCCAATGTTTTGGCTGCTGCGGATGCGGTGAGATTTTGTGCAGATATCTTTAGAAGCCGCGGTTTGCCTGGATTTCGTTTTCGGTGCCTCCGGATTCGTTTCCGGTCCAGGTCTGGGCGATTTCCCACTCGATTCCGATAAAATTTGCAGCGCCACGCTAGGCTGTCCGGTCCCGATCCGGATGATTTCTAAAAAATCCTCAATTTCCCCATGATTTCCGGTCCGTTCTGGCTTCCGGAAAAATTTTCTGCGATAAATTCGGCACTTTATGCCCGATCCGGACGAATCCGGATGATTTCTGGCAAAAAAAACCATTTCCGTTTCATTCCGCCTGTTCCGTAAGCCGGATCGTGCCGGAATTGGATCGGAACTAATTCGAAACTGAACCGGACAGCCAAAATTTTATGTAGAACGTCGTTCCGGAAGCGGTTTGGCTATGAAATCGTCCGGATCTGGACCGGACAGCCGTATTCAGCGTAGTAAAATACTTCCGGAAGCCGAGACGGTCCGGAATCGAGTTGAAAAAGTCTTGATTTGGACCTGAAAGTGTGAAGAAAGAGCCGGATCTGGATTTTCGAAATTTAACCCTTTACGGTCGAATTCCGAGCCGATTTTGGCAGCGAAAACGGCAAAAAGAGACCCGGACGCGAGTTTCTAGAAATTCTGCGCTTTCCGGTCCATTTCCGGCCCCGAGAGCTGGTTAAAATTAAAAAAAAATGAAGTGGGCGAAACTTGTCGCCAGATTTCGGTAAAATTCCTGCAAGAAAAGCCGTCAAACGTGTTCCGGAAGCGGTTTTTGAATAAATTCAGCGCCTTTTGATCGATTTCGGTTTCAATTCTAGTTAGTAAAATGTTGAAAAATAGTTAAAAAATAGCTCGAATTATTTTCCCAAAATTTACCCCCTTTTTTCAGGTGATGCAGTACGCGATGGGGCCGTTGGGATGGCCGGAGGAGGACATTGTCCTTTACGCATGGTCCATCGGAGGATTCGCGGCCAGCTGGCTAGCCGCCAACCATCAGAAGATCCGCGCCCTCCTCCTCGACGCCACTTTCGACGACGTGTTGCCGCTGGCCCTCGACAAAATGCCGGCCGCCTGCGCTTCGATCGTCGAGGCGGCCGTGCGTGGTCATCTCAACCTCGACATTGCCGCCCATCTCAGGGAGTACAAGGTGAGGAATTGGCGCTATCCGGGACCTTAAAAAATTCTGTATTTTCGAGTTGAAGCCACGCTATTTAAAGGGGCACTGACAGCTCTAGTTGCCAATGTTCTGAGGCTTGTCGTCTTGGAGTTCACGTTTTTAGCGCATTTTTTAGTTTTAAATTCGGGCGTTCTAGGTTTTCGAGCAGTTTTGCTCCTCCTCAATCGTCTCTGCTAGCTTGCTTGACTTTCTATGGCCTGGAAAATACTCAAAATTTAATTTTCGGGCATTTTTGGCTAATTTCCTATCCCGAAACGGGCTTTGCGAGCTTGCCCGGTTTCTCTAGAAGCTAAAAAATAGCGCAAATTGCTCGAATCTGAATTTTCGTGTGTTTGTGCCTGATTTTGCTCTCCTAAATGGTCTCGGCTAGCTTGCCTGGCTTCTCTAGTCTCTAAAAAATCGGGAAAATCAATTTTCATGAATTTATGCCGATATTAGCTTCCTGAATAATCTCCGCTAGCTTACCTGGCTTTTCTAAGTTGCAAAACGGGGAAATTTGGTTTCCAATTTTTCTCTACCCCAAAAACCTCCGATTTGCAGGGCCCAGTCCGGATCTACCGCCGCCTCCAAGACCAAATGATGTGCACCGGCCTCAACCACGAGCAGCCCGACTTTCTGACGACGTGCCGCACGAATTGGCTGCTGAAAGTGGTGCTGAACAGTCGACATCCCGGCAAAGTGAAGGGACGCGAGCCAACAATCGACGCGTGGCTGATGATGAGCGATATTCAGCGGAAACGCACCTCCAATTTGGCGACCCCGGGCGAGAGTGCCGTCTACCATCTATGCCAACACTATTTCGCCGACGTCCAGGGCCACCATATGATGCCGTTGCCCGTCGAGAATCTCGAGTGGCCCGCCCCGATGCTCGCCAATTAAACGATTCTTCATTCTATATTCGCTAGATTGATTCTCCAGATATTTGCGATGTTTTTTTGAGGTCGACGGCTCGAAAAATTCTTTTTTTAGCGAAAAATTAATATTTTAGCGTTTTTTTAGCTGCAAATCTAGAAAACATATTTTTTTCGAGTCAAAGATGGCGTTGCGTGGCTTGTTTTTAGCTTGAAAACCTTTGAAAAAGAATTTTTCGGGTTATAAGTGCTCAAAAATACTTTTTTAAGTCCAAAACTCGCTAGAAAAATTCGCTTTTTAGCTCTTGTTTGGCTGGAAAACCATTGAAAACGATTTTTTAGGTGTAGGAAACGGCGTAAAACATTCTTTGAAAACAAAACTCGCGAGAAAATCTGCTTTCCGCCTCGTTTTTAGCCTCGAAACCCTTGGAAAATCGGTTTTTACATCCAAAATTGATGAAAAAACCTTTCCAGCGCCTTTTCAAAACTAGAAAACGGGAAAATTTTGGCTATTTTTAGCCAACAACGCTTTAGCAACTATCTAAAATCAAATATTTCAACCGAGAATCGAAGAAAATTGCTCAAAACGAGACCCCAATAAATTTCATAGTTTTTTTTCGAGCCGTCGATCTGTCGATTTCATAAGAATTGTGTTGTTTTTGTAATTTATCAGCCGTTTTTCAAGCGTTTTTGCCCCCCGAATTGCCTTGTCGCTTTCTAAACGTACGTGTAAAATGTGTGTGATTTTATTCAATTTCTTTTTGCCTTGATTTGCGATGTTCTACGGGTTTTCTCTAGTCCCCCCTATCGCGAATATCACTTTCTCTCTCTAGATCTCTCTGATTTTCTCGAAATCACTTGCTCTTTCGCTATCGCCCGGCATTAAATATATATTTTTACGTGTCTTTCTGCGTTTTTGGCGTCGCCCTGACGTTCAGATATTCACTCGAATTTGTGTTTTCTGGAAGCTGAGAAAAGCTGAATTTCTAAATGGCCATTCCAGGACCCGCGCCCTCGCTGACGGGCCGCTTTTCGAGCTTGTTCTTCGTGTGCAGCAGCAGCTCGGCTTCTCCAACTGGCAGCTGATAGTAGATTAGGATGTGAGTTTCGGGGGAGATAGACAGAAATTTTGATTTTGTAGTTTTTTGGCACCTCAGCGATGATTTTTTCGGTTTTGCTTTTTCTGCTAAAAATATTCAAGAAAATTTAGGAAGTCCTGTAGTTGCGCACCGCGAAGCTGGGCGTTTGTTTTATAGGCGTTTTGGCATAAAAGAGCTTTTTAGGGCAGGAAAATGCTCATTTTCTATTTCGCAATACGAAATTGGCGCCCAAATCGGGTCAGAAATGTTGAAAACGACCTGAAATTCGATTTTACAAGGCGAAAAATAGTATTTTCCAACCGTCGAGCTTAGTAATTAGCCCTAAAGCCGCTCAGAAACCTCGTAAACCACCGCAAATTCGCAAAAATTAAATTTCTATGCGAAAAACCACGCTGTTTTGGTACTGATCCCTAGTTTTCGATCGGCGAGCTTCGAAATTAACGCCAAAAACTGCTCAGGAAAACGTCAATATCTCGAAAAAAAATCGTTAAAACTAAAAGTTTCATAAATACCATCAGAAACTCCGATTTCCAGGTCGCGCTCCCCCTCTCCACGCGGGCTGCGCACCCGCCGCGACACCATCGACGATGCCACCATCGCCTGTGATGGTAAGAAAATTGCTTTGCTAAAAATTCACGTTTTTTAGATTTGACGTACTTTGAGCGTCGGCTGAAGGAGGTGATCACTCATGCACAGCCCCGGGCGACACGCTGGAGACGTACGAGTTGCTACATTTTGTCGAATTCGTGATTTAGTTCTTCTGCTGATCGCGTCGGTGCTGACGGTGCTCTCCTCCTACTACTGGCTGCGCGATCCCGAGATTCGGAATGTCGGTTTTAAGCTTGGAAATGGGCTGCTCAAGAATATCGACAAAATCGCGATCATCTGACCGCCTTGAGTTTGTCGGGAATGCCGACAAAATCCAAAACTACTGATTTTTACGGGATTTCCGATCGTTTTTCTCAATTTGTCGGTATTTTCTGGCTCCCGGCGTAATGGACGACTAGAAAACGTTCAATTATAAACTCACAATGAAGAAGCAGATGAACTGAACGTCTTCAAATCGCCGGGGATGCTGATAGCAAAAATACCGGCCCGCAGATGCCGAAAACTCGATTTTTCGCGATTCTCGACATTTTTTTTCGCTGATTCTGTCGGCGTTTCCTTGCTGACAGCGTTCCCGACGTTTTGAAGACGTTCACTCAACGACTTTTGTCGGTATTCCGAGGCCAGCGTCAATATTTTGCCATCATGGTAAAAAATGAATTTTATTCCCGTTTTTCCAGGTGACGCTGGCCGAGTCGCTCTACACCCATTTCGTGTTCACGTGCTGCGTGCCGATGATGCTCGTGCTGATCGTCGTCTTCGGCATCCATCGGCAGATCGTCGCACCAAGCATGTACGGTATTAATTGATGGTCATCTACTTGATTGCCACTCCTTTGAAGCCTTTCCTGCCGCTTTTTATGCTAGTCGGAAGCTAGTCGGAATTTTCTTGTCTCTTATGCTTTTGTGATCGATTTTTTCGAGATTTTTGGCAGTAGTAGACTGATTTTCGCTTGTGTATTTCGTAGTTTAATGCACTAGTCTTACCGTGTTGTAGATGAGCATTTTTTGCCGTTTTGGAGGCACCGGTAACCGGTTCTATAGAAGAAGCCGCCCCGAAATATCGATTAGCCTCAACCACCCACGCTGAGCCGGCAGAGATCGAAATTCAGATAGAACCAGTCCTACAAGCGGATTCGATTATCGAGTCGGTTTAGAGGCTAGAATTAGATTTGTTTGCACTGAAAATGATGACTCCTCCTCTCGAGATTTTCCTGGCGTCACCCTCGATTTTTTTCGAGTTTTGAAGCTGGCGATATAGCAGGAAATTTTCTTGAGCTTTGCTTTCTTTTCCATTTTTTTGCGTTGTAGTTTGTAGTTTGGTATATTTAGGGTAGTGTAGTGTAGCTTTAACCATTTTTGCGAGCTCGAATCTGGCTGTTTTTTTTTGAAAACCTTCTGTAAACACGGTTCTATAGAAGAAGCCGCCCCAAAATATTGGTTAACTATACCCCGTCCGAGCCGGCAGAGATCGAAATTCAGATAGAACCAACCCTACAAGCGGATTCGATTATCGAGCCGGTTGAGAGGCTAAAATTTAGAATTTTTGGCTCCCTTAGAATGTTCTGTCTGGCCATTTGCAGCGTTTGTCCTGAGGTCGGTTCTTTTCAGCTGGAAACCGCGAAAACAGCTGTTCCTCCTCTCACATTGCCCTTCTCTATTCTCTGCCCTCCGCATAGATCATCCCCTTTTGCCCCCACAAACAATGCTGCCATTAATTTTCCGGCTTTTTTTCAGGGAGTATATGGATTTTGGGACGCGGTTTGGGGGGGCTTAATGGATTTTCGGAACACTTCGATGGCCAGCAGGCTAGCTAGAAATTCAGAATCTCTTGCTGCTGCTGCTAATTGCTAATTGCTGCTCTCTTTAACAATAGTTTCTAGAATACCTGTAAAAATTTTGGTTTCCTTCTCTCTCGTTTCTGTCTTGTAGAGTCCTGGACAATTAATTCCCGCAGCAGCTCCCCGTCCATCGCCATTTTCTCATTTCGACCTCCGATATTGGTCTTTTGGTTGTTGTATTGGGGGGGCAAAGGGGGTGGTCCCCGGTGGCCCCATCCATTACATAGGGCCATTGTGTCTGTGTCCCCTCCTCCTTGCTTTTTGCCATCTGAAGGAGCCTCGCTCCTTCTGTTTTTCTCCGGCTCTCCTGGGGGTTGAAAAGGGAAGAAGTGGCCAGGGGGCCGATGGAACGGCTTTACCCGCTTCACCGCGCTGCCTCGTGCTCATTTTTCATTCATTTAGCACGTGGGATGCGGCTTTTTGTGTAGTATGTCGTCTCGAAAAAATTCTACAAATTGAGACTTTAGAATTTCTAGGTTTTTGGCTTTTTCGCTACCCTCTTTCTCGAATTATATAGCGTAACGGATCCTGCGGCTCTCGTCTAGCCCCTCATTTTTATTCATTTAGCACGCGGAGGCGGTTTTCTGTAGTTTATAGTCTGGAAAAAATTTGAGAAAACTTCGATTTTAAACGTTGTTCTAGAGGTTTGGCTATTTCTCTGCCCTCCCTTTAATTATATGGCGTAAAGGATCGCAACGGAGTGAGATTTTTTGGGCTTTGTAGTTTTGAAAAGCCGGATTTTCAATTTTTCCTTTTTTTGACGTTTTTCCTCAGTTTTTTAGCTAGGTAAGGCCAAGAAGAAGCCGCCGGGGCATTCCTTGGCCTCGGCGGAAAGCAACGAGTGCCAAATATATTCCCCGCCTCGCATTCCTCATCCCCTTGCGCTTTTTCAGCGTCGTAGATTTATGCTGCGCGGTGGCCATCGACAAAGCCCCGGCCACCACCGAAAGTGCCCTCCAGCATCAGCAGCACCACGCATCGACGTGTCGCGCAAAAGCTCGGCCCGAGTAATCCATTTTAGGGGCAAACTCGCGTGCCGTTGTGTCTTGGTCCTTCTCTCTGGGATATTTCTCTTACGTATTTTCTGTTTCTTCGCCCTCGAAAATTTACTTTGATTTTTGCAGGTATTTTTGTAGTTTTTAGCTTTGACGTCGATCCATTTTTCAGGCAGTTTTGCTCAATTTCGCGGCTTTAGGGTGATTAATTTGATTTTTTCGGGTTTTCCCTGGCTTTTCGGGACGTTTTCTAGTTTGTAGCTTGTAGCGCGCAGAGTTCGTTTCAGTAGAATTAGAATTATCGTTATATGTTTTCTTTTAGAATTGTTGGATTTTTTTAAATGTTTTTATTGTTCTTTTCGATTTTCGGAGGCTGGAAAAATTCGTTTTTGAGGGGGATTTTTAGGCGTTTTGTTTCAGGCTGATGTGGATTCCGTTTCGTCGGGGTGAACTTTGTAGTTTGTATCCATTTCTGATACTTTTTTTGGTCGATGAGCGGGCGGATGTGGTCTCCCAAATCCCCTGGAGAGCCGGAAATGTCTAATCCTCTCAAAAATTAGGCCCGGTCTGAAAATGCCATTTTTTTGGGTATTGCCGTTCTCTTTTTTGATTCTCACCATTTCTAGGAAGCTAAATAATCGATTTTTCTTGTGAATTAAGCGAGATAATTTATGTATTTTTTTCAGAATCGCGGCCCGGTGTCGCGAGGCGTTGGCCGCGTTCAGCCTCAGCTGCGATGAGGTGAGGCGATTTTTGAAAATTGATTTTAGCATATTTTCGTATTTTACAAAAACTAAATTTTTTGATGATTTTGAGCAATTTTTATTTAGTTTTTACGTATTTTGAATTGCTAAAAACCGGACGATTTTCGAGAAATTACCTTAAATTTTCTTCTTTATTTTCATTATCATCTTTTTTCAGAACGGCAAGCTGATCGTGCGGCCGGCGATGCGCAACTCTCCCTAGAAGCTGCAGCCCCCGACTTCAAGCACGACACCAAGCCAAGATTGTACCTGCCAAAAATTCGATTTTCCACTTAAAGATTGCTCCTAACGATGCCCGGCGACTTCAAGGAGTTCAGGCCAAATTTTGGGCTTTTTAAGGCGGCCGGGCTGAACTGCTTGAAGTTGTTGGAGCATTTTTAGGGGCGATTTTTCACGTGGTATTTATTCCTTTCGATTGATTCGCTGTGCCTTCCGCTTCTACTGATTTCCCGACGTTTTCTAGATGTATTTTTTGAAATTCCGGTCCATTCCATTATTATTTCCCCCTTCTTTGTGGTGACACGCGTTCCGGGTAGTTTCCATTTAATTCTATGTTTCTCTGGGCTCTCTCCTTTTCCATTACTCTCTCTCTCTCTCTCTCTCTCTCTCTCTCTCTCTCTCTCTCTCTCTCTCTCAGGCCTGCGATTTTGATGGCGTAATCGATTGTGCGGATGGCTTGGAAATTGCGTAAAAATCTAAGAGGTACTTTTGCAATATCAAAGGGGGCTGAAATAATATTCTAAGATTTTATATTTAAACCAGCGCCCAAAACCCGCTTCGCGGGCCTTGGGCGCTGGAATGCGGCCTTTGCATAAGAAATTTGACTTTCCGATAGCTGGGGTCCTTCGGACCCCCCCCCCGGCCGACCACACGCGCGCGTGCAACTTGCAAGAATGAAGAAATTTCTATTTTTTCACATTATGCAAATTACCCCCAAAAATGAATAAAACCGGCTTTAACTTTGTAAACTTGTATTTTATCAAAATTCTGAAAGCGCCATCGGAAACAGAAGGGTCGATTTCCCCAAGCGACGGAGAATTAGAGCATTTTATCCACAGGAAGGCCCTCAAATCGGGCCTCGAAAGTGACATCCACACACACACACACACACACACACACACACATACGCGCCAAAATTATATAAGGTAGGATTTAAAGTTAAAATTAACGATATTTGTCAAGGGGAAAATAATAAAAAGAACCTAGAAAAATTTTTTTAATTGAAAGTTTGGCCAAATGGACCATTTTTTGGTGGAAAGTCAATTTTTTTCTGTTTTTAGTCAAAATTTGTAACGTTTTTACGTTTAGCAATATTAAAAAAAGATTACAAACAGTTCCTATATTTTTTTTGAAAAATTGGTCCCCCGGTAATGTAAAAGATCCGGTATAAAAATTCGGACCTATCTAAAAATTTGCGAATCGCAGGCCTGAGCACGAGATTTTTCCCCTCTTCCTGGCGTTTTTATGGCAATATAGTACATCCAAATCAATTACAAAAATTATAAGAATTTGTAATTACATGTCGTGTACGATTTTCGCGCCCCTTTCTTTTCTTGCTCTTTTATGTATTTGCTCGATAAATATTTCTCAAATCCTTTTGTTGATCTCAGCGGCCGGTTAAAAAGAACCCTAATTTTCTAATTTCAAGCTGTTATTATAAAATGTATTTTTGAAATATTTAAAAATTTCAAAAAAGGATTGAAGAATTTTTTAGGGGGCAACGGGCGGCAAAATGGTCGACCGGATCTGCCTCGTCTGAATAATTGGTGAGCGTGGAAAAATCTACGGGATTTTCTCTCTCTCTCTCTCTCTCTCTCTCTCTCTCTCTCTCTCTGCTCTCTCTCTCTCTCTCTCGCTTTCATACTACACAGCTAATTTCATCTCGTAATTGATTCTGGGGGGATTTTTTCGTCAAATTGAGTTTATTTTTCCACCTTTTATTCTAGTTTTTGATGGGAATTTCTAAACTGGCATCCAGGCTACAAGCTATGTTTTATATTTCATAGTTTATTGCTTTAAAAATTAAGCAACGGATCTAAATTTATGCCATTCAGGCTAAATCCCGAAAAAAGCCGATACAAGACCCCCCGTATTTTGGCAGCCGTTTTCAGCCGAGGCGGCTACGAAACGAAATTTTAGGTGTGCAAACAGTGGGTATGGGGGGTATCGAGCAGGAGGGCTGACTGGGCAGACATGCCTCCAGTGACTCACTCCCCTCCCTCGCCTCTCTTTCCTTTTTTGTCTGCCCTACCTCTATAGATAGATAGTTGTATGGCCATGGCTGGCAGAGACGGCATCTAATCGAATTTCATTCTTTCTTGCTCTCTCTCTCTCTCTCTCTCTCTCTCTCTCTCTCTCTATCTCTAGCTCTCTCTCTCCCTCTCCTCCATTCTAACCAATTACGCCACGTATTCCGAAATTGGGGTTAATTTTTGGGGCGGCACGTGACGGCTAGGAAACGTGGACTTTGTCGGCATTTTTCGTAGAGATTTTTCGCGATTTTTCGATTGTCGACATTTTTGTGAAGTGCCTAGTCGATATTTTAACAAGCTTACTAGGTCAATTTCCCCCTTGTCGCTATTTTCGGTGTATACTTGGCCCGGGATTTTATATGTCGGCATTTTCCGGCGCGCACTGTCGAAATTGTGCCCGAGTTTCGGCATTTTAGCCGCTCGTGATCCACCAATTGTCGGCATTTTTGAACCCCGGAACTTTTGCGATTTCGAATTTTGGCTGAAATGCCTGGTCTTCTCTGCATTTTGGTTGGCCAGAGAATTCTTTGTCGGCATTTTCGGGCACTTGGCTAAATTTTTCGGTTTTTTGAGCAATAACACTTGTATTTTTCGAAATTTTATCGGCATTTTACGATTCTTTGAATTTTTTAGCTCAGAAAAATGCCTATTTTAGCTTTCGAAATTTTGCTTCAGGTTTTCTTATGCAAGAAATGGCTTGAGAGGAAGCCGCCGCCTCTGTAATCTTACGCAAATAATGATGACTTCGCAAATTTCTGATGAAAGAAATTCCAGGCCCGATTTTTAGTGGGCCACTCAGCAGCTTTTAGCAAGAAAACTCGGCCATTATCGCTGTCATTTCTTATCTTGCTTTTCTTCGGGCTGTGCTCTTCGGAATACTCCCAACTCAGCGGAGTGACCTGTCACTCCAGATCCAGTATTTTACGCCGATTCACCGAGTTTCGGCTTCGAACCTCCTAAATTGCCTCTGCCAGCTTGCCCGTCAATTTTTAGGGATTTTTTTAGAAATTTTACATACAACCAGCAAATTTCGGTTTCCTGAGTAGTCTCTGCTAGCTTGCCAATTGTTTTTAGACATTTTTTCGGTTATCTGGCGAACAAATAGCCGTTCCGGCTCCCAAATGATCACCGCTAGCCTGCTCCGCGCTTTTTATGACATTTTTCGGATGTCTGACAGGCAGTTAGCAGGTCCCCGTTTCCTAAATTGTCTCTGCTAGCACGGCAACTCAAAAAAAATGCGAAACTATCAAAAATCAATACATCCGGCGGCAAAGTGCAAGCGAGACTGGCCAGTTGGTCTTTCTCGCCAAAGATTGACCAAAACAAAACAAAGACCACTATTTCAGAGGGTGTGTCTGCCTTGTCCTCATCTCTGCTAGCCTGCCTCTCTCTCTCTCTCTCTCTCTCTCTCTCTCTCTCTCTCTCTCTCTCTCTCTCTCTCTCTATCTATCTCTCTCTCTCTCGCTCTCTCTCTCTCTCTCTCACTCTCTCTCACTCACTCTCGCTCTCTCTCACTCTCTCACTCACTCTCGCTTTCTCTCTCACTCTCTCTCTTACTCTCACTCTCTCTCTCTCTCTCTCTCTCTCTCTCTCTCTCTCTCTGTCTCTCTCTCTCTCTCTCTTTACTTACGAACCAATTACCCCCTTACACAATTTAAATCACAAAAACAAGAACCACTATTTCAGAGCGCGAGACGAACGAGGAGCACGACAAGAGGAGCCCGACGTTTTTCGTTTTCTCGGCCTCCATCTCCACCTCGACCTCCCTGATCTCGTCCTCAGAAGATGATCGTAATCGAGGCGAGCGGTCTCGACGCGATTCCCTGGGATGCACTTGGAGGATACGCTAAGGTGGGTGGAAAAAATTATTTTTGTACGGTGGTTAATTACGATATCGAATTAAATAGATTCATTTATATTCTGAAAATGGTGGTAGTTGCCTTCTTTAAAACGCGTAATCGGTTACGGGGATCTATCCAGCTGGCAGTCGCTTTGGGGCTAGCGCGTTAGTCCCCCCACCCGGTAGCCAGCCTGGGGGCAGATCTGGGTTAGGGAAGAGAGAGAGAGAGAGAGAGAGAGAGAGAGAGAGAGAGAGAGAGAGAGAGAGCCAGAAGAGGACTATTGATCCCTGTACGCTATGGTCAAGCGTCTGCACCCAGCTCTTGACCAGGCTCTTCAAAAATCTCTGCTAGTTGGCCCTCAATTGGACTTTCGTACTCAATTCCCCAACGTTCTCTGCCAGTTTCGCCTCGGCCTTGAATCCTGAATGCTCTCTGCTAGCTTGCCCTGCTCTGATCTTTTCAGAGAGTTTCCTCAATGATCTCTGCAAATTCGTGCCTCACTAACCTTGATTCTGCTTCCCAAAGGCTCTCTGCTAGCCAGCCTAGCGATTCTCTAAGGATCTTTGCTAGTTTGCCCACCTTCCTAAACGATATTTGCTACGGAATTCCTCAAAGTTCTCTGCTAGTCAGCTTAGCTATTCCTAAATGATCTCTGCTAAACCGCCTTGCGTAACGTTTCTCGTAAAATCCTCAAAAATCTCTGCTAGCTGGCATTCCGGGCTTCCCAAAAAATCTCTGCTAGCCTGCCCTTCGATTCCTGAAGAATCTCTGCTAGCCTGCCTAGCCTTACTCATCGGTAAATACAAAACCTTGTTCGTCAAAAAGCCCTTTCAGATCCTTCCTGCTAGCCCCTTTTTCTGATCCCTCTGGGTTGAAGGGGGGGGTCTCCCCCATTCCCATTTCTTCTATTTACCCACCGCGTTTTCGAGGTTTGGATCGGTCGGTTGGGGGTCGACTGGGTGGACGGGTTGGCCACCCGACAGAAAGAATGAAGCACTGACCCGCACCACGACGTCTTTTTGACTTTATTTTGAACGAATTGAACAATTTTAAACGGTTTAACCGATTCTGACAACGTAAAAAAAGTTTCGCACCACGACGCCTTTTCCGCTTTTTTTGCATTTTAAAGCGAATTTTAGAGGTATTTTTACAATTTTTAAACAGGTTGTTTGAATTTTCCATGTTTTGGCAGCCAGCCAATCGACTCCTCAAAAATCTCTGCTACCTAGTCCACTGCCGGCCAGATTACGCGGTAAAGCCCTCTCTGGCAGCCAGCGAACCGGAATTTCCGCAAAAATCTCTGCTAACTCGCCCTCGAAAATTCCATTAAAGGTACATGAAAGGCAAATAGCAACACTTTTTGGCTCTCCGTATGTGATTTCCTGATTGATCGCTGCGGTTAACCTACTAAAATGCGTAAAATCGAAATAGCCGAATTTTCGTGGCTGTCTTTGTGTAAATCTAACTTTTAATTGCCTCGAAAAGCTGATCAAAAACATACAACATTCTTTAGCTCACTGATAGATTCGCTGGCCGGCGATATTGCATTATTTCCGCTAGAATCCCTGCTAGCCGGCTAGCCAATATGACTTTAACGGTGTCTGAAGGCAAAATCTGAGGACTATCTGGCGTAAAAATCGACAAACGCATTTTTAATGTCCATCAGGCTCCAAAAAGCTCAGAACAGTTGCAACAATTCTTATTTTAACGTGAATCACCCTGACAGTCTATATTTCCACTAGAATCTCTGCTAGCCTGCCAGCCAGTTGGGGTTTTAAAGAGCTTTGAAGACAAAGCCAGTTCTGCCTTTCCAAAAAAAAACCCAAAAAATGGTATTTTCTTGGTTCTTTTTGGTTATTTAAGTTCCGGATTCGCTTAAAATTAAAAAAAAACACTTTTTCAAGCTCTTTAAAACTTTAAATTACCTTAAAAAATGTATAAAAACGTCAAAAATCTACCCTGACCGTCGCTAGCCAGTCGGAATCGAAATTTGCGATAGCGCCCGAGTTCCCTCGCGAGTTCCCCATTTTTGGGCCTATTAGCGCTGACTCATCGCTTCGTTCAGTTTAGACGGACATCGGCTCTCTCACTCTCTCTCTCTCTCTCTCTCTCTCTCTCTCGCTCTCTCTCTCTCGTGATTTGGGGCATCCCCGGATTAGGTCAACGAGCAGAGACCCTTTGCGAAAATTGCCCCCGCCCCCGGTTTATTGCTGACAAATTCGTGCCCACCAAATATCCGCGAAAATCATCTCCGCAGCCTAAATATAGCCAGCCACATTCTGAGACGACAGCGAATTTCGAGAACAAAATGGCGCGCGAAAACGTGGGTTTTAACAAGTTTCAGATTTTTCGGTCTTTGAGCTCGATTTTTACAATGCCTAAATGGTCGCTGCTGGCTTGCCCCTTGTCTAAAATATCCCAAATGGCCTCTGCTAGCTTGCCCAAATGAATTTTGCCTCCAAAGTAACAGAAAAAGCAAAAAAGCCGCGAAAACCTGGGTTTTAAACGATTTTAAAGATTTTTCGATCTATGATCTCGGTTTTTACAATCCGAAATAGTCTCTGCTGGTGTGCCCCGTGTCTAAAACCTCCCAAATGGCCTCTGCTAGCCTGCCCAACCCATTTTTGGCCTTGAAAGTTTAAAGAAAAACCAAAAAACGCCAAAAATGCGCTTCAAACCTGAATTTTAGCCGGTTTCCTTGATATCCCAACTTCCGAAATGGTGCCTGCTAGCTTGCCCCGTGTCTAAAATGTTCTAAATGACCTCCTCTGGCTTGCCCAAACGAATTTTGCCTACGAAAGGCAGCGAAAACCTGCGTTTTAAAGTTTCAAAAAGCCAAAGTTCGACGTGCTAGGACGCTTATAATTAATTTTTATAGGTTTTTAAAGCTTGCGATCACCTCTATTTCATCTATTTTGCAAAGAAAAGCTTCAAATTGTCGGCTTAAAGCTTCAGAAGCTTGCGAAAATCAGTAGAACGATCCGCTCAGAGCAACTCTGTTTCGGCCGGCGAGGTGGCCGGCGAACCACGGCGAACTTCGCCCGGCGTACTGCGCCGGCCACCTCGCCGACAAGGAGTCGGCGAACTTCGCCGGCGAACCAGCCCGGCGGACTTCGCTGGCGAACCTGTGCGAGCTAGCTGATACTTAATCCCCTTGATTATTATTCATTCAACAATAAGGATCTACGAAGAAAACATGGATTAATAGAACCAGGATGGATTGGAGCCAGATAGCGACTGAAGAAGAGGGGCTTAAATCAATTCATCAACAGTAAAAATTTAACAACGGGTGAGGAAATGAATTTCCTCGCAGGAGAAGCGGCTTGTGGAGGCCTGAATTCGATTCGAAATTGTACCTTTTTGAGATTCTCAGAAGCGAAATGTGTGTTTGGTCCGGTTTACGCTTTCGGCGGTATTCCTTTACTGACTACCTTCATCTTCGGTTTTGATCAACTTACCGCCGCTACCTTACCATTGTTTCGTAGGAGAGCTGACGCTGCAGTAGCTGTTGGAGCGCCGGGTTGTCCCCATGCCGTTGGATCTGCCGCGTAAGGACTTTTCCGTCCATCAGTTCGGGATCTACCTGAAGGGTGTCGAAATCGATACAGGGGTTTCAAGTAATTACCTTGCCGGCGCCGTTATGTTAGCTTCCTATAAATACCAATTTTCCATCGTAACTCGCCGATCCTGATAATCTCCGGTTAACCTAACATCGCATCGTATCGAAACCAGCTTATCACATCGTAATAAGCTGGTTTCTAATAACATCACAGACCTGCGTATTCTTCCATTTCCGGCACTGTATCCTCCACCTCATCTGGATCCGATTCTTCGTTCACCGATCGTAATATTTCAGTAACGCGTTGGATCGCAGTATCGCGCATTCGCCGCTTCTCGTCGGCAGCTTTCATACCTATCAGTCTTTATAATAATAGTATCTTTCTTAAAAAACCTGTAGTTTCGGCCGCCGATCCCACGCCAGTTGGTTTTTTTTTTGCAAATGACTTACGGCTTTTTTTCTCTCGCAGCCCGCCACTCCGGTCGCGTCGTGGTTCGCCGGCGAAGTTCGCCGATCCCCTCTCGTCCCCTTTTCCGGCGAAGTTCGCCGGTGGTTCGCCGGCCACCTCGCCGAGCTCTGGTTCGCCGGCCACCTCGCCGAGCTCTGGTTCGCCGGCCACTGCGCCGAGGTTTGCCGGCAAGCTCGCCAACCCCTTAGGTTCGCCGGCCACCTCGCCGGCCGAAACAGAGAAAACGCCAAAAATCGGCCGGATCGGCCAAATTCTTCATCAGTCCCCTCTTTTTTTGAGCGGTCCGGCTGTTTCCTTGAGAAATCGCTGCTCCATTCTTTTCTTTTCTTCTTCTTCTTTCTCTTTCCCGGAACCGTTCCCCCTCTTTTCAATTTCCGTCCATTCGCTCGATTCCCGGGCAGTCGATTGGCCACTTTCAGGATGTTTCTGCTGATGTATGAGTTTCTAAAACTATTTAGAAATACTTTAGAAGGGTTAGAATTGTCTAAAACCGTTGTTTTATCTTTTTTTGGGACTTTTCCTTTGTTGCAGAGTTTCAGAATTCCGTTGCAAAGCTAAAAATAGCGAGTTTTTAGTGTTTTTCAAAACCGTATATTGCTTTTTCCTCGTTTATTTTGGCTATTTTTGTTTCTAAAGCTCACAGATTGCGAAACAAACCTATGTTTTTATTTGTAAATCTTTTCCTGACGATTTCCGGGCTCAATTTTCCTTTATTTTTCTTTAGATATGAGTATTATAACGTCTTTCTAACCGTATACGTGCTTTTTAGCTCTATTTAGCTTCTATTATAAGTTTAGAGCTTTTTGCGGTTTTTAGCTCCAATTAATAGAATCTATGTTTTTAGAAGCATTTCCGCGTTTTTAGAGCGATTCTGGGGTTTTTCAAGAAACCTCTAGGAGACTTAGAAGATTTTAAAAAGTAGAAAACGCGAAAATTTGGCATTTTTAGAACGATTTATCGGTTTTTCGGACGATCGACGACGAGTTTTCTGGGATTCTGTTAGATTTTAAAAATCTCGCCTGTTCTGCCGCGCCTATTCTATCTTACATGTTTTTTATGTTTTATTTCAAACGTTCCCGACGTTTTCTTTATTTTCAAGTCGTACACTCGTCGTTCCAGTGGTCCCCCCACATTACTCGCCATCGTCTCGCCCGCGAGAGCACCACTACTGACTTTGGGGCAACAGGGAGAAGGAGAAGCACAGCAAGAGATGGGCCGCGCCGTCGACAATGACCAACTGCAGCCCCTGATCGACAACGATCTGCCCGACGGAAACGACACGTTCTCCCCGGCGGCCATCGTCTATCAAGGGGATGCGGCAGTGATTGAGGCCGAGGAGAAGCGGCTCACCTTTTGGCAGGCAAAAGTCGCACTGGCGCAGGTATAAATTGGCTAGTTTCGCGTAAATTTCTGGGGAATCTGTTGTTTTCTTGGCTTCTGCTTTTTCAGTTTTAAATCACGTCCACCCAGGGTTTAAAAAAAACGTTGCGTTCCCCGGCATTTCCGTTTTATACGCATTTTTGAGGATATTTTTGTGTAATCTTTGAGCAAATCTGCGCTTTTCACAGCTTTTCCTTCTTTTCTAAGCTGTCGTGACTTCTAAATCTCTCAGAATTGCCTAGAAAATCGTGATTTTTACCTTTACCTTCGCTGGCATTTTACTTTTTGTGAATTTTTAGCTAGGAGCTACCCAAAAAACGGTCATTTCATTGTGGCCTTTTGACTTGGGCCTCTGCCGGAACCTGGTACTCGCTTCGTCAAGAAGCTCGTGCTCCCACGATAATCCTTTTCGTGCTGTTTTCCTTGAATTTAGCCGAAAACACGAATTTTTTCGTTTTTAAACCTTTCAGGGCCCTTTGCCACGTACAAAAGAAATGTTTTCCCAGTGAAAACGTCTTTTTAAAAATCTAGTCATGGTTTTCCGCCTTTTGAATCATCGATTAGCATCCGTGGGCTTTGATTTCCCTCTGAAATCGGCTAGAAAATAGTAAAAGTTCCCATTTCCTCGACCCCAGCTCGGAGAAACCATAAGCGGAATGTTCATTCAGGTATTCAGCAACTCGATTTTAGTCCAATTGTTAGCCCCTTGAACTCGGCTGCGGGTACGTTTGGCTCGACTACCACCATTTTCACACCGCCCACCCTGTCAGTACCATCTTTTCAAATCTTGCGTTGCGCTTTGATTTGGCTAGCGTCGATCTTTTTTTGATTAGTTTAAAGGTTTTCTAGGTTGTTAGCAATTAGATTTTTCCTATTTTCGCCGGCATTGACTTTTTTCGCTTATCTTAGGACCTTGTTTTTCGGTTTTTGGTTGTTTAGGGTATAGTGACGCCTATTTTTTATCACCGAACTTTTTCGGGGTGCATTTTGGCGGCATTTCTTGCTTTTTAGGCCTTGGAGAGACAGTTCTTCTAGGAAAAGCGCTATTGAAAAGCTTTTGAAAAGCGGCAGTTTTTTAAAACGTAAAAACACGCCTGTGATTTTTTAGTTGTAAAAGACAATTTTCGGTTTCCCTGACTCGCTTTTCCTGAAGTTTTTGACGGCTTGATGATGACAGGATAAGCTCGGGAAACTAAAATAATATATATAAATTTTTTTCTGGGATTTTATGGTTTTTTAGAAGAATTCGAGCTTTCCCCGCTCTAAGAACCCCGATTCGCTGATTTGTGTCGATTTTTGTGAAGCCTAAAGCCTCTAAACCGGCTTTTTGATTAATTTATGGCGGATGATCAGTTTTTGTAAGATTTTCCGCTTCTCCGGGCGATTTTTGGGATCTTTTTAGGGCCAGAAATCTAAAAATTGAGAGCTCTGCCCCGTCCGTAACGCGAATCTGACCAATCCATAGCCGAGAAATTGTTAGATTGTTGTTTTGTCTTCTTTTTGTGAGTGATCGGCCCTCTTCTTCTTCCCCTTTTCCTACCCCTCCGGGGTGCGTAAATCGATCGTGGTTTAGGGCGAGCAGACTTTTCGCCCTTTTTCCTTTCCCCCGTCTCGAAGCACGCCTCGCCTGCTGTTTTCCGATCAACCTGGGAAACCCCGGAAAAATAGGCTCAATACCTCGACGATTTCTTCACAATATTCCACCTGCGTGAAATCGTCTGGAAAATCGTATTTTTCTATCTTGTTTTGGCTGATTTCCGGTGCTGAAAATGGTGCTATTGGTAATTTTTTTTCTCGTTTTGGGGGTGGCTTTCCGTTTCTGCAAGTTTTCTACGTTTAAAACTCATGTTTTTTGAGGTTTTAGGCTGTTTTTCCATTTCAATAGGTTTTCTACGTTTAAAATTTGTCATTTTCCAGTTTTGCGAGTGCATTTTAGGCCTAGAAAATGTGAAAAACCGTCAGTTTTTAATTTTGAATGGATGCGAAGTCTGATTTTTTCGTTTTTCTACCCTTTAAATGTTGTTTTTAAGTTTAGAAAATGTAGCTTAAGGTCAATATTCATTTTTTTAAAGGGCTTTTGAAGGTTCTAAGCTTTTCCTGATGTCTTTTTCTTGATTAATAAGTTGCTCCTACTTTTGATGGTGTCTTTTTTTTGCCTTTTCCGAGTTTTTTGGAGTGGGTAGATCACTTTTTATGCCAAGGTTTGAAGCGTTGAATTTTTAGACAAATTTTTGGACCTAAAAGTCCGTCTGGCAACGCAGATTTTGATCTTTTGGTGACTCGCCGCCGGGAGTGCTCTCCCCGGTAGATGCTCTATTTTGATGCGAAAGAGCGAGTGAGAGGAAATGGGGCTCGGATTTCCGCTTTTCCTCTTACTGCCTGGCTATTCTCTGGTTATTCAGCGGTATTCTGCTAGTTTTAAGCCTTCTCTTCTTTATCTCGGCAGTATTTACCTGCAGAATTTGTCAAATAATTTTTAGGGGCCATTTGAACTAGATTTTTCGATTTAAAGATCATTTTCTAGGGGTTTTTCGATAGAAACGCGCTCGTCAATTTTTTTTACAAGTTTTTGGGCAGCAATAAATGGCTTTTTATGCCGTTTTTAGCCCCGTGTTTTAGACCAAATCGTCGAAATTTTTAGAAAGTTTTAAGGTTATCTATTTTTAACCCCTAAATTTGGCGTTTTTGGTTCTTTGGCATTATCGGGGGAGGCGAACCAACTTTTTTCGCAACCCGATTTCTTGAACGTAAGTAGCGGAAGTGCTTTAAACTATTGTTTTTACGATTCCTAAACGCAAAATGTGGGAAATTTTGATTCCAAAATACAAAAAGTAACGATTTTCGACCAAAATTTCAGCTCAAAATTTTTTTCTCGGCTTTTTAAAAGTTTGTTTCGATTTCAAGAAAGGTCCCCCGTTAGTGCAAAAGAACCCGATTTGCTGCACTACGTTTTACGAATTTTTTGACAAGTTTTTGGGCAGCAAAACTATGAAATAAATTAGTTTTGCCTCGTTTTTAGCGTCTTTTTGAGGACGAAACATTGGCTAGACGCCCTATAAACAGCCCATTTTTATCAGCCGGATTTTGGGGAAATTCGGCCTTTTTTAACCCCGAGATAAACAATGCTGGCCGCCGGCATCGAAATGATGAGGCTTTTTGGCTAGTGCAAAAGCTAGATAACGAGAGAGCGAGAGAAATAGAGAGACAAAAAGAGAGCGAGAGAAAGAGAGTAGCGAAAAAACAGCAGATCTGGCCTCTGTTCCCTTGCTGTTGTCTGTTTGGCCTTCATATTGATCACATTCCCGCCCACCCCCTAATGCCCCAAGCCGCCCGGATATAGGGTAGCTTGGCCCTAAGAAATTGACGCCCTTTTTGCTACAAACTATAGAGCTATTTTTATATTCGCTATTTACGCTTTTTAACGTATTTTTATTAACCTATTCGCTACCGAATTTTCCCCGATGCCAATCGATCCGCATTGCCTATTCAGCCCGGGATGCCTCGTTGCTAACGTTAACAGTAATAATACGGCGCCCATGCAGGAATTGCCCCAATTGCTCGCCGAGGGGTTTTTGGTGAGTTTTGGGGGGTTTTTTTAGGGTTTCTAGTGATTTTAGCTTTTTTTGGCTTGATTCCCATTCGATTACGCTAGGTAATTTGACCTGCCCCTGTCCTTTTTCATTCCAATCTCCGTCCGGAAGTGTCTTTTTAGTCTCGAAAATTCTTTCCTAGACGATTTCTTCAGATTCGCGACGACGTATCGTCGGTTCGCAATCCATTACGCGGGGAAATTCGGAGGTTGCCCCGTGCCTTTTCCTAGCGCTATACGGGTGGAAATGCCTCTAGAAACTTTTCGAGACTTAGGAATTGTTTTCTTTCGATTTTTAGGGATATTTGTATTCGGTTACGGCATGAATTTCGACTTTTCATCGAGCTTTGTCGTGTTTTTTTCTATTATCGGCAGAACGTTTCGTAAATCGTCCTGTGAATTCATGAGTCTTCGTCAGTTTGTCGACCAATTACGCTGACAAATTTATTTGAAGATTTTGTCGATTTCCTACTTTCCTCACGGGTCTTTGCTAGTCTGTCACCGCAATTTTCCTCAAAGGTCTCTGCTAGACTCATCTACTTCCTCAAGGGTCTTTGCTAGTCGTCTTGGCAGAAGCGTCGTTGCTAGCGAGCTTTGATAGATGTCCGTTTTCCTCAAAAGTCTCTGCTAGCCGACTATCACGCTTTGATCGTTTCTGATTCGAGTCACCCCTGAAAAATGGCCGATAAAATGAAATTTGTCGTAAAAAGGTCTTGAAATTATGTTAAATTTGTTAAAAACCGCGGGATCGAGCAAAACTGGATGAAAATTAGCGCCAAAATGAGCGATTTAATGAACCCAATTTATCCAGCTTTTTCCAGGCGTTCTTCGCGGGTCTCGCCGACTTCTTCATCATCTTCGGTGGAGCCATCCCCTACGTCTTTCAGGTAGGAGAAATCGGACGATTTTTACCCCCAAATCACGTCTAGTACGTCGAAATCTACCACCGGAAGAATGCGCAGGGCTTCTCGCTGTTCGTGTGCCTCGTCCTCTGCGTCGCCAACATCCTCAGGATACTGTTTTGGTGCGTTTTCTTTCAGGAAGCTGTAAAATGGGGCCTGCTCTAGCCAGCAAATGGTCCCTGCTAGCCTGCCCCCAGAGCTCCCAAATTTGCGAATTTCTCCCCAAATGGTGTTTGCTAGCCGGCCCGCCTGTTTTTAGATCCAAAATGAGCCCTGCTAGCTTGCCTGGGTGTTTTGATTCCCAAATGGTCGTTGCTAGCCTGCCTTAACACTTTTTGCTCGAGTCGGATTCTTTAGCTTCCCGCGTTTTTCGGGTCCTAAAGGGGCTTTTGAGGTTTTTCCAGTTCTCAAATCACCTCTGCTAGCCTACCAGCGCTCTAAATTTCCACAAATGGTATTTGCTAGCTGCCCCGCGTTTTTCGCGCTCCCAAATCGTCATTGATAGCCTGCCTTAGGTCCATTTTGCTCCTATGATCTCTGCTAGCTTGCCCGGTGTAGAATTCTCCCGCCGAATGACGGCTGCTAGTCGCCTGCCTGGTCCCTAAATTTATAGATATTAAATTACTATAGATTTAATTTCATATTGATTTGCTATTTTACTCATTTACTATTCTGTCATTTGCAGGGTGGGCAAGCGATTCGAGTGGCAGCTGTTGGCGCAATCGGTGGTGATGTTCACGGCGATGATCATCATGTTGGAGATATCGACACGGATGAATAGGAAGCACACGCCCAAGGCCCTCCGCAAGAGTGTCATCGGTGAGGAATTGGGCCCGGGTTTTTTTGGAGTAAAAATTGGCACAAAAATGGCGCTAAAATCGGAGAAATCAAAAGCGTGTGGAAACTTTGCAATTTGATGTCGTCATCGGTTGTGTAGTGGAATTTTTGTCGCTTTCATCAAGGATTTTGCTAGTTGGCCCGTCTTCTTAAAGGGTTTCTGCTAGTTTGCTCGATTTCCCCGAGGGCCTTGCTATCTGCCCGCTTTTTGAGGGGTCTTGGCTACAGCAATATCGGTGAGGAGCCGGATAGGGGGATTTTTTGGAGCAAAAATGGGTAAAAATTCGCGTGAAAAATGGAAAAAATTATCACAAAAATGGATTTTTCTATTTAAAAGAAATTTAAATCGTGTAAATTTGGTGACGTAATTGGTTGGAAGGGGTATTTTTTGCGATTGATTGCCTCAAGAGTCTTTGCTAGCCTGCCCGAGTTTTTTTGTAGGATCTCTGCTAGCCGATATCGATTTCCATCAAGGTTTCTGCTAGTTTGTTCCCAATTCCTCAAGGATATTTGCTAGCCTGCTTGATTTCCTCAAAAGACTTGGCTAGCGGGCCTCTCTTCTTAAAAGGCTTCTGCTAGCTTGCGCGCTTTTCTGAAGCGCTTTGGCTAGATGCGGGGTTTTCTAAAGGGTTTTTGCTAGCCTATGATTACTTCCTCAAGCACCTTTGCTAGCAGGCCAACTCGGTGATGGCCTCTGCTAGCCTGCTTTTCTTCGAATTCTGGCTGGCCGTACTTTCCTCAAAGGTTCTCTGCTAGCCTTCTCGATTTCTCAGAAGATTTGGTCAAGCTGCTTTCCCTGAAAATGTTCCAACTCCCCGTGCTAGTAAGGTCACGAAAAACTCACTGGATTCTCATAGTTTCTGCCTCAGGCTGGCTGCCTCGTGATTTTGTCTCCACTCCCCCATTATTTGTGTGGGACTTTCAAGTGGCGCTTGATTTTGGGGTGAGAGAGAGAGAGCGAAAGAGAGCGAGAGAGACCGAAAAAGGCAGAAAAGCAACAGGGGATAGCGCTTCGGCTTTTGGCATGCATCGATAATTCACACGCGCGCACCATGGCGACTTGTTTGTGTTGCTGCTGGAAAAAGAGCCGGATAGCGGGAGAGAGGATGGTGCTGAACAACAAGCTCAAGCTGTTCGACACCTGGTGTATTTCTGTCTTTTTCTTTGCCTATAGTCTTTTTCCGCGTCGCGACTCGCAACGCGCACACTCGCCTTTCCATTGCGTAATCAATTTCGACCCCTTCAAGGCGCTCAAGCGCGGCGTGCGCGTTGCGTCTCGCACCAGTGAAAAAGCGAGAGAAAGGCAGGGAGAGAGACAGAGACGCAGAGCGCTGACCGGCTTCACCACGTGCCGAAAACCGCAGATGTGTGATTCATTTATTTTTACCAGTATAAATCGGGGAGAATCGCGGGGAGTACGAATCGTTGGAGGTGTCCAAAAAACACAAATTCGGGAAGTTCAGCTGCAATATACGCAAAAAAATTGTTTGATGATACCCGTGGCGAGGGAAAAAGGGTTGAGGAACGAGTGGCGCGCTATACAGCAGACTACAAGGTACAAATGGAATTGGAAATATTGGGCAAGAAAGACGGGCAAAAAAGACTGAACTGCTCGAAGACGTGGGGGAACGGCAAGTGAACGTGTCGCGATGCGAAAAATCGATAATTTTGCCTTGTCCGACCCTTTAAAGTAGTAATTTCCAACCCGACGTCTTCAAGCAGTTCACCCCCGCCTCAAACATCGGCCTCCGGCGTGTCGCAAATGACCATGACGGAGAGGAGGGGACTGGTAGAACCCTCGTCCCCTCGTGCCGAACCGTTCGAACACCGGGCATGCCCATTCGATGGCAACGACCCGTTGGAGAAGCTCTCCCTCTCCAACACGAGCGGCAACGGTGGCCGACAGCATGTGCTGGTCTTTGGCGTCCTCGACGTGGTCGAGTTCTTCCACGGCGAGTGGCAGCTCGAGTTCCAGCCGGCCTCGCTCAACTCGTGGATCGCGTCCTCGTCCTCTTCTGAAAATGAAGACGTCGTTTGCAGTTTGTAGCCTGAAGTTTTTAGGGTTTTTGTGTCCGGGTGTACTTTGTAGCCTAGAATTCGTGTAGTTTGTAGTCTAGGGTATGAAATTTCTAGTTTTTTAAGGTTCGGTGTTGTAGCCTAGTTTTTGTAGTCTCTAGATTTTAAGATTGTATTCTAGGCAAAAATTTTAGTTTGTTTTCTGGAAATAAAGGCGATTTTAAGGGGGTTTGGAGAATGAAAATCAGATTCTCGAAATTGTAGCTTGTAGTCTAGCGCTTTTTCTGTGTTTTTGGTATTTTTTAGTAATTTGGGCTACGGAAATCCGAAAAATTTGGCTTGTAGTCTAGTTCTAGGCCAGCAAAAATTGTAGTTTGCAGTCTAGGAATTCCTCAACATTTTTAAGGCATTTTTGGAGATACAAAAATGGGAAAAATGAAGCTTGTAGTCCTGGTCTAGGCGTGCTGAAGACTGTAATTTGTAGCCTAGGAATTTTTTATATATATTTTTAAGCTATTTTTGAGCATTTTCGGTTATAAAAATCGAAAGTGGAGCTTGTAGTCTAGGTATATACGTGCAAAAATTGTAGTTTGTAGTCTAGCGTGCTTCTATATTTTTAAGGGGATTTTGTGGTTTGTAGTCTACGAATTCCCTGAATTTTTAACGCATTTTTGGCGATATTTTGGGCTAAAAAACCCACCAATAATCGGCTCCTCGCACGGGTTGACGAGCTCGACCCGCTTCCCCACCGAGTACACCGCCGGCTCGGTTAACCGCCGTTTCTGCGAGATCTTCGAGCGCAGCACCCCGGAGACGTTCGTCTTCAGCTCGAACGCCAGCAGCTTGCCGTTCTTGTTGTTGTTGCTGTTCGTCTTCTCTTTGGCCATCTGGCGGAGGTTTTTTGGGAATTGTCAGAAATTTCCTACCTTCCCGCCGGTGCGTGACATTCGAGAGCGGACGCTCTCTGGCGGCACGGGCAGGCAAAACGGGACGATGCTGTACAGGGCCTAAAGATGGTTTATCAGGCGTTTTAAAGGGACTAGGAAGCCGGGAAATTGGTGACAAGGAGATGAACTTTACGTTTTCGGCGAGTTTTTGAAATTGGCAAAGATCCAAAAACTAAGAAAAATCCGCTTTAAAGGGCTACTGAAGCCTAGAAATTGTCTATATGGAGATGAACTTTGCCGCACGTTTTCGGCGAGTTTTTGGACTTGGCGAAACGCCAAAAAACTCCGGAAATCATATTTTAAGGCCGTGTAAGGCTATTCAATTGGCGATAGGGAGATGCACTTTGGGCGAAGGTTTTCGGCGAGGTTTGAGACTTGGCGTCAAAAAGTTTCGGAAAGCCGATTTTTAAGGGCCCATTGAATCCAAAAAAGTCGTTTCTAGACTATAAACTCACTTTCCACAGGGGCAGCACAAAACGCTGAGCGGACCGCTTGAACTCCTTGACGGTGAAGGAGTAGATGATCGGGTTCAGCATCGAATTGCAATATCCTAGAGGGCAATTTGGGGGTGTCAATTAGTGCGCGGGCTCACCTAGCCAAGACGCCAGATCGATGGCCATCCCCGGGATGCAGTTGGCGCATTTGAAATCTAAATTAGGCGGATTTTTTTGAGTGCTCTCAAATGATCTTTGCTAGCTTGCCCCCATTTCCTAAACCATCTCTGCTAGCCTGCCCTTCCCCTAATAATCCGCCCGACTTACTGAAGAGGTACAGGATGAAGAAGGGCAGCCAGCAGAAGAGGAACGAGCACGAGACGACGCCCAGCGTCTTCGCGATTCGCTCGTGCGTCCGGAGAACTCTCCGCTGATGTTCCACCATCCCGTTCTTCTTTCCAAAATGTACTCGGAGGGTGGTCTAGAAGTAATGGGTAGATTATAGTCTACAAGAGCTCAGAAAAAAACGAATCCAAGCAGTTCAGGGTGCGGTTTTTCACTAAATTGCCATCTGAATGAACGGCTTGAAGTCGACGGCCAGCCCTTTTTGGCGTCTAGCCTTTCATAGTTCTACATGGATGTGGGCTATGAACCAAATGAGCTCAGGCAGTTCAAAGCTCGAAGCTACCCTGAACCGCTTGAAGTCGCCGGATATCTCAAAATCCCCACCTGTTGACTCAGCGTGTTCGTCAAAAAGTTCATATTCTGCCCGAGGATCATCAGAAATCCCTTGTCGAGTGCCTTCTGCCGGTTCCGGGCCAGCTTGTAGATGCGCCAGTAGAGCGTCAGCGTCACCGATGCCGGCAGGAAGAAGGCGAACACGACGCTGTGCGCCAGGTATCGGATTTCGTTGCCCGCGAAACAGTTGTCGCCCTAGAAGATTTCATGGTGTAATTGGTTGAGCGAAATTTTTATGGATTTTTGGACTTCCCGGGTCCTTTAAAGCCCTAAATTTTTGGGGGCAATCGATTTTCATGGCGTAATCGGTTAAACGAGTGATTTTCCACCAATCTCGGCAGCTTTCTAAGCTATTTTCTATGGATTTTTTTGACTTGCCGATCCCTTTAAAGCTAGTTGCAGCAGTTTTCTAGCCATTAACGCGTCTATTGAACCTTTTTTCACTGACCTCCCCCATCGACACGTTGTCCCATCGGACCGTCGTCAGCAGCACCGACGACGAGAACGTCCAGATGGTGATCATCACCAGTATCACCTTACACTTGGTCACCACCGACTTGTAGCGCAGCGGTCGCGTCACGGCCAGGTACCGGTCCACGGAGATTACGCAGATTGTTACCTGGAATTGGTTGGTGGGGGGTTTTCTCAAATTCTCTCTGCTCGTTTGCCCCTCGGAAAAGATGTTTTGGTACTGGACTGTTAGCGGGGGGTAGTAATTTTTAATGTTAATGAATTCTGTATTTTTATAATGCTGTTCGTCTTCCTAAAAAGTTACAAACCATATTTTTTTCGTTTTCGTTTTAAATTTGACAATTTTGAAAATACCAAAAATATTAACTTTTCGAGATTTTCGAACAAAAAGTAAAAAAATTTCGAAAAATTTTAAAAGTCTTTTTTATCAAACTTTATATATCCAAAAACTATGTAAAATCTTGCAAAAAATGGTTTCTCTTTTGTTCTAGGGCTGTAGAGAATTACAGGGAAAAATTTGGTCTCCCCCCGCTGTCAAATCCCCCCCCTAACAGTCCAGAACCGAATTGGCGGGGGATTTTCTCCAATTCTCTCTGCTCGTTTGCCCATCCGGAAAGAAGATTTTTGGGAATTCTGGTCCCCTTCTAGGCCAGATTATCGATATGGTGTGTGGATGTGTGTGAGTCCCACTCCTCTCTCTCTCTCTCGCCCTCTAAAGCGGAAAACGGGTGGGGTGTGGCGCGGTGAACCGAATTATCCCCCCTCCCGATGCTCACTTTTTCGGGGGGGGCTCTCCCGAGAAGAGGAGGGCCAGGTCACGTCCCCCCTTCAACGATCCCCCCTGCCTTTCTGAATCGCCCCCCTTAGAAGCGAGGAGCGACGACACAAAACGTGTCCAATTTTTTGCCGTTTCGCCGGGGCGATGACACGGCACGAGGACGAGGGAGACATCTCCTCGAAAACTCGAAAATTCAATAGAGCAGCAGCCCCGGGGATTTCCTCGCCGCCCGACGCTCCCCCCGTAGACGAACAAATTCCCGAACTTGCCGAACGTGCAGAGACGCCTGATTAGCGCCGCGGGGTGCAAATTTTCGAGAAAAAGAGCGTCCCTGGAAACTAGACTACTGCTTGCGGCCATTTCCGGGTCCCTGATCCGGAAAAGTGCGCCGGAGAGGCGGGGGAGAAGGCGAAAATAGCAGCAAATTGCTTAGTTAGTCGGCTGGGCCAAAAATAGGGCCATTTAGGAACAAATTGCCCAAAATACCCCCTAAATCGGCGCGCTCTCACGCCCATTTTGACCGCGACGATTTCGAGGTGTTCAGTGGAAAAATTTAGCTAGAATTTGCGGCTGAACCGCTTGAGCTCGTTGGACTGCCTGAACTTGCTGAACCAGTGGAAACTGGGTAGGCCAGCCACATCGGTTGGGCCGACGTTTTGGAGGCGTTCAGCAAAAACTTTGGCGAGAGTTTGCACTGAACGGTTTGTTCTAGTTGGACTGCTTGAACTAGATGCACTGCGGGTCAGCCCGCGGCTCCAAAACTTGGGAAACTGGACAGTCATTTTTGGGTCCCGGAAACTCCCTGCAAACATGCCTAATTTTCCGGGAGTTCCCAAAAATTACGTAACTTAATTTAGTAACGTTTCGGAAAAGTGCGAGAACGGGCTGGCGGCGCTAAAGATAGCCGGGGAAAATTGGCCGCCCGAGATTTTGAGGGCTAAAAATAGGGGTCCCCGAAATAGGTGTGGGGTGTGAAATGTTGCCAAAAATATCGAAGGCCTATCCCGGCGAATCTAGGGTGCGGAGAATCTGCTCGTGGAACTATCCCTTTAAAACCCCCACCAACACCATCTCCCAAATGCTCTCTGCTAGCTCGCCGCCAACTTTTTAGCCCAGCCGGCTGCCAGCCAGATCTCTCGCCAATTCAGAATTCCCGAAAACCACGTGCCCGCCTTCTCGGTGATGATTACCCCTTCTAAGGGATTGATCCGAGCTGAGGCGGCCAGCTTCAGCTTCAGAATCCCGGCCACTTCCTCCCCTCCTCCCTTCCCCCCTCCCACCGCAACCTCAGCTTCACGTATAGCCCTCCCCTCCTTGCCAGAAGGAGGGCATGGATGGCGGTGTGAAGTCGAAGGCCTTCTCCTTCCCTCCCGTCCCCTCCACTTGGCACGCGCTCATTATTCATTTACGAAGAGGAGAGCCCTCCCCAGCCACCGCCACCACCATCGAAATCCCGGGGCAGCAGCCGGCTCGAAGCAGAAGAGGAGCACCTGTGTGAGAAGAAGAAGAAGAAGCAGAAGAGAAGGCCAGGTCTCCCTTCAAACACTTCGCAACGTCTTCTTCTGCTTCTGTCCCGGGGCCCTGGGTGGCCACCGCCGAAATGTCGCGAAACCTGGGGAGGGAGGGGAGCGCGGGGAGGGCAGATTTTGGCCTTCAAACCTGGCCAAAAAAAGGTCTCATTAAAAGAGGGTTCTGGTTGCCTGTGGATTTCAAGCCGTACGCCTCAAAGTTTGGTTGAAACCGTGGTTGAACTGGTTGAGATCGTTGGACTGCTCGAACTCGCCGCGCTGCAAAAACGCGATACTATGAGCCGCGATCCGCAACGCGCCGGCTCGGCTTTTCATGGCGTAATGGATTGAGGAGAGAGAGAGAGTTTTTTAAGATTTGAAAAGATCGCTACTGGCCTCTGAAAACCGCTTAAAGGGATTGACAACCCAAAACTGGTATATCCCTTACCACAGAACACGTGCAAAACGTCACGTCCGCCGCCACCCACAACCGGCACAGCGCCCGCCCAAAGATCCACTTGCGGTAGATGAGGTGAAAGGCGCCGAGGGGCAGCACGAAGATGCCGACCAGAAAATCGGTCAGCCCCAGGTTCCACACCAGCAGCGTCGTGTTCGTGCGCCCGACTTTGGCCTGAATTTTTTTAGTTTAGCTATCGGTTTTTGGGCCCACCTTGAAGCAGAGGACGAGTAGATTGCCGAACACTGTCAACAGGATGATGACGGTGGCGGGGACGGCCAGAACGGCCATCACCGGGGTGGGCAACATCTTGATCGGGTCGCCGAGGTGGCCGGTCTGGAATTGGTGGAGTTTAGTTGTAGTTTGTAGTTTTGAGAGCTTTAAAGCGACTTGTAAGTCATGACGATGAAACCGATAGTTTTGGAGGAGCTAAGGAGCTCTGCTAGCCTGCCCCACGCCATGTCACGCTTCCTTTAAAGGGACTGACAAGCCATGGCTATGGATTTTTTTGTGTACGCCCCTTTAAAGGCATGGCGACACCCAGAAGTGCAGGTCTATTGGTGCGTCGTGTAGCTTACAATATCGTCATCGCCAAGGCCGGGCGCCAGCGGTTGGATGGCCACGGCGGTCATGTTTGTCGGGTGGTGGTGGTGATCAGCCATTGAAGGGGGATGGGCACGGCATTTTCTGGAATATTAGGGGTGTTGGCGAGAGAGTGAGAGCGAGAGCGAGAGCGAGAGCAAGAGCGAGAGCGAGAGAGAGAGAGAGAGAGAGAGAGAGAGAGAGAGAGCGAGAAGCACGTCTACTTACCCAGACGACTGTACTTCTTTCTGAAGCCCGAACTCCCCCAATATGACTTGTGTGAAATTCTTGGAAAGCGAGAGAAGCCTGAGAAACAGAAAATCCAGCCTACCAGCATCTCCAAAAATTATGTGCCTCCCCCCTGTCCGCATTGTAGCATTGTGTGAACGTTGTTGCCACCCACTGGGCCCATAATTCTGTTTGGCTGGCCCTGCCATGTCCTGGCATTGATTCCGGGGTCGCTTGAAGAAACCGGTGCGAAGACCCTCCGGAATAGGACCGAAACGGCCGAAAAAAGGGGCAGGGTCCAAAGACTTCCGAGTTGGGCGGAAAATGGCAGAAAGCGAAGCCAGGGAGAGGGTATTAAGCGATATTCGATACCCTGGATTGGCTAGAGAAATCCAGAAAGTCCCGGCGAGAGTTTCCAAAATGGTTTCTGCTGGCTTGCCCAGTGTTTTTCGAGTACCCAAATGACCTCTGCTAGCTTGCCCCCGGTTTTTGAACTCACTAAATTGTCTCTGCTAGCTTATCCTGTAACCTTCCTTGATGCCAAAATGATCTCTGCTAGCTTGCCCCTAGTGTTTTTTTGCTCGGCGGATGATCTCTGCTAGCTGGCCCGCGAACCTGGACAAAAATTCGTGATCTCAAATGGCCTCTGCTAGCTTTTCGGGAGTAGTTTTGGTTCCGCAAAAGGTCTCTGCTAGCTTTCAGAGAGTACTTTTGGTTCCGCAAATGGTCTCTGCTAGCTTGCCTTCCTAAAGGTGCTAGGAGTGATTGGCGAGTTGCCAAAGTATCTGAATTCGGGAATCTGACTTCCTGACTCCTTTAAATGGGTACTGTAGCGGTATTTCAGAGAGACGCAGAAGAGTAGAACACCGAAAAATCTAGTCCTTTTTAAGGTAAACAACCCATTAAAATAGGTAACGAATAGCCGGGCGCTTGGGTCGGGACACGGAGAAGCAGTAGAAAGGTACTGGCGAGAGGTGAGATGATGGGTTCGGAAGGGGGGGGATGGATGGGACTTGGCTTCTTCTTATGGCCCGTGGGAGAGAGAGAGAGGAGACCTCTCCCCCGAAACTTTCGGGGCTCGCAACGCCTTTCCGAAAGGGGGTCTCGCGGATTTGTGACGGGAAAAGGAGGGATGGCCGGTCGGGCAGAAGAAGAGGAAGAAGCTGGAGGAGGAGGAGGAGCACCTCCTCCCCTCCTCACACCTGATTCCGACCTTCTCCAGAGGAGAGGGCATTTCAGGGGGACCGGGCTGAATTTTTTTCTAAGGAATCTGTGCTAGCTGACCGGAATATGAACCTGAGCCAGCTAAAGGATCTCTGCTAGCTTGCCCCTTCTCACCTCGGTTACGCAAAGAATACTTGCTAGCCTGCCCCGTTTCATAGAAAAATCTTTGTTAGCTACCCTCGGTTCGTAAAAAATCTCTGCTAGCCTGCCCACATTTCCGCCAAGAATCTCTGCTAGTTTGCCCCATTCCATAAAAAAGTCTCTGCTAGCACGCCAAAGAACTTTGGTCAACGTTCCCAGGCGGTACCGCTATTGGCTAAAAGCGGTTCGTCGAACCCGGCCACCTTTCTAGTGAATTCTGGAGGACCGGCTTTTCCGAGTTGGGAGGGCAGGTTGAAGGGCTTTGGATCTGTCTGGGACATTTGGGAGTACTTTGAGCGGCGACGAGGCCAAGAAGATGTGATTCCAGCAATCGGCGAGATTCCGTTACAGTACTCACCCAAATATACGTCGTTAGTACCGTTTCGGGATGTGTAATGTCCGGTAATTTTCGGAATTCCGTAAAGAGGAAAGTACGGCACAATATCGGAGCTGTAATTTGTACAGTACCGTAGCTTGAAAGCCATCGCGATCTCGGAAATTCTCAATTAGTCCGTAGAATACAGTAATTACGAAAGTACCGTAACGGGGGAAAATTTCCGGCTCTAAAATGACGTAAAAATCAAAGATGACGATCCAAAGTATCGATGGAAAAAGCGGCGAACGTGCCAGGAAGAGACCGGAAGAGGAAAGGATCCGGTGGAGGGGAAGGAATTGAGGATGAAGCTCCGAGAAGGAGCAGAAGCGGAAGACCACCCAAAGCCCACCAAAAGTCGTCAATTCCTAGTCACACACACAACGTGGCCAGGGCGGGGCAAGCAGAAGCAGAGGGAGGGGATGAAGCTGTGGACAATGGCCGGCTAGAAGAAGGGGAAGCCAGGGCCTATTGTTTTCAACTCATAGGGGATCTTCGGGATTGATCTGGGACGTTTCTCGCTCTCGCTCTCTCTCCCTCTCTCTGTCTCTCTCTATTTGTCTGTCTCCTCACTCTCACTCTCTCACTCTCTCGATCTCTCTCTCTATCTCTCTCTAGCAGCCTAGCAGCGATCATTGCGGAAATAAGAATTCTGACACCGTGCAGGCGCGCTGAGAAATTTTAGAATAAAAAATTATCCAGCCAAACTAGCAGAGGAAATTTAGGAATCAAATGTACAGAGGCAGGCCAGCAGAGATCATTTAGGAATTCAGAAAGATCTAGAGAAGGAGGGCAGGCTAGCCGAGACATTCCAGGACTAAAAATGCCCGGGCAAGCTAGCAGAGACCATTTGGTGACCGGACAGGCTCCATCGAGATATCCATGTCCTTTAGGGGTCACAAAATGAAAACCTTGCCATAGCGTGGCGTCTGCTGAATGGATCAAAAATCCCTAACCCATCCCTCCCTCCCTACAACTCGAAAAATAGCGTCGTCGGATTGGCCGGGGCCAAATGTTGCAATTAGGCATCGAGACCCCGGGGGGCAGGGATGAAGGGGGGAAATGCGAAAAGTTGAGTGGGAAAAACTGCCGCGAGGGGGATGGGAAGGTGATGACGGGCCATTGAAAAGAGAGAGAGAGAGAGAGAGAGAGAGAGAGAGAGCGAGAGAGCCAGATGATTCTGATGAAGCGAAAAGTAATGTAGTGAAACGTGAAAAGTATACCAGAGTTTATCGAACAGGCAAGCGAGCAAAGGTCATTTGCGGAAAGTTGATCCTGCCTGGGGCAACTAGCAGGGATCATTTCCGACAAGGATCACCTCAGAAATGAGCATCGCAAGCTAGCGGAGGCCATTTTTCAAATTTTTTCTAGGGTAGGGACGAGGCGAGCGAGCAGAGATTATTGAGGAAAGATGAGAATTCTAGCAAAAAGGCAAGCTAGCGGAGAACTTTTGCGAATTGCCGCAGGCAGAGGAATTGTGGGGAAATTTTGATTTTTTGGCAAGCTAGCAAAGATTTTTGGGGAAATGGTTCTAGCTTACAAAAGCGCAGGTTTTAAAAAGCGTTGGCGATAGAAAAATCGTGAAAGAGGCTGAAAATGCGTTAAAAATAGACGTTTTCTAATTTCTACATTTCCAGGCGGTCACTCGATCTCGGCGTTCTGGGCGTGGCACGACATGGGCAGTTTCCTGATCGCCCTCGGCGTGTTCACCGCCGTCTGGTCCGTCATCACCGCCATTTTCTATACGGTAAGTGCCGGCGTTTTCGATGAATCTATTGGCCTTTTAGAACGCACTCTACACGGAATCCTTGGGCTATCTCTCGCTCTTCATCGAGGCCACCCTCGGCATGCCGCAGTTGATCAGGAATTTCCAGCGCAAGAGCACGACAGGGATGAGGTACAGTTTTGGGGCTCGGTGGATTAAAGGGGCCAGCAAGGCTGCGCATGGATTTTTTCGGCGACGCGACTCGTACGCAACGCGCAGAAAAACTAGCAAAAACTTTAGGATATTTCAAAGCATTTTATGAGCTTTTAGGGAAAGCTGTGCGTTGCGTGGCGTGGCGCGGGCTTATGAAAACCATAGGGAATCCATAAATAGACTAAAATAGATGGATGAGGCCAAAAATGTGGAAATTAGCGGGGTGTGTGACGAAAATTCGGGTGAATAGCGTTCGGGAGTTGAAAGACCGCCCCGTGGCCTAAATGTTGGCATTGAGGGAGAGAGAGTGAGAGAGAGAATGAGAGAGCGATGGAGAGAGAGCGAGAGAGAGATAGAGAGCAAGCGCGCGAGAGAGAGACAGCGAGAAGTAACATGAGGCAAAGATCAAACGTCCGAATCCCCCAGATGTTTAGTTAGCTTTTTCCTCCGCGACATTTTGCCGGTAGCTTGCAGAGGTTTTTGGGGGGAAACGGGATTACAATGTGTCGGTCGGGACTTCCGGTTAAATGGCCCCCATTTGGCACCGCACGCTATCCCGAAAATTTATGGGGGCCGTTGGGTAAGGGTTCTGCTAATTCGGCCGAGTTTTTTGTTTCGTGTCTTGCCAATAGGGAACTAATCGGTTTTTAAATAGTTTTTAAAGAAATCAAATTACGCGCTTGATTTGAATCGCTCGAAATTGAGCCTTTGGATTTATTTGAAGCCAATCCGGGCACTTCTGCACTTTTAAAGGGAGGGTGACCGCAGTGACAAAGCCGGGTAAAAAACGGGCAATTTTTAAAGGGACAGTGACACCTAGAAAACCAAAATTTGCACTCAAAATGTCGAAATTCATAATGCCGAATTTTTTTGCGTAGAATTCGGTCTTTTTTCGTGAAAAATAGGTTTTGTAATATTCGAGATTCTGAATTTTGACCCTTGGAAATTTCGACAATTTGAAAGAAACCCAGGAAACCCAAATTTGCACTATAGTTAGTGCTCCCTTCAGGTTGAGCAAAGAAGCAATGAGCGGAGAGCGAAAGGTGAAAAGGGGAGGAGGTGGACGAGGGTAGAGCTTATTTTGCAGTCATCCCCCGCATATACCTTCACTCGAAGGGAGCCCCCGAAATCTGACGCTCTTCAAGGGGATGGAGAGCGAGAGAGGGAGAGACAGCCAGAGAAAGAGAGCGAATACTCGAGTATGGGTCGGCCGTCGGCTTCTTGACCGAATCTTCTTCTCCTCCTCAACCTCTGAATACCCAACCGGTGGCCGTAAATAGCCTTTGGCTATTTATGGCCCCAGCTGGAATTTTTGATCGCTAGGGGACGCGCTTGAGGAAATGATTTTGAACGGGGGGATTCCCTGGGTGAAAAGGGACTAGAGTATTTTTGGGGACGAACATTTGCTTTTCTAAAATTCTAATCGGTTACGCAATTTATTTGGGAACCCGCCATTCGATTACGCCATGTAATTAGGATGTCTTGTCGGTTAAAAAGCGCACGACAGTCATTTCTGACGATTGGGCAACCTCTAAATTTATTAGAACCGAAGGGTAGCTAGCAGAAAGCCTTGGGGAAGCTTCCTCGATGAATTGAAAGCCTGTTGTATAGTTCCGGAAAGGAATTCCGGGAAATACGGAATTACGGGGCCGATAGACGCTCCAGCTGTTTTTTTGGAAATTCGGGCGGAATTGGGGAAATTTTGTAGCTGCCTTTTTTGGGTTTTTTTTTCCTGCGTAAAATCGCTCTAAATTTGCGAAATGGAGCGTTAGTCCGGTCGAAATTTGTGGCAAAATTTGCAAATAAATTAATTGAAATTCTGAATTTTTTTTGTATCTGCGATAATCCCCTTTTTTTGCAGCATTCCGATGGTGTTGACCTGGCTGCTGGGAGATATCGGCAAGCTCGCCTATTTCGTGTTGAAGCAGAACCCCATGCAGTTTGTCATGTGCGCATGCTTGCAGGTGAGGATTTGAGGGTACTTTTGCATTATCGGGGGGGGGGGCTTTTTCCTCGAACCCTAGAATTGCCTAGTAACGTAAAGTAACTATTTTAATAGCATTTTCACAAAAATGAAGTATTTTTAAGTGGAAAAACAATCTTTAAAAACCCGAAAAAGTTATTAATGGAAATTTCGCGCCAAAATCCGCCATTTTTGTCGAAAAAAATCGAATTTTTCAATTTTTAAAATTAGATTTTTAAGGTTTCCTAGGTTTATGAATAATAAAAACGGTTTAAAATGGCTCTATTTATATTTGCCAAAATGATCCTTAGAAAAAAGTGCCCCCTCCCCCCCGATAATGCAAAAGCACCGAGATTTAGCGATTTTTGGCATTTTCGACGATTCCAGTCTCTCTATGGATTTTCGCCTTCTAGGTGCCTTTAAAATGATATTTTTTTGCAGATTTCGGTGGACTGCTTCATCCTGGGCCAAGTGATCGTCTACCGGAAGAACAGAGGCACCTCCCTGCCCTACGAGAACAACTCCCCACCACAGTCGATCGTCGATTAGAGAGAATTCGATTTTCTCTCTCTCTTTCTCCGCTCTCTCCTCTATCTCTATGCTCTCTCGGCATAATCTGTCTCTCTCTGCGCTCTCTCTCTCTCTCGCTTTTTGCACGATTTTAATTTTTTTCAAGAACTTTTATTTGCTGCTTTTCCGTGTCCACTCCCTTTTCTTCGAATTGAGCTTAGGCGCTGCTCTCTCTCTCTCCTCGTGATTACTGTAATTTTCAGGGGATTTTTCGGCGTTTTTTAAAACTTAAAAATCGCAAAAATTGATTTGTTTTCGTTTTTAAAATTTACAAAAATAGAAAAATTTATTTTTAGTTTTTTAAAAATTTCAAAAATATTGAAAAATGCATAATTTTGGATTTTAAAAGCAAAATGTATTTTTAGCTTGTTAAAAACTTCCAAAACGTAATTTTTGGTTTTTTAAAACCAATTTTCTCTTAAAAAATTGGAGCAATTTTAAAGCATTTAATTGCATGTTTAGGATTTAAAAAGAAATTTTTAAACTCTAAAAATGCCGAAAAATTCCCGAATTTGCCTGATTAATAAAAATGCGTCCTCTGCTTTCCGTTTTTCCGTTTTTTTTTCGGCTCGTCTCGTTGGTTGTGATTGTTTTAATATCGATCGATCGCTTTCGTTGTGTGTGTGAAATTTTGTGAAATGCGTGTCGCGATGCGTCGTTTTTTACGCGGATTTTATCGTAATTACCGTAAATTTTTTTGCGTTTTTCTCTCGTGTCTCTCCGCATCCGCACTCTCTCGCCCGATCGTAGGCCCCGCCCCCCATCAATAAGAGAACAATACAAACTTCAGCAATATACCTAGCGGGGAGAATCGATCGTTTTTGGGCACGATTGCGTATTTTAAAGGGCCATTGAAGGCAAAATTTGGCTTGGAATTTTTCCGCATTTTTGGATTAAAATTAGCGGTGTTATGTACGCAAATTTGACCAAAATAAAATTGTTGCTCCCCCTTTAAAAGCCCGGGAATCGAGCTATTTTAAAGGGCCGTTCAAGGAAATTTTGGCTATGAATTTTTGCATTTTTAAAAAATGGCTGGATCAATTTTTTGCCTAAATTTTGATAAAAAATCAACTGTTGCCCTCCCTTTAAAATCCGGGGAGTCGAGCTATTTTAAAGGGCCTTTGAGGCAAAAATTTGCTGAATGTTTTTGGCTAAGAATGGCAAAAATCCAGGTGTCGCTGTCCCTTTAAAACGCTCTAAAACACCCGAAATCGATCGATTTTCTTTGGTTTCGATACGTGTACAGCAAGAAAAAACCCACGAAAATTCTGTCAAAAAAGTCTTCTCCATGAAGCCACGCCCCCTTTTCTCCCCATTCCACTCGGGACCCCCAAATTTGTACAGTACCCTCCATTTGATTGATATACTGTGATGTTGTCTCTCTCTTTTTCTCTGCGTCTCTCCCTTCCCCTGTTCCCTCCCCCCTAATTTTCATGGCGTAATCGAATACCCCGAATTTCGTGGCGTAATCGACTATTCCCTAAATTTCAAGGCGTAATCGATTACTTTTAAATTCCTGGCGTAATCGAATACCCCGAATGTCGTGGCGTAATCGATTACCCCAAAATTCATGGCGTAATCGCTCACTCCCATTTTATGGCGTAATCAATTACTTTAGTTTCATTTTATCCCGAATTTTTCTAATTTTTTAAAAACTTTAATTTCACGATTTTCAATCAAATAAAGGTCACCGAATTAATGATAGTGACACAAAAAAATGGGTTGCGGTAGATTTAAGACAAACACGAAAAACGCACTTTTCTCCAAAGCAATCAAAAGGGTTTTTTCGCAAGGACCGAATTTGAAAACATTTTAAAGGGAAGCGGCCGGCTGGGAGAGGATTACGCTAGTTTTGCACAGCTGTCGCTGTCCCTTGAAACCTTCTTGGGTGTCTCAAGATGGACGAGTTTGTCTGCTATAGGCCTACCGTAGGGCTGGTCGATTCCTTGTGTCGCCATCGCTTTAAGTTAGCACGGGACCTCGAAAACAGGATTTTCCCACTTTTTGCTAGCTGACACGGCACCTTAAAAATCTGGTTTTTCACATGGTTTACATCTAACTATCTAGCTGTCACCCAGTTTATGGATTGGTCGATTCGGGGTGTCACCATCCCTTTAAAATCGTTTTTGGCCGCAAAAACTCAAGTTTTATTGCGTTGGTTTCTTGTTTTCTCCGTCTGTCTGTTTGTCTGTATGTCTCTCTCTCTCTCTCTCTCTCTCTCGCTCTCGGCTGTCACCATCCCTTTAAAATCGTCTCCGGCCCCGAAAAAGATGTTTTTGGCTAGACTGTTTGCGCTGTTGACACGATCCTCACCCTATTTTCTTTTCTTTTCAGTCCGTTCGACTCCTCTGTACACCTGTGATTTCTGGAAGGGAAGAGAGAGAGAGAGAGAGAGAGAGAGAGAGAGAGAGGAGAGAGAGAGAAAGAAAGAAAGAGAGACAGAGAGAGCAAGAAAGAGAGACCCATCCCTCCCCCCAAAAAAGAATTGGTGTGTTGAGGACCCCGGGTGTGTGTGGACCCGATCGACCCCTGACTCATCTCTTCCCCCTTCCCCGTCCCCGATTCCTCGGCTTTTTCCGGTCCTTTCCTTTACTTTGACGTTCCGGCGCCCTTTCCTTCGAACAGCTGCGATAAGCCGAAGCTTCGCACAGTTTTAGCGCCTCATTTCCAATCGCCCGGAATTGACACCTCGAAATTTTCTCTTGATTTTTTCATTTTTGACTGTCACTCAATTTTGGGGGACTTTGACCTGATTTTAGTAATTTTAAGACCATTATTACCCTCTACAGAACCTATAAACCAAAAAGCAAAAAGTTTTACATCGGCCGGAATCGAACCGCTTACCTTTGGAACGGAGCCTGGAGTGCTAACCACTTGGCCATCGAAAAAAAAACAATTTTTGCCGTTTTGTCCGAATTTTGGCGCGTAATTGAATCCAGTCGCTAGTTTTTTCCTGTCTGTCTATGCCAGTGGGCCGGTTGGCAAAGTCTTAGATGTCACTATCCCTTTAAAATCAAGGCCAATTAGCTCGCGTAATCAAATCGGGAAATTCCCATTTTTCAACGTTTTTTCGGAGTTTTTCGCGTAGCTGGCGCACCGCCATCCCAATCAGTTCAAAACCCCCAAAAAATGGGGAACCTGTTGTTGTCGTCGGGCGGATAATTCGGAAAAGTATTTGTGGTGACACACACCCCCGGAATGGCCATATTTTATTGGGTATTCGGGGGCCATCGAAATTCGATCTTCTAGCTCTATCTCTCTCTCTCTTTCTCTCTCTCTCTCTCTCTCTACTCTCATTCTCGCTCTCTCACTCTCTCACTCTCTCACTCTCTCGCACTCTCTCTCACTCTCTCTCTCTCCCTCTCGCTCTCTCTCTCTCTCTCTCTCTCCCCTCCTCCGATCCACCAAAAATTATTGCCAATCCATAGATCTATTTTGAATGTTGGTCCTCCGCCCCGATTCCCCAATTTTATGAGTCAGTTGACCTTGAATTGAGACCCGAGAGAGAGAGGGATAGCGAGAGAGAGAGAGAGAGAGAGAGAGGCGGAGGGAGAGAGAGACAGACGGGGAGGATGTTCAAAGGATCGCCGCGTACTCTTTTTCTATCCTCCCATTTGCCTGTTTTCCCCAGGTGAGCATGAGCTCTCGGTCAGCCCCCAAAAGACCCGTAAATTAGGGTCAACAGCAGCTTGAACGACGTTTTCGCGTTTTCCTAAAGAACCTCTGCTAGCCTGTCTGTCTGTATGTCTCTCTCTCTCTCTCTCTCTCTCTGTCTCTCTCTCTGTCTCTCTGTCTCTCTCTCCCTCTCTCTCTAACACACACCCTCTCTCTCTCACTCTCTCTCTCTCTCTCTCTCTCTTTCCTGACAAATGGTGTGTTGACTCGTCTGATGGGAATTGGTGTTTTTGATCGTCTGCCCCCCCCACCCCCCGATCGCCCTTTTGGCCATTAGTATCCCCCCGGAAAACACGAAAACATCGAGTTTACCGGACAGAGACACTAACTGGCTGCCAGACTGACAGACAAACCGACAGAAAAGCCAGCTGCCCACCGATTTCCCCATTTTTTGGAATTTATGACCTAATTTTTAGCTTTTTAAAGTAGGCTTGCGCTTAGGCGTTTAAAATTTTTGCTGACGTTTCCTAAATGGTCGCTGCTAGCCTGCCAGTGCTGAATTTTGACTTTTTAAGCAAAAAGCAAAACCCTTGCGCGCCGGGGAATCGAACCCTCGACCCCCTGCCTGGCACCCTGACGCTCTACCGACTGCGCCAGAGGAGCCCTTTAGAATTCTCAAGTTGTTGTAGTTTAGACATCTAGGATCTCAAGAGAATTCTTCCCCAATTCCCGAATGATCTCTGCCAGCCTGCCCTTATTCCTAAGCTTTTTAGAGGCCGAGAAAATGTCCAAATACGTGAACGACCTCGGCACGCGTCTTTTCCACTCGGTGGCCAACCGGGCCGGCGATCTGGGCGAGAAGTTCGAGGAGGAATTCTCGTATCTGGCGCAGAACGTGACGCGTGAGTTGCATTCTCTGGCTTCTGTTTTAAAGGGACCGGCAAGGCATGCTTATCGATTCCCCACATTTTTCAGGCGACGTAACGGTGATCGTGGACGAGGCAGTCTCGCTGTCGCCCTACATTAAAGTGGGGCTGGTGTGTGCCTCGATATTCCTCGTGCTCCTCTCCATTCGACTGTTGGCATACGGTATTCGGCTACAGACTACAAAGTACACCTGATGACACTAGGTATCCGAGCCCTTGTGAACAAGCGTCGCCGCCATATGTGGATGAACTGCGAGTACTCGGAGCATACGCCGCCGGTCAGTTTTTATACCGCGTAATCGAGTAGGCCGACAATCGATTACGGCAGGCGATAGAGGGCAATTATTTGACGCAATTCCAAGCCATTAATAACGCGTAATCGTTTCCACCTGAATCGGTTACGACATGGAAATAGCGATTCAATTACGCTCTTTAATCCAGATCTTCATCGGTCGTAGTAGTTTCCATCTGAATCGGTTACGATATGGAAATTGGGAATCGATTACGCGCTTTAATTCACCCCTTATAGCGCGTAATCAGTTAAAATTGGCGTAAGCGGTTTACGCGTTTGACGTAATCGATTTATATCGTAATCGAATCGTAATCGATTTACGCGTGTGACGGGGCTTACGCGCTGTAAGCCTTCAGAAATACATGGCGTAATCGGTTGTCGATTAACCGGAAAATAGCTAGAAAAATGATTTTATAGACGTGAATTACATGGCGTAACCGAATTGCGCGTTTTACAGCTTACGCTCTGTAAAGATTCAGAATTTCATCTCGTAATCGATTACCCATCCGCTAGAAAATGGGCTAAAAATGTTTTAACTAATGGGGAATTACATGGCGTAATCGGTTTCCCGGTCTAACCGCTTACGCGTTGAAACTGTTCACTTCCAGATCATCCTAATGCTTCCGACGGATGACGGGACGTACAGTCAGAGTCGAATGCTGTCCGAACCCGAATCACGACGTCTTCTAAAGGGACTCCATTCAGCTGACGGGCAAAAGACGGCACTACTCACCCAACTACAGACTACAGACAAACACTTGCACAATGTGCTGTCGAATGTGTAGTTTGTAGTTTTGTTTGGTAGTTTGTAGTCTGAATTCTGGATGGCCAGACAGCAAGCTACAACCTACAAAAAAATCCCGAAATTCGAAATAATCAGACAATCGGTGATTTTGTAGTTTGTAGTCTGGCGTTTTAAATTGGTTACCGTTATGTTTTTGTCAAATTCGGCTAAATTTACATCCAGGCTACAAACTACCATGGAAAAATCCACAATTCAGCTCCAGAATCGACCGATTTTGTAGCTTGTAGTCTGTAGTCTGAAGCTAAAACTCGTCAGGAGTACGGTAAGGTCAAAACCCTTTAAGCTGCCATCCAACCTACAAACTACAACTCCAAAAACCCCAGAACATTGAAATTTCAAAAACTGACCTAAGTTGCACTCTGTAGTTTGTAGTCTGACGCCAAAAACTCGTCAGGAGTACGGTAGTGCCAAAATTATTGTTACTACTATCCAGACTACAAATTAGACCCCTAAAACGCCAGAAAAATTCGCCCAGGAATCAACCCGAACCCTTTGCCTCCCGGGCCCCTTCACTAACCACTTGACCATGGTCTTAAAATTTTTCTAACCAATTTTTTTATTGTTGTCATGCGATTTTGCTGTTTTCTGCCTGTCAGCTTAGCCGGTATTGCCCTAGCTTTCTTCGCCCGGTCACAAGTGCCTATATTAACAGCCCTCAATCCACCATACGCATTCATCAAACATTCGGTTACACCATGTAAATACTACGGGTTACGTAATAAAGTATTTTTTCGAAGATTTTGATTTGTTTTTCGCTTAATTGCCATCCTAATTGCACTAATTATTCAGCGAAAAAGACACCTAAAATGAAAGAAAAAAGCTTAGGCTTAAAAATCCCTTTCCGATCGATTCTTATTAACGGTTAGGGGTACTAAAGCGGAGTGTTATGTACTATTCAAAAGAAGAGATGGAGTTCTATTAGTTGCGGAAGCCTGAGCTACCGTATTTCACCGAAAAGCACTTTTTAAGAGCACCAAAGTCGTCAGAAATTTGAATTTTCGCGACTCTTCGATTTTCCGGCCGATTTTTTGTAAGAGATGTTTCACGACTGAATTGCTTGAACGAAACAAGTGAACATAAATTTATTTTCAAAACGGCAACGTCTAAAAAAAACAGCAGGCAAAGTGGAAGAGCGAAAAAGAACACGCACAAAGAGACGGGGGCTGTGACGGGGCGCGGGAGAGCGCACAAAGCGCGGGGTGCAAAGGGGTCCGCCGTACTCGCATCGCGGGATTTCGATAAAAGGATTGCCTGCATTATCATTTATCTTGTTTTTTCTGGCACGTTTTCGGCTCCGCTGCCTGTTTTCGCTGCTCAATCTGCTCCCTCAGGTCGATGAGCTCGTCGTTGAATTTCCGAACAATCGGCATGTAGTCCTCGCATTTCTGCTCGAAATCTTAAACCAGCGATCGATTTATAGGGACCAGGGTCGTTCATCGCATCCCCGGGGCAAAACATTCGAAGCCGCTCTCTCGCCGGGCTAGGTACCTAGCGGGATGAAAATTTGTGGAGTTGTAGAGTTAGGGGAGAGGAACGTTTTCGCAGAATTTCAAGGCGATAGCGGCTAAGGGACGCAGGGGACGAGTGACAGCCCTGTCCCCTGTTCCCCCTGCGTCCCTGGGCTTATACATGCCGCTACGACTTTCAAATTTTGCGAGAACATTCCTCTCCCCTTACTCTACAACTCCACAAATTTTCATCCCGCTAGGTACCCAGCCCGCCGAGAGAGAGGCTTCGAAAGTTTTGCCCCGGGGACGCGATGAACAACCCTGATAGGGACCGTCGATGCGCAAAATTCTGATCCTAGCAAAGGTTAGTTAGCGCCGGAAAAGGTTTTCAATCAGGTTTTCGACCATCAAAGTCTACAACGATCAGCCGCCTACCTGCCGACAGCTTCTTTATCCCGTCAACGATGGCCATCCCATCTTCATAGCTGTCCTGGCTGGCGACTTCCTCGAATTTGTCAATACCAGCCTTCACCAGCGCCGCAATGCCCTCTTGGATGGACGAGTGGAGGTGCTAGAAATTTCTGTTCATTCAAGAGTCTCTTTCCGGTAACAAGTTAGTAAGTTTGGCGGCAACGCGAAGACCGAAACGAAACTAAAAACCTGATCATTCACCTGAAAATTCTCGCCATAGCCCTCGATGGTGCCGATGACGCCGGTAGAGGTGTTTTCCTTGATGCTGGAGAGTTCGGTTTCCAGAAGCGACACCATGCCGTGCCCTTTATGCTTTTTGATGAAGCATCCGCCACACACTGACGCCGTACAATCACTGCAATGGAGTAACACGGCTATTGGCACCGAAATCTTGCAGCTATCGCATTCTTTCATTGCAGCTCTGGCCCTCGCTGCCTGGGCAGCTGCTTCTTCAGCTTCTCTCTTCCTCTTTTCTTCTTGTTCTTCGTCTACTTTCCTCCTAATTTCTGCTTCCGCTTCTTCTTTCCTTCTCTCTTTTTGTTCTTGAACCGTCTGCCTCCTGATTTCTACTTTCACTCTGTTCACTTCCACTTCGACTCTCTTCCTTATCTCTGCTTCCGCTGCTTCCGCTTCTTCCTTGGCAAATAGCGAGGCGATCGCCCCAGGGTGTTTCCTCTTCAATTGTTCATAGAATTCAAGAAGAATTTTGCATTCTGGGTTCTCGTCGTTTCCATAGAATGCATGACAAGTGCGGCATTTCTTTTCATTGTTAATTACCTCACAACCATTGCAAATGAGATGTCCACACATAAGAAAGTGTGGCCTTCTTGAGCTGATGTTCACGAAGTACTTCTGGCATCCGGGGCAACGAGGAAGTTTGGGAGTTCCTTGAAGTTCGTATACAACCCCAACGTACTTGAATACGGGCTGACTGAGCAGGTCGATGAGCCAGTAAGCCGGAGACTTGACAGTATCCAGTCGATTGCTGATTGCAATGACCATCTTGTTGCCCTTCAAGCCGACGTACGGAGAGCACGGTCCATTAATATCGGTGCCAAAAGCAACGTTGAGGTAGGGGCATTTGAAGCACGAGTACTTCGTCATCCGAATTGATGATGACTGATCGATAGACCCTCAGGAATCAGTTCAGGGTGGGATGGAGTGAATGCAGTGAATTCCGCAAAATATGTTTCAACTTTCAGAGTGTCCCATTTTTGGCTGCAAGAAAATTGGTTTGATAAGCCGTTTCCAATCCGTGTCGTTATCTTATGTTATGCGTAGCTCGCCCCCCCCCGCTGACTCCAATGTTCGCCCCTCCCGCAAAAGATGGCTGGATGGTCGGGGCGCACCCCGTACGCAACGAAATTCCTGGTGAATCACATTCGTTCCTCGTTCTACCGGTTATCAAATCTAAAAACTCGTATAACCCCGAGAAAATGAGCTTAACCTTCGCCTGGTCGCTGCTCGGTTACCTACACACTTTTTAGAGATTGACAGACGATTTGCGACTGAGAACGCACGCTTCAAATTCATAGTGAGCTCATGGAAATCCTGCAGATTCGGGAAATCAATGAAGTAATAAGGTTTTCGGTTTTGAGCCGCTTTTCGCGTCATAGAGCGCTGCCCGTTTGCCTACGTGCCGTTTTCAGATCGTTTCTGGCAGGCCAAAGATCGAACCACCAATCCGCCAAACGGCCAAGGTGCTCTTTCTTTTTTTTCAGCTTTCATTTCTCTGGCTAGCTGGCATGCAGGGAATCGGATTTTGCACAGAATTCGGTATATCAATGCTTTATTCGACAAAAATTGTCGGTATTATCCCTTCGGTCCCTTCTTGCACTTGGCCTCCCTAAAACACGGGTGATTTAAATTCATAAAGATATCAATGCTTTATTCGACAAAAATTGTCGGTATTATCCCTTGGGTCCCTTCTTGCACTTGGCCTCCCTAAAATACGGGTGATTTAAATTCATAAAGATATCGCTAAGCTTTGAAAATTTGAAAACAAAAAATTAAGTTTTGTAAATGAAAAATCGATTCTTTCGTTTTGAAAAAATACCTGAAAAATCAACAATTTTAAGTTGTAAGAAGACAAGAAATGAATTTATTTTGGCTTTTCCTCCCATCCAAAAATTATTTGGATCCAAAAATGTAATTTAAAAATCTAAAATTTACCATTTAGCCTTTTCCGCGCCCTTCATTTGGCCGACTTTTGGGCAGCAAAACAGGAACCACTAAAAAAAAAGAGATACGGTAGCTAAATGGACGGAAAAAATCGGTAAATTGCGAATTTCCAAATTCCTCAAGGAATCTCTGCTAGCTGCCCAAAAACCGTATGCAAAAAACCCTTACATGCGAATCGTGATCACATCGATCGATGATCCCCTGAAACATATGAATTTATAAAAACTAAAATCATAGAAATAATCAATTCATTCAAATTTTGATTTAGCCAGTTTAAATGTTTAAACTGAATTAATTCCAACAATTTTAATTCCCTCAGAGTTAAAGAGTAATTAAAATACTGAAATTTCGCGTTGCGTGTCGCGTTTCGCGTTGCTTCACGTGGAGTGCCAAGTCGCTGGACGGGTGAAATTGTGTCCGCGTGCGTAATTACGTGTATTGCGTTGCGTGTAGGGTTACATCTCGCGTTGCGCATAGTGTGGTAAGTCGCGTCGCGGTCGTGCTGCGGGTCGCGTTGGCTGTCGCGTCGCGGGTTAACTTGTGTGCCGCGTTGCGTGCTGCGTTGCGTGTCGTGTCGCGCGTCGTATTGCGGATCGCATCGCGGTCACGTTGCGAGTCGCGCTGCGTGTCGCGTTGCATGTCGCGCCGCGTTGCTCGCAGCGTTGCGCGACATACTGCGCATCTCGTTGCGTGTCGCGTCGCGGTCGCGCTGCATACCGCGCTGCGTGTCGCGTTGCGTTGGATGTCGCGTTGCGTGTCGCGCTGCGTGCCACATTGCGTGTCGCGTCACGGTCGCGTTGCGTGTTGCATTGCATGTCGCGCCGCGGTCGCGTTGCGTCTCATATTTCACGTTGTGTTGCGTGTAGGGACACGCTGCGTGTCGCGTTGCGTGTCGCGCTACGTGCCGCGCCACGTGCCGCTACATACCTCAACAACGGGAGCGATGCCGACACCGAGTAGAAGAAGAATGACCCACAGGAAACGCATTGTTTTGGTAGCAGCTGTTGCTTGGATCCTTGAGAAACTGACTGCCACTTTTATACACTTTTTCAGCTCTTTAAACTCCACAAAATTCACAAAAAAATTGAATTTTGGACTTGACCTTTGACCGAAAAACGGCCGCCTTTCAACCGCCCACACATCAATGAGAGAGGGACGGGCAAGCGAGCAGAGATTCTTTGAACTGTTGAACTTTGACCGGTCGAACGTGCAAACTGACTGGTGGCGAAGGGTTTACAACAAAAACAATAAGTTCAAATGCGATTTCCGGGGATCTTTGAACCCGGGGGAAAGCGGGGAACCGCGGCTCGTCGAACAAGGCAATCGAGCAGAGATCATTGGCGAGGATCATTGCCTACCTCTCAGAAAGCCTGCTCTTCCTTTGAATGTCCCACTAATCCGCTACAGTACCCTCAACGTCAATAGGAATCGAGCGGAAAATGGCCGCATTTGGTGGAAGATTTCTGGAGCCTATTTTCAGGGCCCTTAAAAAGCGCGTTCCGGTGGGTTACGGTAACTGAAACCTTTCCATCTGGTAGTACTTGATGGCCTCTTTCCAATGGAGTATTAAATTCCGCTACAGTACGTAAGAGGAGTCGGCCGGAAAATGGAAAAACGGGAAAAATTTCAAAGTCCTTGCAAAAATGTTTATTCAAGTTTTCCGGCATTATCCTCCTTTGGTGCCCTTGTTATCGCACTTCGGTTGCCTGAAAAAACCACCGTAATCGATTCGAGCTACAGTAATCGCCCCTACTTTGGCGGCGGCGCTCCATTTCCCCCTGGCGCGAACCGGATCGGAAACTAAAACGAGTTATTCATTCGGAAATCGTTTTGACCGTTTAAAAGGAGGACAATTTTGGTATTCTGTCTCCCAAAGAATCTCTGCAACGCTGCAAAAAAAGCTGGCAAACCCACCGGTCCATCATCACATCTGTCGAAGACGCCGGGTAAACCCTAAAACCAAGATAATTTTAGACAATCTGGCTGCCATTTTATTGAACTGGCTACCAGACAATCGATTACGATAGGAAAATGGAAATTAATTTAGATTTATCTTGGCGTAACCAAAAAATCGCGCATTAAAAATCGGATTCCCGAGATTTCCGAGTGAGTACGGTAGTCGCTAACAGGTCCAATTGTCAACCTGACAGCCAGTCTAACCTTAGCCAAAATCCCAGTCTTCAACGGTCCTTTAAAAAATAATTAACTAAAAAAGCAACGAGCGGGCGGCTGCTGGGCGGCTTCGCCCTAGGGGAAGAGGGCCTCACGCTCCACAGCCACACCAACCCGGTTGGTGCATTGGTTTTGCGCTCGCCCGCCATCCACCCGACCCAGGTCCGACCCCCCGCCGCGGCAAAACTTTTTGCTTTTTGAGAAAAAGCCGCGAAAATGACATCCCAATCTCATCCACAAATCCGGAAGCCAAAATCCCTACCAGCTGGCCGAGCACGACGCCGGCAAAGATGAGGAATAGCAGGAAGACGCGCATTTTTGATTCGAATTTCCTAGGAAATCTCCCGGCTCTTATACACTTTTTGGCCCCTTTATCGTGCACGTTTTGGCCCTAAAAATCGGAACAAAATTCGTACAGCTACACGGAAAACTGAATAAAATTAAAAGGGCGTAAAATCGGCCCGGCAGCGAAATGTTGGACTTGGGACGCACGACGGTTTGGTGGGTTGATCTTTGGCCCGCAGTCGTTCAGGAAAAGTCCGTGGGCAAACGAGCAGCGCTCATTGACGAAAAATTAAAACAATTTCTCACAATTCTGGAACTTTTTATGGATCTGCTAACCTGAGACGGGCCGCCTCCAGTGCGCAAATCCGGATCGGGAGGCGTAAGCGGTTAGCCCCGGACAACCTTCCACTATTTGCAAAAGCAAGCAGGCAGACAGGCAGCGTTCATTGGATCCAGGTAGGCTTCTCCTTCAGATTCTGAACACCTTTCGTTATTCTCCGTAATTACTATATTCCAGACATGGCAAGACGTTCGGCCGTTCCCGGACTGCCCTACGGCCGCGGCCGGCCGGGCGGCTTTTAACTTGCATACGAGCCGGCCGCCGCCGGCCGTACTTTTAGACATAGCTATCAAATCACGTAAATTTGGACAACTTCTCTGCAGGCGAAGCTCAAAGTAAACATCCATCGTTTTCAACATCGAAACGGAAAATCCTGAACTGCCAAAACTCGAAATTTCGAAAAATATTTTTTTACTAATATGAAAGTTATTTTGTTTAGCCCTTATGACGCTGGGCATTTCGGTATTTTTCGATGTTATGTAGGTGAAAATAATGCACTTTTGCTTTTAGGCATTATTTCGCGGTGCGCAAGTCCTTTGAATGCTGTCATGGTAAGGAGACCCGGCCCGCCGCCGGCCTTGATTAGATGCTTCGGCCGGCCGCGGGCGGCCGTAAGCTAATTTGCATAATTTTACGACCGGCCGCGGCTGGCTGTTCCCGAAAAGCCGCAGCCGGCCGGGCCGGGCCGCGGCCTTTTGCCATGTCTGCTTTATTCTAATTACTAATTTCTTGGCGTAAGCGGTTAGTCGAATTCACCAAATTCCGCCTAATTCTTCCTGAATTTGAATTTTCAGAAGCCCGGGCAAGCCAGCCAAGAGCCTGTGCGAAATTCTACAGACGAAACCCTCAAAAAACCGGCTTCCCCCTCCCCTGGAAACCTCCGATCGATCAGACGGGCAAAAGAATGGCATCAGATAAGGGCGCGCGCGCCCTTATCTCTCTCGTCCCCTCTCGTCCCTCTCAAAAACTCGCTTATCTCGCTTATCAACCCACAAACGCTTGCATTAACGATTTGGCTATTATTTAAATACATCTATTACTTAGAAATCGAGTGGAATTCAAGTATTCATACTTTACTCTATCGTCTATCAGCTAATTTAACTCTTGGCCATAGCTATATCTATATCCATCATCGTCATTTTTTTCAACCATTTCATGACGGTCTACAAGTGCTTCACCTGCAGCTGCGGCGACCCGTTTGACAACAAAGAAGGGCTCAGCACCTCTCCACTCGTTGGCATCGATGGAAATGGGAATGGAAATGAAATGAGGATTGGATGCAGGAATTTTAATGGAAAAACAACATCGGCCCACTGGCTTCTCGACCTTCTCAGCCAGCCCGCATTCCAGAGGACTGCGGAAGGATACATTCTGGAAGGCACTCCCGAACTTCCACGCTGTCCCGGATGCAATAAGTTCTTCATGGGCCACATCTCGCGACGGCCACATTTTCTCATGTGTGGACACCTCATCTGCAACGGATGCAAGGCGAACAATCAAGAGAAGAAATGCTACACGTGCGCCGCATTTTATGGGGATGACGTCAACCCGGAATGCACGATACTCAACAGATTCATCGCCCAGTTAATAGAGGATCAGATGAGCGTTGTGTTTGATGGCCTTCGCGAGGAAGCGAAGGAGAAGAGGCAGGAAGAAGAAGGACGGAGAAAGAAGGAAGCGCAAGAAGCAAATAAAGTGACGGATGCCGAAAAAGCGGCCCTATCAACGGTTGCCGTGAAGGAATGCGGTAGCTGTAAACTCTCGTTACCAATCGCCGCTCTGCTACATTGCAATGATTGTTCGACGGCTGCATGTGGCGGATGCTTTATAAAAAAGCATAATGGACACAAAATCGTTTCGCTCCTCGAAACGGAACTCTGCAGCCTCAAGGAGACGACCTCCACCGCTGTCATCGGGACGATCGAGGGCTATGGCGAGAACTTTCAGGTATCTTGGGAAGCACACATTTAGTATGATACCTCGCTTAATGATAGAAAGAGCTTAAATTTTGAATGTCGAACAAAAACCCACTTTCAGCACCTCCACTCCGCAATCCAAGAGGGTATTGCAGCGCTGGTGAAGACTGGGGGCGCCAAATTCGAGGAAGTCGCCAAGCAGGACAGCTATGAAAATGGAACGGCCATCGTTGCGAGGATGAAAAAGTTGTCGACAGGTAACCAAAGTCGAAACTGAACCAAAATCAAACAAACTTTCAGACTTTGAGCAGAAATGCGAGGACTACATGCCGATTGTTCGTAAATTCAACGACGAACTGATCGATTTGAGGGAGCAGATTGAGAAGGCCGGACAGGAAACGGAGCCTTAAGCCTGTTTAAAAAACTTGAATAACTCTTAACTATAAAAATTACATCGAAATTCCACTACCTTTGCCTCGAAAAACGCACGAAAAATTCAAAAATCCATATAAACTTGATCAAATTCGTTTGAAAACTTTCTAGAACCTCCAAATTCGCTGAAGACGAACCGAATAGCCTAGTCCACGCCAAAAGCAGCTCCTGTCTACAAAATACACCAAAATTAAAAAGAAATTTAATCTAAAGCTTGAAAAACTGCTATTTCGCTGAAAACGAATTGAACAACCAAATTCAACCAATTTCGGCCAGAAAACTTTCTAAAACCTCCATTTCGCTAAAAAAAAATTGAAAAGTCTAATCAACGTCGTCAGCAGTTTGCATCTCTAAAAACTAAATGAAAATTCACCTAAAGGGCTTAAGAAAACGCTATAAAAATCAATATTTCTTCGAAAAGACCATAGAAATTGTAAGGAAAACATATATTAAACTGCTATGCAGCTAATATCCAGAGAATACGCAAAAATCATACCCTAAATAATTTATTCAAGCAAAGCGTAATGACAAATAATTAATTCAGAAACACGTTTAGCCTACTTTATATCATTATTCTTTCTTCTCGATGCGCTCCTTGTAGCTGATGAGGTGGTCGTTGAACTTGCGGGCGACGGGCATGTACTCCTCGCATTGCTTCTCGAAATCGGCGGAGAGTGCCGTCATCTCATCCGCCACCGCTTTGCCCTCGTCGTAGTGGCCCTTGTCGTTGATCTCCTTCAATTTGTCGGCCCCCGCCTTGGTCATCGCCGCCATTCCGTCGCGAATCGAGGCGTGTAGATGCTGAAAAAGAACAATAAAGTGGTTTTTGCAATACCATCACTTATTAAAGAAATTTCAACAAAAATTACCTGGAAATTCTTGTCGTACCCCTCGAACACGCCGAGAATGTGGGTAGATGCGCGATCTTGGAGAGCTGATAGCTCGATCCCCAGCAACTCCACGCCGTCGTGCCCTTTGTGCTTTTTCAGGTAGCAACCGCCGCACGTCGCCAGCGAGCAATCGTTGCAGTGGATCAAGGCCGAAATTGGGATCGATATGTTGCAATCGGCGCACTGCCTGGAGGTGATTTCGGGCTCCCCATGCGTCTTTTCGTCCTCGACCAGCACCCTCGAAAATTCGATAGGCATCTCAGCGAACAACGCCGCCAAGAAGTCGAGAAGAATTGTGGATTCCGGGTTGGCGTCATCTCCATAAAACGCGTCGCACGTGTGGCAATTCTTCTTCTCATTATTTGCCATGCAACCATCGCAAATCAGATGGCCACACATCAGAAAATGTGGCCGTCGCGAGCTGTTGGCCATGAAGAACTTCTTGCATCCGGGGCACCGTGGTAGGTCGGGAACGCCCTTGATGATGTAGCCGCCACCGTCTTCCATTAAGCTGGGATCGCGAAGAAGGTCGAGGAGCCAGTGTGCTTCAGTTTTGACCGTATCCAGTTTATCGCTTATTGCAATGGTCAGCTTATTGCCCTTCAAACCGACGTATGGGCGGTAACTTCCCGCTTCCTTGCAGTCAAAGGCGCCGCCGTCGTACGGGCAGTTGAAGCACTTGTAGATCCCCATGCGAATTGGCGATGATCGAGTTGTGCGCGTTCCAAATCGGGTTGATAGACCTGAAAAAAATTGATAAAATGTTTAAAACGTTATACAAAGAGGAGAGAATGAAGACAATATAAAGAATTGACGCAGAGTCTAGCAAAAAAAAGCATTTAGCCGTAAGAGATCAAAGACAACGTTGCTTTGCATGCAAAACCGTGAAAAACTGTTTCAAAAAGCTTAAAAAACTTCTCTATATAAATAAAAGAATGCTAAAAAGTATGCTAAAATAAACGAAAAACTACGATCGGGTAGAAATCTATAGCATATAACAAAAAGATTAAAAGTACTATGAATTTTAGATTTTTAGTCATAAATAAAAGTGTTAGAAGGTCGAAAAATGGCCTGATTGCCGCGAAAGTACGATTTCAACCCGCAAAAATCTAGAAAAAGGAAACTCTCAGCACCGCGCTCCCAAAGAAATAAAAAAATCCTATGAAAAAATAGTTTTATCAATTCATTAAATAGTTTTTCTGCGTCAATTGAAACTTTCGATAACTTTCGCTGTAATTTTTGGCTAGTCTGGCCTTGAATAAGTTGTGATTTTGATTAGATTGCTTACTAACCCTTATACTACTTGCCTTGCTAGTAACGAGCTCGATTTTGGGAATAAAATTGGGAAAAACGCACGCCGACATTCACCTAGCACGCATAGAAAAGGGCCATAAAACCCAAATTCCTTCAAAAACGCATAAAAACTATAAGAAAACATATATTACACCGCAGCGCAGTTATTCTCGCAAAATTCACAACAATGCTGCGCCTATTTCATAAAAACTATGCCGAACTTGCGCTTATTTCGACTAAAAAACTTCAAAAAAAGTTCCAAATTCACAGAAAACGTGGCCAGCAGTTTGTATCCCTAAAAACTACGCGGAAATTCACCTAAATCGCCTAAGAAAACGCTATAAAGCTCACGATTCCTTCAAAAAGAACATGGCAACTATAAAAAAACATGTATTAGACTGCTGCGCTGTTAATATCGGAGAATACGCAAAATCATACCCTAAATAATTTATTCAAGTGAAGCGTAATGTCAAATAATTAATTCAGAAACACGTTTAGCCCACTTTATATCATTCCTTCTTCTCGATGCGCTCCTTGTAGCTGATGAGGTGGTCGTTGAACTTGCGGGCGACGGGCATGTACTCCTCGCATTGCTTCTCGAAATCGGCGGTGAGTGCCGTCATCTCATCCGCCACCGCTTTGCCCTCGTCGTAGTGGCCCTTGTCGTTGATCTCCTTCAATTTGTCGGCCCCCGCCTTGGTCATCGCCGCCATTCCGTCTCGAATCGAGGCGTGTAGATGCTGAAAAAGAACAATAAAGTGGTTTTTAAAATGAAATCAACCTATTCAAGAAATTTCAACAAAAATTACCTGGAAATTCTTGTCGTATCCCTCGAACACGCCAAGAATGTGGGTAGATGCGCGATCTTGGAGAGCTGAGAGCTCGACTTGGAGAAGTGCGACGATCTGGTGCCCTTGATGCGACTTGACAAAGCAACCGCCACACGTCACCATCGAGCAATCGTTGCAGTGGATCAAAAGGGAGATCGGTGCCGACACTTTGCAGTCGCCGCACTGCTTGGAGATGATTTCTGGCTCTTCGGGCTTCTTCTCCTCTTCGGCGAGCAGAAGCTTCAATACTTCGCCAGGCTTCTCTTTCTGAAGCTGATCGACGAACTGGAGAAGAATTGTGCATTCCGGGTTCGCATCGTTGCCATAGAATTCCGCGGACGTATAGCATTTACTCGCGCTATTATTTGCCTTGCAAGCCTGGCAAATCAGATGGCCACACATCAGAAAATGTGGCCGTCGTGGGTTGTTGCCTCGGAAGAACTTTTTGCATCCGGGGCATCGTGGAAGGTTGGGAGTACCTTCCAGAGTGTATCCTTCGACATTCATCTTCAATGCGGGTTGGCTGAGAAGGTCGAGAAGCCAGTAGGCCGACGTTGTTTTTCCTTTAAAAGTGCTGCATCCAATCCTCATCCCATTTCCGTCGAAACCCACGAGAGGGGATTTCGGAAGACCTTCTTTGTTGTTAAACGGGTGGCCGCACATGCAGGTGAAGCACTTGTAGATCCCCATGCGAGTTGACGATGATCGAGTTGTGCGCGTTCCAAATCGGGTTGATAGACCTAAAAGAATTTATAAAAGGGTTAAAAACGTTGTAAAAAGAGGAGAAGATGAAGACACAAAGATTAAACACGAACACGAAGACACGAAGTTATTAGTACCAGTGTTATTCATAGGGAAATTATTCTTTCTATCGCTAAAAAAGGGGAATATAAGAAATCATAAAAGAACTGACGCAGAGTTTAGCAAAAAGAAAGGGAAGTTTGCAAAATTGTCTATAAGAAACACTAGAAAAAGCTCATTGGCCGGAAGAATATAACTGCAACGCTATTCTCGATGTAAAACTAAGAAAAACGGTTTCAAAGAGTTTATAAAGTTTGCTAAAACACACGAAAACTATGATCGCATAGAAATATATAGAATACAATAAATAAAACTGAAAGTAAGACGAATTTGAGACTTTTATTCGTGTGTTTTAGTCGATAAAAGTGGGAAAAGTCGAAAAATGGCCTGATTGCCGCGAAAGTACGATTTCAAAGGCCACACTAGAAAAAGTAAACTTTCAGCGCCGCGCCCCCAAAGAAATAAAAAATCTTTTGAAAAAATAGTTTTATCAATTAAAGGGCTGCCGACGGCATGTGTCGATCCCCCCTCATCAACAAATTGGCAAGTAGCCAACAGGGCAGAGAGCGCGCCCCGGTGAGAGGCGCAGAGACATTTTCTTTCCAGCGCGTAACCGATTGACTATGCCGTCGGCATCCCTTTAATTAAACAGATTTTTTTCTTCTTCAAAAGAAAGAAAAGAAAGTTGAGTCCACCGGCTTGTTATCTTCCTTTTCTCGAGCTGTTCGTGTCGCACGATAGCCCGTATATGGCCAATTTTTCAACGTTTTCCAGTTTTAGTTACTAATATGTAGTTTAGAATTAATTTTTCTTATTGTATTCTACTCGATCGACATTTTCAATTCAATCCAAAGTTTTTTTAGCGCGTTGAAACTGTTTTTCCTAGGTTTTGGTCAAAAAGAACGCTGTCTTGCTAATCAAATCTCGCAAAACTTTGCTCATTTGCTCTATCCGCTAAGCTTTTATTTTTTACAGGGTTTTCCCCCAGCTGTTTTTGTTAAACCTAGCGCGAAATTTCGTTTTCTTTTGTATTTGATCTTCGCTTACCTTTTTCCCTTTCTCGTAGTAACAATTATTGGTGTATTAATGATTGTAGAAATAGCTATTGATACCCGCGTTTTCTTTTTCTTCTTTGGCATAACGTTCTCCAACCCATTAACGATTTTTTTTAGGTCTATCAACCCGATTTCGCACCTGCGCAACTCGACCATCGTCAATTCCCATGGGGATCTACACGTGCTTCAACTGTCCGTACTCCAACGACGTCTTTGACGACAGGCCGTCGGGGAATTATCATCCGTACGTTGGTCTACATGGTAGCACGATGTGTATTGCAAGTCGTTGCGAACTGGATACAGTCAAAGCTCCGGCTCACTGGCTTCTCGATCTTCTCAGCCAGCCCAGCTTGGACGAGCAGCGTGATGGCTACATCATCAAAGGCGTTCCCAACCTTCCACGATGCCCCGGATGCAAAAAGTTCTTCAGACGCAAGAACACGCGACGGCCACATTTTCTGATGTGTGGCCATCTGATTTGCCAGGGTTGCAAGGCAAATAATAGCGCGAATAAATGCTATACGTGCGCGGAATTTTATGGCAACGATGCGAGCCCGGAATGCACAATTCTTCTCCAGTTCGTCGATCAGCTTCAGAAAGAAAAGCCAGAAGAAATTTTGAAGCTTCTGCTCGCCGAAGAGGAGGAGAAGCCCGACAAGCCAACGATTACATTGAAGGAGTGTAGCGACTGCACGATCTCGGTGCCAATTTCGGCCTTGATCCACTGCAACGATTGCTCGCTGGCGACGTGCGGCGGATGCTACTTTAAAAAGCACAAAGGGCACGACGGCGTCGAGTTGCTGGGGATTGAGCTATCAGCTCTCCAAGATCGCGCATCTACCCACATTCTCGGCGTGTTCGAGGGATACGACAAGAATTTCCAGGTAATTTTTGTTGAAATTTCTTTATTAAGTTGATGGTATTTAAAAAACCACTTTATTGTTCTTTTTCAGCATCTACACGCCTCGATTCGCGACGGAATGGCGGCGATGACCAAGGCGGGGGCCGACAAATTGAAGCAGATCAACGACAAGGGCCACTACGACGAGGGCAAAGCGGTGGCGGATGAGATGACGGCACTCTCCGCCGATTTCGAGAAGCCATGCGAGGAGTACATGCCCGTCGCCCGCAAGTTCAACGACCACCTCATCAGCTACAAGGAGCGCATCGAGAAGAAGGAATGATATAAAGTGGGCTAAACGTGTTTGTGAATTAATTATTTGACATTACGCTTTGCTTGAATAAATTATTTAGGGTATGAGTTTTGCGTATTCTCCTATATTAACTGCGCTGCAGTCTGATACATGTTTTTTTATAGTTTCCATGCCCTTTTTATAGGAATCTTCGACTTTATAGCGTTTTCTTAGGCGATTTAGGTGAATTTCCGCGTAGTTTTTCGGGATACAAACTGCTGGCCTCGTTTTCTGCGACGTTTAAAGTTTTTTCAAGCTTTCTAGGCGAAATAAGCGCAATTTCGGCGTGGTTTTTGTGAAAATGGGCGCAGGATTGTTGTGAATTTTGCGGGAATAACTGCGCTGCGGTGTAATATACGTTTTTTTTATAGTTTTTATGCTCTTTCGAAGGAATCTTGCGTTTTCTGGCGTATTTCTATGCGTGCTAGGTGAATGTCGGCGTGCGTATTTCCCAATTTTATTCCCAAAATCGATTTCATTACTAGCGCAGACAAGTATTTTAAGGGTTAGTAAGCAATCTAATCAGAATCACAACTTATTGAGGGCCAGACTAGCCAAAAATTACAGCGGAAGTATAGAAAGTTTCAATTTTTAGCCAAAAAAGCGGGTAATCAAGCGAAAAGTTGAGAAATAAGTATTAGATAAATGGTTTTCGATGGTATCTACATTATCTGGCATGCAGACTATCGATTAAAACGTTGAAAACGGTGATTTTGACGTTTAGTCGGAGCGTTCGCCCTCGTCCTCGGAACCGGATGACGGAGGGTCGCGGCGGCGAACAAAGTGCGCGTACACTAGCGTCTCGTCGTTCTGGAAAATGGTCCGTTTCAAGGGGTTTGAAGCTGGCTGGCAAATTGACTACAAACTACAAATTTCCATCATGACAACCCGGGTTCGATCCACGCCGAAGTCAAAATATTTGCTTTTTGAAATCTGTGCCTGGATTTTGATGGGAATAGCTAAACTGGCATTCAGATTACAGCTTGCAAGCCAGCAACTCGTTACAAGACCCACCTCCAACTTGAGGAACTGGCAGTTGGTGCGCCGGTAGCCGGGCAGTTCAGAGTCCCACAGCGCTTGCTGGCTGTCACGCGCACCACGGGAATGGTCGTTGGCGAATACGGTCATCAACAGCTTTGCCGGGCTGAAAAAGAGGGTCGTTTTCCTAAAGAATCTCTGCTAGCCTGCCCCCTTCTTTCCATTTCCCCAAACAATCTCTGCTATCCAACTCACCGGAATCCATCGAGCACCTTCCTTGTCTGCTTGTAGAGGCACATCTCGTCCTGATTCGTCTCAAACGACGCGTAGCTGAACGCCTTTTCCGGCGTCACGTGGATCGTCACGTACTGGTCCTGAAAAGCAGTGAGGATTACGGTATTTCGGATTTTTTTAGTGCAATTGGGTTCTCTCTCTAAGAACCCACGGAATTTGGGATGAGCCCATTCATGGAGTATCCACAAGGCGAGAAGAGCTCCTCGTGGATTAGGGTGCCAGGTGGGCACATTCCGACGATACCCGCTTTTTCCGTGCATTCACGCCCATCGGCGCACATCTGCAAGGAGGGCAGGCTAGCAGAGGTTGTTTGAGGAAATGGAAAGAAGGGGGCAGGCTAGCAGAGATTGGAGGATGAAATGGAAAGGGGCAGGCTAGCAGAGATTCCTTAGCAAACTTAGGTGCGCGGATCGTCTAACTGACTAGCAGAGAACATTTTGGAATTCGACGGCACGCAAAAATTCTGCAGGCCGGGCTAGCAGCGACCATTTGCCATGAATTCCCGTACCTTTTGCGTGAACACCTCCAAAACGTCGTCCGGCATGTCGGACATCAGGATCTCGAGCGTATGATCGGGTGTCTTGGCAGCCGGGGCTCGATTCAGATGGTAGAGATACCAGCGGTCCAGCTTCAGCGATCCCATACAGTACGCCGCGCCCTCTGAAATGGCGAAAATCGATTACGCGATGGAAATCGGGGGGATTTTACGCTTTTTGGCTGCCTAATCCCTCTTTCTGGCACCCACTCTCTCGCCCAGTAAGGTCAGAATTCATGTCCATCATGCTCCCCTTGAAAAGCTCACCCTCAAAGTGGTCATCCAGATAGTCGACCTCACGATCGAACGATCGATGGAGGAGGGGCTGGAGGTCTGGGCGGGAGAAGTTCTTTCGCGAGTAGTAGACGGCGGACACCTGGAAATTGTATTCTATAGTTTGGAGTCTGTAGTCTGGCTGCCAGACGGTTAGAAATGTATGTTTGTATTCGACTTCGATGTTGTTTCAGGAAAAATTGTCCTTTTGAGCGCGTAGAGCGCTTTTGCGTAGTCTGTAGCCTAGATCGCCCGGCAGTAGATTTTGTAGTCTGTAGTCCGGCCGCCAGACCGTTAGAAATTGGAGCTTGCAGTCCATTTCCCAAACGCGCCAAAAAATCGGGTTTTAGTGCCGTTTCGGGTGGTTTTTCGCAGTTTGTAGCCCAGATCATCAGGTCTAAGAATGTGTAGTCTGTAGTCTGGCCGCCAGTATTGAGAAATGCGTAGTTTGTAATCCATTAGCTGCCTAGCTGCGCGCAAATAAACAAATTCGAGACTCGCGTCACCCTTTCCTATCCAGTTACGCCATGGAATTCCGCGAATACCGTAACCCGGTGCGTACCTCGCGTAGCCCCGCGTACTCTTCGGCGAGCTGAAGGATTTTCGGGAGAGCGGCGAGCAGGCGGGTGGAGCCGCAGGTCTTGATGATCAGCCGATAATCCGAGATGAAGAGGGAAGACTCGGAGAGTACGTAGCTGTCCACCTGGAAATTGACGTTTTTTGACTTTCCGGCCCCTTTAAAAAGGAACTATGGCTTGCAAAACGCTTTGGGTTACGGTAATTGCCTAGCAGTTAAGCGACTGGCAAGTCAAAAACATTTTTTCGGTTTGGCGGGCTACGGTGGCGGTGGCTAAATGAACTTTTTGACTTCCCGATCCCTTTAAAAAGGAACTATGGCTTGCAAAACGCTGCGGGTGACGGTAACTGGCTGCCAGAATAGCGATTCCAACCTCAAAAAATGTATTTTTTCGATTTTGAGGATCGCGAGGGTTACGGTAGCTGGGCCACTTTCTATGATTCGACTTCCCGGCCCCTTTACAAGTTATGAAAAAGTTCAAAAAGCTATGGATTACGCAAACTGTATGCCAGAATGGTCATTGCAAAATTTAAAAAAATGTATCCGAACGATTTCGCGGATTCCGAGGGTTACGGTAGCTGGGTCACCTTTTAGGCTTTGACGGTTTTATAGCCAAATTTTATACCTGATCCCCGTGTAGGGCGTGCAGAATTCGACACTGGGCCACATCCAACATCTCGTCGATTTGTGGGCGAGGGATAGAGCGGAGAGAGGAGAGAGACGACAGACAGTCCGACGGCTTCTCCCACCAAATCTCCAGCAATTTCTCGGCGCCTTCGAAGAAATATTCCTCGACCGGCACCATCGCCTCCGTCATCTCGTGGTCGGTGCTCATTTCCTGGAATTTTTGGAGCTTGTAGTCTCGCGGGCAAAAAATTGGTTTGTAGTCTGTGGTCCGACATTTCTTAGATTTTTTCTAACATCTAATTTTCTATTTTTTTGTAGTCTGAAGCGTGCAGAAATTTAGAAGATGCAGTTTGTAGTTTGTTGCTCAAAATTGATTGTTTTGTCGTTTGTAGCCCAAAAATCCACTTCTTGTATTTTGTAGCCTATTTTGGAGTCGGGGATTTTGTAGGCTGTAGCCTGGCAGGCAGAATGTATGGCTTTGTAGTCTATCGGGCAAAATCCAGAATTTGAAGAAATTTCATAAACTTTGTAGTCTGTAGTCCACTTGGCATGGGCTAAAGTTTTTTGGTAATTGTACGTTCTGGCTGACCACGGTTTGTAGCTTGTAGCCTATCGCGTAGTTCTAGGCCTAGTAGTCTGTAGCCCAATCCACTACGTGGTCCCTTTAAAATCGAAAAAATTACCCTATAGGTGCTTTTTGCAGCCGAAGAGACGACCCTCCCTAGCGGCACCGAAAAACTGGCGATTTTTCGGGTTTGGCTGCTAAAAAATCGATTTTTGAGCGCCTACGGTAGCGCTACAGTACCTGACGCTCCTTTCGACGGTCCGCCGCGTCAAAAGGTGTAGTTTGTGGCCCGGGGGCTTGGTTGAGTAGTTTTGTAGATGGCCCGGACCTAAAAGACGAGATAAAACTGTAGACTACAGGCTACAAAGTACGCTAAAGTACTGTAGGTGACAAAGTACGTTAGAAAATAAATTACGCTAGAGTACGGTAGGCTACAAAGTACGCTAGACTACAAATTACGCTAGAGTACGGCAGGCTACAAAGTACACTAGACTACAAATTACGTTAGAGTACGGTCGGTAGCCTATGAAGACAAAAAGCTACGATCGGCTACAGATTACGGTAAGATACCGTAGGCTACAAATTGTATACAGTAGGCTACGGACTACACTGGGCTACAAACAACAATTTTTTGGGACTTACCCGCTAGGGAGGTCGTAGGCAGAAGACGATGATGGGACGCTGGACGTCAGGTCCCATACAAGCCTGCAAAAACAATTTTTTCGGCGGTTTTGACATTTTAAAGGGATGGTGACACCTAAAATTCTTCCAGAATTCGACTCCTGGTGCGCTGCCTTTAGAGTCGGGTCTCTTAACTGACAACCGGTGAATCGAAATGCGCGAATAACAAAAATGTAAATCCTACAGTAACCTGAAAATATACCCTAAAGGGACAGTGACACCTCAAATTTTGAGAATTTCGCATCTGCCACGCCCTCAGTAAGTCGCAAAATTTACGATTTTTTTGTAGATATCCAAACTGACAGACAGAGAATCGAATGCACCAGGAAAATTCCGCAAATGGCCCCCGCCGGCTGACCTGTGCGGCTATGGGTGTTTGTCAGCGAAGATGCTCCTTGTAGTCGTCGCTGTCCTTATTCTCCGGCTCGTAGGCCACAGACAACGGCGACCGGGCCCCTCCCGCGTACGAACGGCCTTGCTGGACTGAAAAAATTGGTTTTAAAGGAGCGCCGAAGGCACAATAAGCTGTGGATTCGCTTCCCGTGCGCCGCTTAAACCATAAACTTTAGAACCAAATTCAATTCTCTCTCCATATTTGCCTTAACTGCCATCCAAAAAGGCCATATTCGAAAATTCAAGGATTTTAAAGGAACGGTGAAGTCAAAATCTTGGCCGGTTTGTTCCCCCAATGTTCACTGCTAGCCTACAGACTACAAAATTAGACCAAAATTTAGATGGCCCAGGGAAATGTTGTAGTCCATAGTTTGTTGGCACTCACGTCGGATTGTGGCTTGTTGCGTGGCAGACACGCAGACACACACACTCTCACAGGCACCACAATACACCAGCTGCGTGTGTGTACGGTACCGGAGATGGATGTCGCGTGGGGCGGAGGGTTTCCTGTAAATAATATATATATAATAAAAAATGGAATCGATTATCTGGGTGCCAGCTAACGATTTAAACAAAACAAAGTAATAAAATCACAGTTAAAAATGAGCAAAAACACAAATTTTGAGCAAAAAGCAAAAAGTTTGCAGGCCGGGGGTCGAACCCAAGACCTCTGGCTGACAGTTTTTAGGGTGTAGGCTGTATACTGACTACCAGTTGAGTGTTTCCAACCAAAAATAAGAGCAAATTCCAAAAAGCAAAAAGTCTGCCGCGGCCGGGGGTCGAACCCGTGATCTTATTCATGTCATTTTAAGCCGTTTAATAGGCTGTTTTTCTGTACATATATGAACATTTAGGGAATACTCGCCACTAATAAGCCACCTCAATAGCGTCTGAGCAAAAAGCAAAAAGTTTGTCGCCGGCGGGGGTCGAACCCTCGAGTCTCACCTTGAACGGTTAAAATGGTTTAACTCGGATTTTTTTGCGTTAATTGGTTGACTGTCTGGCAGCCGGCAAAAAACCTAGCAGCGATCATTTAGGAAAACAAAAAAAAAATGAAATTCTAAGCCTGATAAGTTTCGGGCCGAAAAATCGCGAAATACCACGGGTGGAAAGACACGAAAATTCGCGGTAGGACCCAATTTTTTTGCTTTAATCGATTAACTGTAAACAGGAAAACGAAAAACGTAGTAAAACACATTTAGAAAAACCAGAAATAATGTTACAATTAAATTTAGGCCAAAAAATTGCCGGATGCGGTGGGTGGGCAGATTTTCGGAAAAATCGCTGCGGGACCAATTTTATTTGTTTCAATCTGTTAAGTGGGTGTCAGAAAAGCAAAAACCGTAGCGGAGGTACTTTAGGAAATCAGGAAAATTGTTTAAAAATGAAGTTTAGGCCAGAAAATCGCGAGTTACGGTGGGTGGGCAGATTTTCGGGAAAATCGCTGTAGGATCCAATTTTTTTTTGTTTGAATCTTTTAAGTGGCAGACAGAAAAGCAAAAACCGTAGCGGAGGTACTTTAGGAAATCAGGAAAATTGTTTAAAAATGAAGTTTAGGCCAGAAAATCGCGAGTTACGGTGGGTGGGCAGATTTTAGGGGGGGGAAAGCCTTGGCGAGGGCAAAGGGGGGCTTCGCCTTATCAAGCCACACCCCTTTATACCGCCGTTAATAGATAAGGGCGAACAAAGTGGCCGGGGGAAAAGGGGGCGGGATCAGGGTTGGAGTGTGGCGGAATATTGGGAAACGGAGCGCTGGAGGCGGCGGGTTTGGCACGTGTACGCGACGCTACACAGCACACCCTTCGGCGTAAGTTGTTGTAGAACGGACAAACTGTCATACAGTACGGTGGTTGGGCCAATAATATTGGGGGGTAGGCCGGGGGAATTGGATTGATAAGCTGACCCAAGATTTTTGGGGTCCCGGGTGGTCTGTGGTGTTTGGAGGGGCAGGCGAGCAGAGATCATTTGTGGAAATGGGTCCTAGTTTGCCAGTTTGGCTTTCTGACTTACAAGCTACTCAGGGCAATCTTGCAGAGACAATTTAAGACCCATTTTTCACAAAAAAAATGCGAATTTCGAGTTCCGTAGTAAAAGTAGGGGAAAACGTTGTATTTTCGTAGCAATCTAGCAGAGACCGTTTGCGGAATCGATTCACTGGATGCCAGTTCGGCTTACTGACAAGCAAGCTACCCAGGGCAAGCTAGCAGACACCATTTGGGAGGCTAATTTTCGACCAAAATGACCGAAAACCTTATGGGACCAGCTAGCAGAGACCATTTGCGGAAATGGGGTCCATCTTGGATTTTTTACTTTTCTGGCAGCCGGGTAGCCCAGCGCAAACTAGCGAAGACCATTTGGGCCTGAAATTTTGAAACTGCGTCGTCTCTAGATTGCCCAATTCGGGGGGATTCCACGAAATACTATAGACTCTCCAGACTGCCCCCTCCCACTCTCTATTTCTTATCAATTTTCACCCCAGATGGCCTCTCCATTGGCTGTCTTTTTGAATGAACTGGCAACACACGGAATGGGAAGGGCGACTGTTTCGTCATTGGGCTGTGGTTTCTGCGGAATCGTATAATAGGTCAAGCGGACGCCATTGAAGCCTAAGCCTAGGCTTAAGCCAAGCCTAAGCCTAAACGACGCTAAGCAGGCCTAAACCTGAGCCTAAGCCTAAGCATAAGCCTAAACGAAGCCTAAGCCTAATCCTAAGCCTAATCTATTCGAAGCCTACTTATAAACCAAGCCTTAGTCAAGCCTAAAGGAAGCTATGCCAATCCTAAGCCTAAGCTTAAGCCAAGCCTAAACGAAGCTAAGCCGGAGCGAAGCCTAAGCCAAATCCTAACCCTAAGCCTAAGCATAAGCCTAAACGCAGCCTAAGCCTAATCCTAAGCCTAATCTATTCGAAGCCTACTTATAAACCAAGCCAAGCCTAAGCCAAGCCTAAGCCCCGAGTCTTAGCCTGAACCAGCTAAGCCGGAGCGAAGCTGTCCAGACAAAAGCTCGCCTTGAGCAAAAGCCAGAGCTCCCGGATTCGAGATCCTCAACAGTCTCTGCTAGTTCGCCCCCAGGCTTGGATGTCCATGGCGTGAAAAGCTAAACTGGCACACAAAGGACCAGAAAACGGAAAGGCCCGGGCGAAATGCGGGCAAAGATCGCGCGATCACCCGGCCAGATGCCAATCATCAACGCGATCCTCCGTGTCAATAGAAAAGTAGCGTAGTCTCTGGCGGGTTGAGTGCCGAATAAACAATCAAAATGTGGCTACTGTAGGTCAGATGGGCCGGGGGTCAACCTTGAAAGACCAGCGCGTGATTTTCGAGGCCAAAAAATAGCTCGGAGAAAAAAATTGGGGTTGGTAACCCTAATTTTTTGGTAGCTCAACCTCAAAAAAAACTGAAACTCTAAAAAGCTGTAGAATCTAATAGACAATAAAATTCTCAAGTTTGCTGGCATGCCGTTTGGGGGAATATCGGGTTAGCAAAGGGCCAAAACGGGGCGTGGCTTCCGGAGGGGGGGCCCTAACGCCGTCCACAGAGCTGTTTTTTGGCCATTATGGGATGGGGAGAGAGAGAGAGAGAGAGAGAGAGACAGAGAGAGAGAGAGAGAGAGAGAGAAGCGGTTCCCATGTTCTCCCCGGGACGGGTGGAGCCCCCAGAGGCACTTTTCGGGGCTCGAAATAGGGCGGAGGGGAGAGAGGATTCGACAGTTTGAGCACGAGTGTCTCCCTCGCTTTCTTTCTATCTCTGTCTCTCTCACTCTCTCTTTCTCCCTCTCTCTTCTTCTCTATCTCTCTCTCCCTCTCACTCTCTCTCTATCGCTATTTACTAGTTGATTGTTATGGCTTGGCTCTCGGGGCAAGTCGGAAATGACGGGTTTTTGGGGTGAGGGAGAGAGAGAGAGAGAGAGAGAGTGAGGGAGAGAGAGTGAAAGAGGGAGCGAGAGAGACGGAGAGAGAGAGATAGAGAGAGCGAGAGAGAAAGAGAGAGAGAGAAAGAGCGAGAGCGAGTGAATGAGAGAGAGAGAGGGAGAGAGAGAGAGAGAAGCAAATCCAGCCTCCCCCAAAAGACCAGCACACCAAAATAAAAGGACACCCCGGATTTACGGGCCCCGAAAATCACCCTCAAACGGCCTCCAAAAGAATCGCTGCTTGATTTGCATCGTTGTCGCCGCCTTTAAAGGCTAGAGAGAGAGAGAGAGAGAGAGAGAGAGAGAGAGAGAGAGGGGGGAGAGAGAGCCAGTGAGCCGGCGTTCCCCCAAGGATTTGTGCTCGGACCCCCGAATTTCACGTCGTAAGCGAATCGGAGGTGGACGGTGAGAAACGGCGTAAACGGCGTTTTCCGCATAGTTCTCTGCCCGCCAGCCGGTCAGTTGGCCGACAGGTGATCCGCGGTGACCAAAAAAAAACAGACAAAAAATCCCAAACCGACGGCCTTTTCTCAGGGCCACTTTTCGATGGCCAGCGGAGCACTTAAAGGGGCTCCGAAATCTAGTCCACGGCCCCCAGCCTTGATTCCTGGCAAATAGCCCCGATTCTGGCGCAACGCGACCGCGCCGCATCATCTTTTGCCCCCGTTTCGACGGGAAAACGCTTGAATTTCAAAATTCTGACGCTATTTCTGGGATTCTCATCGAATTTGGATCATGGTAGACGTTTTAATGATGAAAATTGCTGAGAGAATGGCCGAGAGATCGAGAGATTCGGTGTCTTACAACGCATTACGACATGTAATTGCCGCCCACTCAAAATGTCGTTTTCCCCCTGAAAGAATTTTCGGGTTTACTCAAATACTTTACATTTTTTTTGCAGTGAAATTACTTTTCAGGTACTTTCTACCTTTCGTTTTTGACCATCAGGCTTAATCCCGTAACACGCAAATTTTGACTTCTGGGCCCCTTTAAAATCCGTTTATTTAATGCAAAAAGTACAAAAAATCGGCGATAATTTGAGATTCGTTTCAGATCGAGAATAAATCGGGATAAATAGGAAAATCCAGGATTTTCATTGCGTAACGGCGAAGGGTGGTGGGCAGATTGAGGGAATCGGGGTTGAGCGAGAGAAAATTCGAGATTTTGAGCGGGTTACGGTAGATCGGCGATGCGGCGGATGCGGAGGTTGGCGCGTGCCGGCCACGGACCCTGAAAATCGCGGCGTTTTACTCTCACTCTCTCTCTAACTCTCTCTTTCTCTCTGTCTCTCTATCTCTCGCCATTGCAGGCAGAGGTTCTAAGAAGCGCGGAAGCGGTTCTAAAGGCGCTGTGACAGCTGACAAATACCGTACCCGTCTGTGTCTCATCTGTCGTCGGATCTCTCTTCGGAGCGGAATCTTCTTTCCGGAAACACAGTAGGAGCCGATGAGGTTGCGACGCTGCCGGACACCATCAAGGAATGTCACCTGGCAAACAGAGAGAGATCATTGGGGAATGGGTCGCTTGGACGGCAGTTTGGCAAGATTTCATGTCGTAATTGTTTAGAAACTACCGGCCACAAAGGTAGGCTAGCCGAGACCATTGGGGAATGGGTCGAATGGCAGATAGTTTGGTAGGATTTGATGTCGTAACCGAAAACACACCATTCCTAAAGATCTCGGCTTGCCTATCTGTCTCCTAGTCGGCCCGAATTTCATGCCGTAATCGTTCAAGAAAATACGGACTACAAGGCAGGATAGCAGAGAACATTGGGGAAATGGCCCGATTGGAAGACGGTTTGGCAGAATTTGACGTCGTACGTTAAGAACTACGGACTACAAGGCAGGCTAGCGGAGATCATTGGGGGAATGGGTCTAATGGGAGCCAATTTAGCTAAATTTCGTGTCGTAATCGATTGCAAAACACTGCATCCACCCGAATTCTATCCCAAACAAACAATCTCTGCTATCCATCTGGACCAAAGTTGGCGTGAATTTCATGTCGTAACCGGATACCCACTCCAAAACGTACCTGATACCTCCCCCCTCCAATCGGCCTCGCATTCGCTGCCTCACATCCCAATTCGGCGCATTTCTCGGCTGCTGTGGCCATCGTTTCATCCCCCGATGCACCCAGCACCTCACCGTCACACATCTGGAACGGAGGGCAGGCTTGCAGAGGTCATTTGGGAGCCAGAAAAGCAAAAAAGCGCCATGGTAAGCTAGCAGAGACAATTTGCGGCCCGCCGTACCTGATTGTAATAGGTTAAATATGGCGTGAATTGGGGGCGAGTCGTCATTTCGAGGTCTTCTTCGGGGTCCTCGTCTTGTGGATAGTCCTTGTCTGCAACAATGGCGAGAGATAGAGAGAGAGAGAGCGAGAGAGATGGAGAGCGAGAGAGAGGTTGGAAAAGGAGAGAGCGAGAGAGAAAGCGAGAGTGAGAGAGAGAGCGAGAGCGAGCGAGCGAGATTGAGAGAGCTAGAGAGAGCGAGAGAGAGCGAGAGTGGGAGAGTGAGAGAGTGAGAGAGAGAGAGAGCGCGCGCGATAAATAAGCGTACCTGGTTGATGCGTCCTCACCGCAAATGCCCCATAGCTTTGGCTCGCGTTTTTCGGCGAGAAAACGATCTGAAAACCGCAATTTTTGCCTTGAATTCAAAAACAATCAGTTTTCCGGGGCAGGGATCGAACCCACGGCCCTACTGTATGCCAGATTATCCCTTTTTCGTACCGGTTTCAGCGTTGCCGGCTCTGCCTTCTCAGCCCTCTCTCACTCTCGGCCATCTGCGCGCTGCCCGGGACCTAAGTGGCCAGATAGCAGAGATTCTTTGCCGGGAATCGTACCTGTACTTGGTTGTCATGTTCGGCTTCTTCTTCATCTTCTGCCTCAGCGTCGACCTCCTTCTCCTTGTCGGTGGCCGTCTCCGGGGCGTCGAAGAACTGGAAAAGTGGGTTTTCGCAGCATTTTCGGCCATTTTTAATGCCCTCAAAAATACAGGTTCTCGTAGATTGCTGTAGATAAAAATTGCGCATTTTATAGAGCTTAATTTTCTCTTTAAAATCATGTACAGGGTGTCCCAAAAAAAACGACCCATCTGGCATTTCGCCGTGTTACATCCAACCGGTCCCAAATTTGGACCAGAGGTGTATCAGACCTTAAATAACAACAATCCTGACTTACAGCCCCATAGCTACAGTAGTTTTAAAGTTATAAGGAAAATACGGTTTTTCCCGGAATTCTGAACAGTTTTTTCGGCTATCTTTTTGGACTTTGCATCGATTTGCATCGACTTCCGACTGCGAATCCCTAATTTCGCTTAAGAACTGGAGTAGTTTTGCGTTGTAAAAATCGCTTAAATCGAAGCGTATTTAATTAATTTTACTCTGGAAAAAATTTCTTACGGTAAAGCAGGCCTACCGGATCATTTACGCTTAATGTTTAGGGGGTCTAATTCCACGAAAACCCTAGGAAAAATAGAAAATAAAGTTTGTTTTTGCTATCACCCGAGAACGACTGTAGCTACGGGGCTATAAGTCAGGATTGTTGTTATTTAGGGTCTGATACATCTCTGGTCCAAATTTGGGACCGATTAGATGTAACACGGCGAAATGCCGGATGGGTCGTTTTTTTTGGGACACCCTGTATAAGCCTCCGCTACAGTACCTCTACGCGTCAATAGGAATTGACCGGAAAAGGAAGATGTTTTTCCCGCATTATAAAACGCGAATTGAGGGGATTACGGTAGCTGAAACTACAGATTCTGATAGAGCTCGAGCTCCTCTTTCAAATGGTAGCAAACACTCCGCTACGGTATCTCCAGACGTCAATAGGAATCGACCGGAAAATCGCCGATCTTCTAAATTCTCACCTGGGATACGGTATTGTCATCGGCATTTTGGCTGGTGTTGGGCAGCTTTTCGTGTTTCGATAGTGGCTCTGGAATTAGAAAATCATCAAAGTAACAAACCGAAATTTTCGAAATTTCGGGTCGCTGGTTCGATCCCCGGCCGCGGCAGATTTTTTGCTTTTCGGACGAAAGTCGTTCCAGACGCTTGGCTGCATGCCAGATAGTGTGAAAAAACCTTAAAAACCCGACTACAAACTCCAAAAACACACCGGACGCTGCCGCGCTCGACTGGTGGCTGATCAGGTACTCGCCGGTCTCCAGCTCGGTTACGGTAGGTTCTGGGGGTACGGTAGGGAGGTTAATGGGTGAACTGGGTGACAGTATACCGATTCCATGCCTTGATGAGAGTACGGTAGTGGGCTTCTCCAACTCGCGCCCCTTTTGGTTGATGGCGTCGAGGCGTGGGTGGACGGGGAGCCGTTGCGAGACGAGAAGCGCCTTTCTCACGCCCTCATCGTTCAATCTGGATGACAAGGGGATAGTTGGGCAAAGGGTAGCTGCTAGTATTCCACGAGCCCCGCAAGCTGACCCACTCGAGGCTGTTCAGTTCGCGTTGCAGCTCGGCGTCGAGGTCCTGATAGGAGGAGGCGCCGGATTGGGACGGGGATGCTGTAAATTGGTCTACTGGCAGGCAGACTACAGACTGTAGACTACAGACTACAGACTACAGACTACAGAGCACAAACTACTACAGACACGTTGACACCTGTAGCCAGTGAGAAAACTACATTTTGGAGTCTGTAGTCTACACGTTTGGCCGGTTCAGACCACGAATCATACAAATGACAGTCAGGCTACAGACTGCAAACTACAAACTGCACATTCCACCGGGTTTTTAGTTTGTGGTCTCAAAAATCCGGCCGTCGGGGTCAGTCGGTAAAAACGCGAACTTTGTAGTCTGTGGCCGGCCTTCCTTGGTGGCCAACATACTGAATGACAATAAGATGGCAGGCAGGCTACAGACTACAAATCATAGACTACAGTTTCTACACGGCTTGTATTTTGTAGCCTGGAAAATGCCTGTAATAGTTTTCTGTAGTTTGTAGTCTGTAGGCTGCCGATTTCGCCGCTAACATTGTCAATGTCTAAACTGGCAGCCAGACTACAGACCACAAGATTCTGTTCTGTATTTTGCAGTCAAATCGACCTTTACCATCGTTACTAGCCGCCACAAGAACGCTCGGATTTTCGGATTTCCCTCCAATTTCAGCCGAAGTGGGCGGGGCCGGCGGGAGGGCACCTGAAAAAGGGGCGTGCCTTGAAAAGGGGGCGAGCCCTACCGTATGGCATGAAATACGAGGCTGGCAGAGAACCATTGCCAACCCGAAGTCGGCTCTCCCCTTTCAAAGGACGATCACTGGCCGGGGGATAGGCTGGAAAAGAGGAGCATGAGTCATCGAGAGATACAGAGAAAGAGAGAAAAACAACAAAAAACCAGATTTTCCGCGTCGACCTCGTGGCCAATTGGTACGTGCCCGCGCTCATCACCCACACGACCCGGGTTCGAAACCCGGCCGCGCCAAACTTTTTGCTTTTTGCGGAGAAGCCCGTAAATGGGGCGGCCAGAAGGCAGACTAGCAGAGGGTGCGGTGGAGAGCGTCAAAGATGAGTAATTTTCGCGGGGAACTCTGTGTGGACCAGGGCAAGTTAGCAGCGACGATTTGAGGCCGATGAAAGGGAGCTAGAGAATTTAAGGTGTGGTAAACTGTGCTCTGGATGGCAGTTAGCCAAAATCCACTGCTAGAACTTTTTAAAGGGGCAATGAAGTCAGAGGTTCTGCCGGTAACATGGAAAAGATTGCATTGGTAATCGATTGATCTTTCAAGGGTTGTTTTGCCAAATCGACTGGAATTTCTCATGAGACAGCGGGAGAAAGAGGAAGAGAGAGAGATCGAGAGAGAGCGAGAGAGAGCGAGAGTGACAGAGACACAGTTAGAGACAGAGAGAGAGAGAGAGAGAGAGAGAAACAGAGAGAGCGAGAGAGACTGAAAGATATTTAGAGAAGCAGAGAAAATTTCTCACCCCCATAGGCTGTAGTTTGTATGTGAATTTTGGCGGACGAGGGCGGTGATTGATTCTGATGGTCATGCTGGCTGAATACTGGCTGTGATGGTCGATTGATGCCAGTCACAGAATAGGTCCCTCCGTACGGCTCCGTGTTGACGCTCCACGTTCGCTAAAAAAATGCCATTTTTGCGGTTACAGTAGTCGGGCAGGCTAGCAGAAATTCTTTAGGAAATGGGGGGCAGGCTGGCAGAGATTCTTTTGGAAATGGGGGCAGGCTAGCAGAGATTCTTTAGGAAATGGGGGGCAGGCTAGCAGAGATTCTTTAGGAAAGGGCAGGCTAGCAGAGATTCTTTAGGAAATGGGGGGCAGGCTAGCAGAGATTCTTTAGGAAAGGGCAGGCTAGCAGAGATTCTTTAGGAAATGGGGGGCAGGCTGGCAGAGATTCTTTAGGAAATGGGGGGCAGGCTGGCAGAGATTCTTTAGGAAATGGGGGGGCAGGCTAGCAGAGATTCTTTAGGAAATGGGGGGCAGGCTGGCAGAGATTCTTTAGGAAATGGGGGGCAGGCTAGCAGAGATTCTTTAGGAAATGGGGGCAGGCTGGCAGAGATTCTTTAGGAAATGGGGGCAGGCTGGCAGAGATCCTTTAGGAAATGGGGGGCAGGCTGGCAGAGATTCTTTAGGAAATGGGGGGCAGGCTAGCAGAGATTCTTTAGGAAATGGGGGCAGGCTAGCAGAGATTCTTTAGGAAATGGGGGCAGGCTAGCAGAGATTCTTTAGGAAATGGGGGCAGGCTGGCAGAGATCCTTTTAGGAAATGGGGGCAGGCTGGCAGAGATTCTTTAGGAAATGGGGGGCAGGCTGGCAGAGATTCTTTAGGAAATGGGGGGCAGGCTAGCAGAGATTCTTGAGGAAATGGGGGGCAGGCTAGCAGAGATTCTTGAGGAAATGGGGGGCAGGCTGGCAGAGATTCTTTAGGAAATGGGGGGCAGGCTAGCAGAGATTCTTGAGGAAATGGGGGGCAGGCTGGCAAAGGTTCTTTGCGGAAATGCGCATACCTGAGGAGAAGCATCAGAGGAGAAGGAAGAGTGCGGGCGGAGGGGAGGTCGTTGCGGCTCGGCGGCAGTCGGTGATAGATAGAGCGGAGATGGGGGAGGGGGCAGGGGCGGATGGGATATCTGAAAATCGGCAAGGTGAGAGCAGACAGGGTGTCCCAAAAACCCCCTCGGCATTTGGTCGTTTTCCATCCGATCGGCACCAAATTTTTACCAGCGATGCGGACCCATAAAAGCTATGTGCAGCCGAATTTTCTACGCAAAATATTGTAAAACAAAAAAGTGATCGCTAAAAAACTGATTTTTTGGAAATCCTGGAACTCATTTGTGGCTATGCTTTTCGCAATTAGCATGCCGTTTTTGAGGGTTTCCCCAAAAATTACCATTTTCTGGGCTATTTCAGCCAATTTTGATAACGAGAAGCGCTCAAAAGTCCCAATCTTGACGTGATTTTCGTAAAACGAAACGTTTCTGCAGGTGAAAAAACGCCCTCTTCATTTTTGCTAAAGATTTCGAGATCGAAATCCTTCAAAATTCCCGTGAAATCGCCAAAATCAACCTTAATTTCGATTGAACTTTTTTGCTTTACAATATTTTGCGAAGAAAATTTGGCTGCAAATAGTTTTTATAGGTCCCCATCGCTGGTAAAAATTTGGTGCGGATTCGATAGAAGACGGCTAAATGCCGAGGAGGCGGGCCAGGGGGGTCGGGACACCTTGTAGAGCCCAAATTAGCCCAGATTCTAGATTTTTTTATATATCTCATTTCCGATGGCTAAACTGTCAGCCAGGCTACAAACTTCAGACTACAAACATACTACAAAATCTACCTGATAGGTGTTGGGCGGTGGGGCGACGGCGCCACATCCGGAAGGCGCCGGCATCATCGAGGCGCCGCATCCCGCGCCACCTCCGAAAAGGCCGCCACCTGGAAGTACGTTTTCAAAACCGCGCTATAGAATGTAAGCTACAAACTACAAACTACAAGCGCCAAATTACCGGATGGGATGCAGGCGAACGTGGCCGGGATGAGGGCCAGCAAGTGGTGGAACTGCATTGGAGGGTCTGGAACGAGAGAGTGAGAGAGAGAGTGAGAGATAGCCAGAGAAAGAGAAAATCCCCGAAAAATCACAATTTCAGCGAAGTCCCTCGTGGCCAAGTGGTAAGTGCTCGCGCCTACCACCCACGCGACCCGGGTTCGAACCCCGGCCGCGCCAAACTTTTTGCTTTTTGCGGAAAACCTCGGAAACGGATGGATTTGGCTCGACGAACGATCGAATAGAAGACAGGATAGCAGGGGGCATTTTAAGGACCATTGAAGGCAAGGATAGAGGCGCGGGAACACCTAGCCGAGATCATTTGCCCGGAAACCGGCCAGCTATCGTATTTTAGAGCATCAAAAAGTCGAAACTGGCTGGCAGTTAGCCAAAATCCGGCCGCAGTATCCTTTTAAAGGGCCATTGAAGCTGGGAACAGTGGGCCTGAGAACTAAATGTTAAGCTAGGGTGGCTAAGGAAACTTGAGAGCATACGGTATTTGAAAAGCGTCGTAAACTGGCAACTGGCTGCCAGTTTGTGGATATTCGAGTGCGAATCGTGGCCCCGGGGGGATGTGGCTGTCGTAAATGGCTGGAAGGAAAGGGGGGTGGAAGTGGAAAAGGGGGCATCAAATGGTATGAGATAGCTTGGGGGGAGACGTCACGCTTCAATGGGCACCAAGCAGGACAGGAAGGAGATGGAATGGGACAGGATAGGGCAACATCACACAACTGGTTACGATTCGGGGGGGGCAGGCTAGCAGAGATTGTTTGAGGAAATGGAAAGAAGGGGCAGGCCATCAGAGATTGAAAGCGCTAATCTGGCTGCCAGTTAACTCAAATCCAGTTACAGTACCCCATTAAAGGGCCGTTCAAGTCAGACCGGCCGACCAAACCGGAGGCAACCTAGCAGAGATCCTTTGAGACGAACGAAGGCTCTTTATCGATTCACAGCTATTTCAAACGGCCGACTGGCTGGCAGAAAGGCATCTTCCGGTTACAGTACCCCATTAAAGGGCCATTGAAGCCAAATCGGGGGCAGGCAGGCTAGCAGCGGACCCTGGAGACCGATGCAAACCATTTAAAGGCGTCCAGAAAATCTGAATCTCCCAACTGGCAGGCAGTTAGTCACCGTTAGCTTACAGTACCCCACTAAAGGACCATTGAAGGCAAATGGTCGGCCAGATCGACACCCAGCTAAAAACTCGAGTGGAGTCGTCGGCTGTAGTTTGTAGCCGACGCGGGGAAACGGGTTCTTACCGCCTTGAGGGTGTGCCATCTCTTGGCCCAACACCCATCCATCCAAATCTCATCTACACGTGCTCAAAATGCGTGTGTGACAAAAAATGGGCAGCCGGACGGGGGAGACTGGTTTCTTAGAGCCGTATTTGTCGACCATGACTTTTCTGGATTGGGACATGGAGGGGATCGAACTGTTGCTCTCTCTCTCCTTCTCTCTCTCCTTCTCTCTCTCTCTCTCTCTCTCTCTCTCTCTCTCTATCTCTCTCTCTCTCTCGCTCTCTCTCTTTCTCCTAGCTCTCTCTTTTTCTCTCTCTGTCTCTTTTTCTCTCTCTGTCTCTTTCTCACTCTCTGTCTCTCTCTGTCTCTCTCTCTCTTCTCTCTCTCTCTCTCTCTCTCTCTCTCTCTCTCTCTCTGTCTCACTCTCTCTCGCGTCTACCTTAACTCCTATCTACAGTACGCCTCCAGACATTTGAGTCCAAAGATCTCTGCTAGCTTGCCGCGGATCTTCCTTGAACGGCTCTTTATAAGGACACTGCAGCTGGCTTTTTGCCAACTGGCAGCCAGTTAAAGGTATTCGATGCTCTAGATCCTAGTTAGTGGGTTCGCTTCGTCTCCAAGGGTCTCTGCTAGCTTGCCGGTCTCCCTCCAGCAGAAATCTACCCATCCTTGTCACTTTATTCAAATCTGTTTGAAGACGTTAGTTTCGCGGCTGGCAGGCAGATTTTCGGAAAATCCGGATTTTCGGGAAGCTAGAGAGAGAGAGAGAGAGAGAGAGAGAGAGAGAGAGAGAGGAATGAGAGAGAGAGGGGAGAGAGCGAGAGAGAGAGAGAGAGAGAGAGAGAGGCGCGCAATGGCTCGGAAACTATTTGGCGTCCCCTCCCTCCTTGGGAAGGCAACTCGAATTCCATAGCGGTGGCCCCGTCCTGGTGTGGGGGGGAGGTAGAGAACTGGTTTCCTCGTTGCGCCTTTCAACGGCGGCCCCATCAGGGGTGGATGGAATTTTAGAAGTCGGCGACTTCTACCGTAATCACGGAAATATCGGAATTTGGAAATACCGCTCATTGCGCCGATTTTTATTTCGCCGATTTTTGATTAGCGGTGTTTTGGGGCAAAGTCGCGCCACTTTATTCGGCAAAGTACCTTTGCGCCCCTTAAACCCGTGAAAATACTTACGCTTGTGGTCTAATTCCCATGCTCACAGTGAGTGCTTTTTTGAGGCATCGAGAAAACCAAAAAAAGACCTAGCGCATTCGATAGAGAATTTCGTTCTGAACAAGACCCCCCCCCCTTTGGCCTTTTTTGCGGAATGGCTGTCCCTGATTTTAAAAAATTACAAAACTAGTGGTTGTCTCTTACCATGAGTGCCCTTCGAGCGAGAAGAGAGTCTTTCGAGTGCAGTTTTAAAGTTTTGTAAAACCGGGGTTAGCCATTCCGCAAAAAAGGACAACGGGGTCTTGTTCAGAGTCGAATTCTCTATCGAATGAGCTAGGTCTCGTAAGGTTTTGCCGACGACTCAAAAAAGGCACTCCTTGTCAGAGGCAGGCCCGTAGGAGGGGCCCAGGGGGCCCTGGGCCCCCCGAAATCGGTCGAGGTCTGAAAAATTCATAAGGGGGGACCCTTATGATTTTTAGTTACAAAAATTTTTCTGCCTGCGGCGCTGTTTATTACTGTTTTTCAGACCGTTTTTACTTATATGAAGCCTATTTTTCAAAAATTTTTGCCTGCGGCGCTGGGCTTTCATTGGTTAATCAATTGTTCATAAAAAAGTTTCGCCTGCGGCGCGTTTTCTGCCGTGTTTTCACACGAATTTGAGTGTAGCGAACGCTTTTTTGCTATTTTTTTGCCTGCGGCGCTATTCTTGACGCGATTTTCCGATGTTTTAAAAGTGGCGACCGGGGGAGGTCGCCAAACTTTTTTGGGCCCCCGAAATTTCGGTTCCGCTACGGGCCTGGTCAGAGGTACTCTACCAAATGCAATATTGCTGTGTTACCAAAATCGGCGAAATAAGCGTCGGGAAATAAAAATCGGCGAAATGAACGCACACCTGTGAGAGTGTATTTTTTGGGAACGACCGACTGGCTGGAATGTGATAGTATTTATTGCGTAAAAGCGGGGGGACCGTGTGTGGGGGCCGTGGGCCGGATTGTGCCGTGAAGCAGATTAGACGGTATTGAAGGGGGATATCGTCGACGAATTCCATCGAAGTCGCAGCCGGTCCGTTGGTTGGATGGCGCTGGGTAGATTAGCTGCGGGCCATGGTTCCTCAAATGGTGGATCGTAGAACAAAACTGGGCCCAACTCTCGTTTTCGCCAAACCCCTTCCCCGGCGCCCTGGCTTTTCAGCCATACGTCCGATTAAAGGGGCTCCGAACTGCCAAATCAAAGCCTTTTTGGGAGGGCTCTTTGATTTCTGGCAAATTGCCAGCGGGCGCTGCGGGACGAGAGCCCTCACTCTTTCGATTTTTGCGCCGAATTGTTTTAGCCCGGTTTCGTTGTGAAAACACTAAAATTCGCGCACTCTGAGCCCATTTTTGAAATCCTCACTCAATTTTAAATAGTTTTGGTGTTTTAATCATCAAATTTGGCCCAGAAAGAGCCGAGAACGTGATTTCGAGGTGACAACAGGCAATTTCAAATTTGCGCGCTTCCCGCGCCCCTGTGCGTACAGAGGCCTCCCACGTACAGGGCTCCGATTTTCGGGTCGTCACTCAATTTTTGGCATTTCGTAGCCCCTTTAACCCAGGCTCTAAAGAACGGCTCCTTGAGTCAGGCACTTGCGCCGCAGCCTGCAAAAAACGGAAACATAATTCATGATTCCTAGACCGAGTCCAGTGGAAAAGTGGCGCGACGCGGTCTTTTTCCACTGGTCAGTAATCAAATTCACGTTAGTCGAGGGATAGATTACCTGTTCGATTGGCCGTTGGGTGTGCTCCATGGGGTCATTGAGCGCGAGTATGATCCGAATGCCCGTCTCCCATACCATGTAGGGCCGTGACGACAGGCGGCCGGGATCACTCTTCACGCGATCCACCACGTACATCTGTACAGTTCGGGGTTACTTGCCAAATGTTGCAATTGAGCGTCAAAATTTTGCATAAGCAAATTCGCCAAAATCCTACGCAAAAAATTATGCTGCTCTTTTTGAATGACTTTGATCATTTGTGACTGGCCGACGCGGCGCGGGGCGTTATTGAAAGGGGCTCAGGCAGCATATGGCCCTTTTTTCACGAGTCATGGTCGCGTGTCGGCCAGGGCGTCGCGGTAGGCTGAGAAAGAACGCCCCCGAGGAGAGACGCAGACAGAACTCTGCGTCTCTGCTCGGTGCGAACATGTCGTAATGGGCGCCTAGCCTATCCCTATCTACCAAAAAATTCTTAGCATTTTGTAGTGCATTTTTGTCACGTTTTAGCCGTTTTTGATGACTAGAAAGGCTTAAGAAATCTGTAGAAAATCACAAAAATTTGAAATTTGCGCTTTTTCGGTCATTTTTCATCCATTTTTGAGCAAAAATCAAAAAATTATTAGGACCCTACGGAGGGATAGGCCAAGTTAGGGTTTCTAGAGGAGCTACCATAATCAGCGGGGGTGTTTTTCGCCTGCGGCGCTGTTAGTTTAGCAAAATTTTTCTCCTACGGCGCTTAGATTTCGAAAAAATGGTCTTGCTGCCCCCTCCGAAATGTCGCTGCCCCCCCCCCTCCGAAACTTGGGGCCAGCTACGCCTCAGCTCCGGCTTTTGAAGCGAAATTTCGATGCAACGACTGAATAATGGTGACGAGGCGCTATTCTTGCCTGAAGAGGGTATGAAGGTGGTGAGATATTGAAGGTATCGATTAGTCGATTCAACATCACATCCATTTCGCGTTGATATTCAGCACGATCCTCCTGAATTTGTATCTTGCAAAAGGGGCAGGCTAGCAGAGATCCTTTGAGAAACGGAGGAACGGAAGGAGGCAAGGGTAACAGAAATTCCTTCACGGTTGAAGCTGGATACCTGTGACACGTCGATATCGTAGTGCAGAGTGCGAAATTCGATAACTTGTCGCGGCGCGCTGGATTGTGTATTCTAAAAAATAGAAAGCATGAGCAAACAGGATGTACCAACGGTATTTCTTCATCTTGCATAATTATCATTTCGCATAACGCTATTTCGCATAATTGCATTTCGCATAATTTTTATTCCGTATAACGGTGACTTCGCATAACGATGATTTCGCATGACGATGATTTCGCCTAACGGCGATTTCGCATAACGGTCATTTCGCCGAACTGTGATTTCGCATAACGATCATTTGGCATAATTTTCATTTCACCTAGCGATGATCTCGCATAACGTTTATTTCGCATATTTTTTTAGTTAGTGGCAACCAAGAGCAAAACAGGGCGTTTTTGATGATATGAAGTGCAGTCACGGTATAAGACAATCGAAATTCTTAGCTACCATTTACGCGGATTCCGCATCTGTAATCAATGTAATGCTTTTGACCTAGTCTTGCGGTCAGATCTGCTAGTTTACACATGGATACTATCTACAACGTAGGATTTTTGGCCAAGTCCCTCAAAACAGACGTACACCCGATGGGTCATGGATTTTGAGCAAGCTTGGAATATCTGCACGGAAGTAGGGTTGTTTCTCGGAACAGACCGAGATTCGGAACTTTCGGAACAAGGACTGGTCGGAACGGTCCGAGATTCGCGTGTTCCGGCTGTTCCGAGATTCGGAACATTCCGGGATTCAAATGTTGCGGTTGTTCCGAGATTCATGTTGTTCCGACTGTTCCGAGATTGAGCTGTTCCGAGATTCAAATTTTTTCGCATGTAAATTTCGATTTCGTGTAAACTGTGTAGATTGCACGTAACTGTTTCGATTTTGCCGTGACGCGGCAGTGTGGGCGCAACTGAACACCTAATTCCGTCGATGGTTAGATATCGAATCTGGAAATTAAGGAAATGAGAACGAATTGGGGCTCGAATCGAATCGAAATTCAGTCGTGTTTTGAAATTTACATGCGAAAAAATTTGAATCTCGGAACAGCTCAATCTGGGGCTGTTCCGGATCTCGGAACAGTCGGAACAGCCAAATCTCGGAACGCCCCGAATCTCGGAACAGTCGGAACAATATGAATCTCGGAACAACCGCAACATTTGAATCTCGGAATGTTCCGAATCTCGGAACAGCCGGAACACGCGAATCTCGGACCGTTCCGACCAGTCCTTGTTCCGAATGTTCCGAATCTCGGCCTGTTCCGAGAAACAACCCTAGTGTTTACCCTATTTGCGTAGCGCAGTGTGACAGGATGGCCGGGCAGAATTCCGGTGAATTTGTCGAGTATTTGCAGGCAACGGCTGCCATCAAGTGCCAACGTCGTTTGAAAGTCCGAGGTCACTTCGTCATCGGGATAGTCGTCGATAAGGGTGGGTTTGGTCAGTAAACAGTAGAAATAGTGCAAAGCCGCCGGGTCCTCGATCGACACCCGGATTGCGAGGCAGGCATGCAAATCACCGGCCGCATCTGAATTAGAAGATTTGCTACCCTGGCAATATCGCAAGTCCGACTCGATCAAGTGTACTGTAAAAAAAGCAGCTCGCGATAATGAATTTGGGTCCGAAAAATCTCTCTCACGCTCTCTCTCTCACCTGGCCTTTGTTCGATCTTGAACATGACGCAGTCCCCCACAATCTGCAGATATTACGATTACGGGATGAGGAATGGCAGAACCCTGTTAATGGAGATGCAAACGAATCGATATCTGCAGCGGAGTAGAAATACGGGCGCCGAAAGAGACGAACAGGAGAATACCTAAAGAATTAAGCACAGGGTGTTAACTGTCCCGAACTTTCGGGCCTTATGACTTTTGACAGAGGCATAATAGACCAGGCCTTACCATGACCGAATGTTTAAAAGGCCGTTCGCCAGCGATCCGAACAGGCCTTTTCACCGTTTTTAGACCCTGTTTCTCGTTTTTTTTTTATGTCATATGAAAGAACATGGTCGAATTAGTAGGGTGGCGCTGTTTCGAGATTTTAAAAGTTCATTTTCTGGGTTTAAATGGGTGTTAGTTGAAAACCTTGAAAGTTGTCTCGAGAAATACTGCACCAAATCTCTGGAAAATGTCCGACAATACCTAATTTGGGGCGCTGATCATTGGGTATCTGTCGCGATGTTAAAAAAATCATGATTCGACCTTCTCTCCCTCTCCCTCTCTCCCTCTCTCTGTCTCTCTCGCTCTTTTTCCTCTCTCTCTCTGTCTCTCGCCGCTCTTCCTCTCTCCTCTCTCTCTCTCTATCTCTCTCTCTCTCACTCTCTCTCTCTCTATCTCGCTTATGAATGACTAACCTTTGAAGTGGTACGGAGCAATACTTTTGTCTCAAAAGCGAGATGATCAATGACGAGATGTTGTAGACGAGTTGGTAATTTGCGGTAAGGTAGCATAGAGATACCGTGGATGGGTGATGAGGATGGAATTCTGAAAAAGGGATAGATAGAGAGCCAGTGTCAGAGAGAGAGAGAGATGGAGAGAGAGAGAGAGGGAGAGAAGAGAGAGGGAGAGACCTACGCCATCAATATATCAAGCCAGCGCCCAAAACCCGCTTCGCGGGTTCCCCATAGCCGGGGCCTTCGGACGACACCCGCGACCACAAGCGTGCGTAGCATGCGAAGTAATCCACCTTGATTCCCACCGCCCAAAAAAATTGAGTGAAGCCGGCTTGAACTTTGTAAACTTGCTGTGTATCGGAGTTTTGAAAACGTCACCGGGGTTTGCGAACGAATGAAAGATATGGCTGACCTCTGAGAGAGCCAATATACCCTCCGGTGTTATTTTCAGAGCCCGTGGGGGTGACTGGACCTATCACATCTGCTCTGTCCCCCGGGCTTTCGAATAGACCGACACGCGACGCGAATGTACTGCCGCCAGGGTAAAATTGCGAAGTACAACATTCGAGTACACGTTTTGTAGTTTGTATCCCAGTTTAACCATTCCCTTCACAAACCATACTGAAATTCCAAAAAGCAAAAAGTATATCGCGGCCGGGGGTCGAACTCGGGTCGTCTGGTCGATAGTTTGTAGTTTGTATCCCAGTTTAACCATTCCCATCACAATCCAAACTGATATTCCAAAAAGCAAAAAGTATGTCGCGGGCGGGGGTCGAACTCGGGTCATCTGGTCGATAGTTTGTAGTTTGTATCCCAGTTTAACCATTCCCTTCACAATCCAAACTGATATTCCAAAAAGCAAAAAGTATCTCGCGGCCGGGGGTCGAACCCGGGTCGTCTGGCCGACAGTTTGTAGTTTGTATGCCAGTTTAACCATCCCCTTCACAATTCAGACCGAAATTCCAAAAAGCAAAAAGTTTGTCGCGGCCGGGGGTCGAACCGAACGAATCTAAGCCGGAATCTCAAAAAGCAAAAAGTTGGCGTTGGTGATGGGGGAGTGGCCCGTTAAACTGGCTTACAAACTACAAACTGTCGCCCGGCCGAGCCCAGGTTCGTCCCCCGCCCGCCGCCAACTCCTTGCCTTTCCGGTTTTCGGAATTTCGATGGGAATCGCCAAACTGGCTGCCAGACTACAGGCTACAAGCGACGGGCTCCGGCCGACATGGCCCCGGCGGATCCGATTGTCAGCTGCCTTCTTGCGCTCCGAATTTATTCGGCTAAAAGATGCAAAATATCAACAATCTTCAATGGAATTTCTGGAATAAAAGTTTTCCGGTTCAGGAAAAATTCTGCTTTTAATATCACAATGAAATAACGGGGGGTGTAGGAAAATATAAAGATCAGCCGAAAATCACAACCGAATCGCCCGAAAATCCGATTTTTTGATTCGGCCTTTTTCGCAAATAATTGTCGGCATTCCGGGTTTTCCGTTCAGCTGCTGTCCCCGTTGCGTCGCTTCTGAAATTTGAGGAATCAGTTCCGGAATTTTCAGAGGATATTTTTCCCCAAATGACCCCTGCTAGCCTGCTGCCTCCGGTACTACACTGTTAGCGGGGGGGGTATTGACTAGTAGTTTTAATTACTTTTTAATTTTTAATTCACCCTTTGGATTAGTTCCTAAAAATACTAAAAAATATTTACAAAACATGGGCCTTTTTTGCCCGTTTTTCATACATTTTACCAAAAACTCAAAAATTTCCGAAATTTTCGCGGATTTTTTGGAACTAAAAACGGTGTAAAATGGTATAAAAACTGGTTGCATTTTTTATAGGGTTGTACAGAATTATTAGAGAAAATTTCGCCCCACCCCCCGCTAACAGACCAGCACCGAAAATTGGGCCGGAAGGCGGGCAGGTTGTCGATAATCCGGTGGCCCTATTAGCCGGCAAAACCAACGAACGGTTCTCTCTCTCTCTCTCTCTCTCTCTCACTCTCTCTAATCCCTCCCCCAGTTGCGTCACTAAAAGCTGCCCTGCCTACCGTATCCCCTATCCCTAATTGCCCTCAGGTCATTAGCCCAGCTCCTCTCGAAATTGGCGGGTACACCATCCAAAAGTCCCCTCCTCAACCCCCTAGAAAATGCCAAAATTACCGTAACCCCGTAATTGCGATAACAATTGACGCGTCAAGAGACGCCGATTACGTCAATGGGCAGGCTAGCAGAGATTGTTTGAGGAAATGGAAAGAAGGGGGCAGGCTAGCAGAGATCCTTTAGAAAAGGCCATTCGATTACGCCATTAAATTGCGTGCCTTCCAGATTGCGTGGTGCACGTGTTTCGGATCAAAATGGAAAGAAGGGGGGCAGGCTAGCAGAGATTGTTTGCTGTAACATACCGGTGGTCTCTCCCCACTATGCCACCGTAAATGCGCCTTCAGATGAGAGCTCTTATTGTAGATCTTCCCACATCCCGGTATATGACAATTGTGAATGCCTCGTCGTTTCGCTGGGATGTTGGAGAGGCCTGCAAAATGGATTTAAAGCCGTGTTTTGACTAATTTTCATGGCCTAACCGGTTTTTTCGGGAATTTTTGGATAAATTCCTCAAACAATCTCTGCTAGACTGCCTTCTACATTTAGCACTAGCTAGCAGAGACCATTGAGGAATTGGGGACAGGCAATTTTCACACCGGGTACTTCCCATTTTCATGGCCTAATGTATTGTTTCCGAGGTCCGGGGCGCGCTGGCAGAGCCATTTTGCGGTATTTTGCCCTAATTTTTGCATAAATCCGCAATCTGTCCGCCAGTTTCTCCATCTGCTAGTCGTTCTCCCCTACGTTTCAATTCTTTGTCTCAAAAAGTGCAAAAATATAGATTTTTCACACCAAAATGGTCCATTTTTTAGCAAATTTAAAAAGCGTCTGGTTTTGTCCTAATTTTTGCGTAAATCAGCAATCTGTGCGCCAGTTTGCCCGTCTGTCTGTCTGTCTGCCAGTCTGTCTGTCTGTCTGTCCACCAATCGCCCCACCCAGCGGGTGTGCTGAAGTGTTAATTGTGGTGGGCGGGCGGTGAGACGCCTTTGGCAAAACTCACTCGGGGGCGAGGCAGCCGAGACAAAAAGTGACAAGGTGAATGGTGTGGGAGACAGTTCGACGAATCGACAGACAAACAGACAAATTGAGAGCCATCTGGCCCCCGGGGGAGGAGGACAATGGCCTCAAAATGTGGCATAATCCAATTTGCACCTCGGCGTGCCATATTGCTGGCCTTTTCTTGCCCCGGGCTAGCCGAGCGCGCCGCCCCGGGCAATCTGGCGGTGGCCCCAGGCCTAACTGATATCCGGTGCACCCGAAAAAGTTCCTCCAATCGTCTCTGCTCGCTTGCCCACGCCTTCTCGCCTCCAAAACCGTGATTTTCAAGCTGTCTTTGGACCGAAGCCGCGAATTCCCCAATTTTCTCTGCTAGCCTGCTACTCGAATTGCCAAACTGACATCCGGTACGCCCGAAAAACTTCTCAAATGGTTTCTGCTGGCTGCCAGTCTCCTAAATTCTCCAAAAAAGCGAATTTGGCAACATCCTTCCCCCGTCAGCCTGGCCGAATTCCGAAATTCTCTCTGCTAGCCTGCCCCTCCGTTCACCAGACTTCCGGTGCACCCGAAAAATTCCGCAAATGGTCTCTGCTAGCCTGTCCCGCGCTGCTTGCCTCTGAATTCCGCATTTTTTCGCCGGAAACGCATGGACTTCCGGTCGCAAAGCACTCCTGGAGGCTCACCTCGCCGGGTCAGGCTGACATAGATCATTTGAGGAGTTTTTCGAGTTAGCTGGATGCCATTTTAACTTTAGAAAAAAGAGGGCTGGCAGAGATCGTTTGGGAATAGCAGGAATCGGCTAGAAACCGTCGCAAAATCCGGGTCTGCCGGATCAGCGGGCAGTGGCATCCCAGCAGAGGCCATTGGCGCATTTTTTTGGGTAGTCTGGATGGCAGTTTAGCCATTGGTGAGTGGCAGGCTAGCAGAGATCGTTGGGGAATGGGGGATGAGTGCGCAAATGTTATCCCACGCCTTTTGCCCCCCAATTATTAAATGGTTGTCCTTGGCTGTGCCCCCCTGAAATGTGACCATCACCCCTCGCGGCTAACTGCTTGCGCAATCCTCCCCTCCTGCCCCACCCAGCGCCCATCCTCGATTTGCATAATTTTACGGGTCTTTGGGGGAGATTTGAGGATTTGAGATAGCCAGCCCGCCGAGCCAGCTAGCAGAGGCCCTTTGCGGAACAGCCGTAAAATAA